CCAAGTGGTATAATCTGTGGAAGCACAGGACTGAAACTCCCAGTCCAATCTGGAATTCAGAGAATCACATATAATGGTAATCTATAAGATCCCACAATCATTGATGACACAACCAGTACAGGGATCCTTGGGTCCCTTAAATCAAAGGCCAGACTGGAAGAAACCTTGGACTGCATGCTGTGAAGTGAAAACTCCATGCAGAGGCAGTGGGAATCCAGGAAAAGAGCCGAAGTGGGATGTGACTAGATCTGGTAGTTTTTTTTTTTTTAATTGAACCTCAGGGGCTCAATAAATTGAGCCACATCCTCAGCCATTTTTCTATGGGCAATAGAGAAAGAAGGTCCATCATAGGTTATGTTACTGTCCAAGTGAAAGATTATTTGCTGAAAAAATACATGAACATATTAGGAATCTTTTTGACAGGTATACACAGGACTCTGTGACAAATCACTAGGTGAGATGTCTTCTGGACGTTATAACCACAGATATTTTACACTGTAGGAAAAATAATGTATATTAAAAACAAGTTCACCAAGACCTTATTTATATAATATGTAAAAATAATTTGGTATGGAGTGAGCTGGTACTTAATGTGCGGGTATAAACACCTGTAGGTTAAAGGCAGAATTCCTGGGAGCTGGCAGCAGGCACCTTCTGTGGGCAGCTGTTCTAAAGTTCTCAGAAGCTCTCAAATCAGCACAATACTGTCCATGTAAAATGTTTCCCCTTCTATCTGCAAACTCGCCTTGCAGAAAATACAGTGTGAATGAAGAGTAGTATAAAGAAAGATATTTAATTTCTCAAAATGATTTTTCATCTTCTGTAGACTAGGTCTAAGAAATAGTTAATCAAAACTTTAAGATAGCATTTTTCAGTTAGTGAATGTACTTTTTTATTTAATATCTAACTTGCATTTTTCTAACAAATTTGAAATTCTAGGCTCTGGAATTTGGTTTAAAGATATTTAATTTCAAGACAGGCAATCCTTAAGTTTTTAAGAAATAAGGCCATATTGGTTCATAATAGCAAATACTCTACAATTTGTGGTTGTTATTGTTCTATGTGCCTTGTATGTAAAAATTAATTTAGTTCTTATAACAATCCTATGAGGTATTTTCTATATTTTTTCTCATTTTAAAGATGAGAAAATTGAGGCAGAGGTTAAGTTGCTTGGTCTGATATCACATGGCTACCAAGAGGCTGTGTTTAGATTTAGACCTAAGCAATATGGTTACTGGAATATGATGCTAAGTGAAATAAGCCAATCCCCCCCAAAACTAAAGGCCAAATGTTTTCTCTGATATGTGGATGCTACTTCAAAATAAGGGGGATGGGCAAGGAAGAATAGAGTTACTTTAGATTAGGTAGAGGGGAGTGAAGGGAGGGGAGGGGGTATGAGGGTAGGAAGAATAGTAGAATTAATCAGTCATAATTACCCTAAGTACACATATGACTACATGACCGTGTGATTCCACATCATGTACAACCAGAAAAATGAGAAATTATACTCCGTTTATATATGATGTGTCAAAGTATATCCTACTGCTATGTATAACTAATTAGAACAAATAAAAAATATAATAAAAATTGTGCTTTTAACTATTGTCCTGAACAAGCTATGCCATTAACATAGACTGGACACATTTGTGTCTTTCCACATTGTCAGGATTTATTGAGTAATAATAAATTTACAAGCTACATCAATTTCATCAGCTTCAAATTCCTGAAGATACTCATGGTTCACTTGGTGTTATGACCCAGGCAATCATAATTTCTTCCATTCCATTTCAGTCTTAATTACTAATGTTTATAACACTCAAATCACACATCATACTTAACACAATGCTATATAGGTTACAGAAGGCTAAGGAAGGTTAAGGGTGGACACAGGGTTTCAAGAGGCCCTATGGCAGGGAGCAATATAACTACAGAAGACTTACTGCAAGTGGTCAGATCAGGAACCAGCTGAAGAACTTGCTCAGGGGTCAAGGCTATCAGGGTGCTGAACTTATTCTAAGCCAAGGTCCAGAGGGCAGGCAGTTGTGAAGTGGGGGAGGGTGAGGACCTGCTGAGCTGAAGTCCTAGGAAGAGAGTTGGGAGTTTGTTACCTGTGGACCTCCTGAGCAGTTCACCGGATGGGTTGCAACACCACCCATTACCGTTTTGGGGTGCTCCTCCTTTTATGTATTTCAGGTGAGAGGATTACTTCTGGTGAGATTGATAAACTCAGGCGCCTTGTTTCTCTGATATGGGTTTGATGTCCATGCATCCATGAGTTTCTGATTTAATTTGGTAAGTTCACAAGTGGTTATTATTCATTATTCAATTTTCAGTTTGTGCCTTATGATCATGCTGTATTGCTGTAGGTTATTCTTCTTGATGAATTCTGTATGTCTACCATCTGGAGGTTATCTGTTTGCTCAGACAAGTTTTCGAGTCATTCTGCTTTAGCACTTTAATTCAAAATGGAGTAGCTCGGGTCAAACTGCTTTATAAAATGGAATAAGTCAGGGCTAGGCACTGCTGTTCCATACAAATGGAGCAACTCAGGGCGGGGCTTTGCCTTCTCTCCATAATCATTACTTGATACTCCCTTTCAATGCAAACTTATTAATAAATTAGTGTATTTGCAGATTCAAATTGCTCTTACTTGTAACTTCAGTTTATCATAATGAACTATTGGGAGATTAATTATGTGTGATTAAAGTAAATGTGAAGAACACGGCAAAGCAGATTTCAAGATCACTCAGAGAGTAATGTGAAAAAAGTTTGCCAGAAGCTAGGCATGGTGATGCATGCCTGTAATCTCAGCTACTGAGGGGGCTGAGGTGGGACATCAGTTGAGTCCACTAGTTCAAGATGAGCTTTGGCAACACAGTGAGTTCCCTGTATCCAAAAAAAAAAAAAAAAGTGAAGGTCAAAAATAAATAAAATGCCCACTAAGCACTAATACCACAAGCAAGAACCAAAGGAGCATGGGTCAATCATTTTTGTCTATTTTATTATTTTTACGATTAAGTAGAGTTGGCACTCGGTAAATATTTGATCCACTGCAAATCTGTGGTCTCTGTATTTGTTTTTCATTACTGCAACAAAATACCTGGGGCTGTATTTTTTAACAAAGAGGTTTATTTTGGGTCAGAATTCTGGCCTAAGTGTGCATGTGGTAATGGTCTGCTTGCTGACAGAATCCCAAGGTGGTTCAGGGTTATCACACAGAAAGAGATTAAGGGACAGGTATGTTCATTTCTCCCGAATTCTCTCCCTCTGAGCTACAACCCCGGCCCCATTTCCACCTTCTTAATACCTCACAATGGGGATCAAACTTCAACACATGAAAACTTGGAAGATAGCATTCAAACCATATCCAAACAACAATAATATCTAATAACCTTATATCTAAATCAACTCACAAAGGCTCTACCTCTCAATACTATTATTGTATAAATTTCCACCTTGACATTTCAACGGTGTTGGAGACCTCCTGCTGGCTCTACCACTGAGCTATAATCCCAGCCACACACATTTCCACATTCTTTTTTTTTTTAAATATCTTTGTTTTATTTATTCATTTATTTATATTTTATGTGGTGCTGAGGATAGAACCCAGTTCCTCACGCATTGGAGGCAAGCGTTCAACCACTGAGCTACAACCCCAGCTCCATTTCCACCTTCTTAATACCTCACAGTGGGGATCAAACTTCAACACATGAAAACTTGGAGGATGGCATTCAAACCATATCCAAACAATAATATCTAGAACAAAGCTTTTCAAGAGAAATTCTACCTGGGTACTGTGGTGCATGCCTGCAACACCAGCTACTTGGGAAGCTGAGGCAGAAGATGGTAAGTCTGAGGCTAGCCTGGACAACTCCTGGGTAAGACCTTGTCTTAAAATAAAAAATAAAAAGGACTGGGGATGTAGCTCAGTGATAGAGTGCCCCTCAGTTCAATGGCCAGTAAGGTGGGGGTGGGGAGGAGAGCACTGGACATTGATTATTTATTTTGGTACTTGACGTTACACACACACACACAAAACAAACAAAACAAAAAACTCACCAAAAAACCTTAATAAATTCTCCTTGCTAAAGATTCGTAGAAACTTAAGTATACACAACAAAACTTTAAAACTTTCTACTCACCAACACATACTTTTTCGGAGTTGCTGTCCTCTTTAGTGTGATATCTCTCCCCATGAATTTGCTAAAATATATGCATGTTTATATAACTTAAAATACAAATGCAACCATAAATATGCATTATTTTGCAACTGCCTGCTGTTGGTGTTTCTTACCATTACAGATCTACTTCTTTTAATAACTCTTTAGTAATTCATAAAGGCTATATTGTTTTCTATTACTATCCCATTCTGAGGGACATTTAGGTCGTTTCCTATTAAAAACCACGCTGCAATGTACATTCATGGGCAAATATCTGGATAAACGTAGAATGTGCGGGTAACACCAATCCCTTATTCGTGGAGAAGCCCCCTCCGCGTTCCTAAAAGCGCCGGGAGGAGAGCCATGGAGTGCAGGGTAAGCAGGAAGATGCCCTTTAGGGCAATCATTAATTCTTCCTCTCGCACTGAGGTCTTGGACGAGCTGGGAGGGCAAGGCCTCCGTTGCCGGTGACAGGAAAGACGATGGACATCTGCGCATCTTGGAAAGGCAGCGTCCTCTCCAAGACCACGCCTTCCTGTGGAGCCCCCACGCCGTCGAAGCGGCCCTTTCAAGGCCGGACTGAGGAGCAACTCCCCCCGGCAATAAAAATAGCCGTGAGACCGTAAGGTGAAATTGCGGGAGCCTGTGTGGCATGGGAAAGTAGTGAGCGGTGGCAAGGCCCACGCAAGGACCCAAGAAGCCCGCGGAAACAGCCGCCGCCGCCGTCATGGCGACCGCGTCCGTCCCCGGCGGAGGACTCACTTTCCCAGCGGCCCCCGCGGCCGCAGGGGCCGCGAGCCCGGCCGGTCCTCGCGCGCGGGGGCGGGGCCGAGGCCGGAAGTCACGTGCCGTGACAGCTGCTGGGGCGAGGCCGGCGTCGCCGCCCGCGCTGGTTGGGGCTGTGTCTGTGGGAGGCGCTGGGGTGATGGCGGTGGAGACTCTGTCCCCTGACTGGGAGTTTGACCGCGTTGACGACGGCTCACAGAGTAAGGGAGTGTCAGGGCGCGGGCCGCGGGCGGACCCTCCCGAGCCGGCCGCAGCCCTGGCGGCGCTCCTGCGGGAGGGCTCTGCGTCGGGGCGCCGCGCAGCCGTCGGGTCCCGGACCCTGGCCACCCCGGGGGTGTGAGTGGGACGCGCCCTCGGGTGCCTTCCCGGGTCGGGGCCCGCAGACGGCGGGTCGGCCGGCCGGGGCTCTGCGTGCGCGGGCCGACCGCGGTGGGCTCTCTGCGGCCGGGGCTGCAGGCGGGCGCGCCCAGGAGGCCCTCGGCCTGCCTCGCGGGGACCTCGTCGAGTTCGCGGAGCGTGCACTTCAAGCGGAGGCTCCTGCCTGGGTTCCTGTTTCGGTTTCCTGTTTTTCTTCTTTTTCTCAAACCAACTTTTGGAAGTTTGGGTTCCCGTACTTAGAACCGTAGAAGATAGCGAGGAAACAGCTGTTTACGCGGTAGAAAATAACCCGAATATCATTTTACCCTCTTCCAGGCCCATTATGTTAACTCGTGTGTTTCCTGGGATGGCCAGACTTGCATCGCAGCTATAAAAGCTTTCAAAAATTACAACAGAGCTTCAAATTTTGCTTCATAAAATAGAATGGACTGATTTTTTAAAACTTAGAATTCAACAAAAAAAGGAAAACCTAACAGTTTCTTTTGGCAAAATATAGAGTCCAAACTAATTATCTTAATGAAACTACTTGAGATTACTGCAAGTCGTCAGTCTGTTTATCTTTGTTGATATTAATCTATATAAGAGATATTGGGACATGCTGTTTTCCCGAAATCGGAAAGTCAGTCTTTAAAAATTCTAGGTGAACTTTGTCTGATTTTATAAAGAGAAACTTAACATCTATGAATTTAAGGTTATTCATTTCTCAAAGATGGGTAAACTACATCCAGCATTGTTTGAAGTTTTTCATAAAACATTCTTTAAGATATTAACGCTTATGCAACATAAAAATAATCTTGGAGCTATTGACAAAAATCTTGAATGATTTTTTTTGCAGGTGTTTGGTGCTTATTGTGAGAAGAGGGTTGTCATGTATGGTGTTTTGTGGGCAAAGGTTTCCTATGTTAGTATCTTCAAAACAATAATGAGGCTGGGGGTTGTGGCTCAGCAGTAGAGCACTCACCTAGCACATGTAAGGCCCTGGGTTCGATCCTCTGCACCACATAAAAATAAAATAAAGATACTGTGTCCAATTACAACTAAAAAGTAAATAAATAAATAAATAAAGGGATGGGGTTGTGGCTCAGTGATAGAGTGCTAGAGTGCTCGCCTGGCACACGTGAAGCACTGGGTTTGATCCTCAGCACCACATAAAAATAAAATGAAGGTTATTAAAAACTAATGAATGAAGATATGTTATTTGGTTTTGAAATGATTCCAACTTGAAGTAGAATAATCTGATTCATTCAACAGACATTTTCTACACTCCAGTTGCTGTTAGGGGTACAAAGATAAGGCAAGGAAGGATAACTATTGGAAAAGATGACTGTTATACAGGTGTTTAGAATTCTGAATAATCATTATGTGATTCTTAAGTCATGTACTTTAACTTTTACTAATTTTTCAACTATTCATTATTGGCAAGGAACCTCAATGTTATTAGGGTTTTCTGTTCCCTTCTACCTTGTGAATTCTCAAACTAAGGGAGCAATTTATTGGTGTTTTTCTTGTATTGTCTTTGGGAATTCATTTGCTGGTCAAATGAAGCTTGATCCTTTCCCATGTAACAGAATAAAATGTCAATTTGGGGTCCTGAACACTTACGTAGTTTTTATGTTAGCTGTAGGAAAGAGAAGACTGGTTTTTATTGATTTTTGGACTATGAATCATATCTAGATTAAATGTTTTCCAAAACTACCTAGATTAATGCTGTAATGAGATAGAAAGTTTATTGAGCTAAATTGGTTCTTCTGATTCAGATCATGAGTTGCAAACACTAAGGAAAAATAGGAAGGTAGATCTTTAATACAGCATGAGTCAGAATATACTTTATCTTAGAGTTGCTTCAGATTGCTAAGTTAAAAGTTTTTTAAAAAATTTTAGTTGTAGGTGAACATAATACTTTTATTTATTTATTTATTTATTTTTTATGTAGTGCTGAGGATCAAACTCAGTGCCTCACATGTTCTAAGTAAGCACTGTACCACTGAGCTACAACCCCAGCCCCATATTGCTAATTTGAAAAGAAAAATTCTTTTTTTAGAAGACAAAGATTGAATAGTTATACACATCAATAAAAGAAACTTGAATTTGCTGCCTTTGTGAATAAATAATTCTTATGTATAGGATGAAGTAATTACTTTCATTAATTCTGATGAACTGGCATTTTTAAAATATAGTTTATTCCAGTGACTTTAAGCTTAAAGTCATGAATTGTGTTAATTCTGTAAATATCAGCACAGTATTTTGTTCTGACTTTACTTTTCCAACTTATTTTTATAGTTAAATAATTTAACAAATTATAAAACATGGTAAATTTTTAGGCATTATGAGAAAAATATTCTTAAATTATCATCTAAAAATGTTGCTTCTTTAACAATACAGATTTTTTTTTTTTTTTTTTGGGGGGGGCACTGGGGATTGAATCCAGGGGTGCCTAACTCTTGAGCCACATATTCAGTCCTTTCTATGTTTTATTTTGAAACCAAGGTCTTGCTAAGTTGTTGAGATTGGCTTTGAACTTGTGATCCTTCTGCCTCAGTCTCCTGATTTGCTGGATTTGCAGGTGTGCTGTACCAGCCCAGCCGGCAGCTTGTTTATTTTTGTAGTGCTGGGGATTGAGCCCAGGTCCTTGCACATTCTAGGCAAGCCCTCTACCACTGAGCCATATCCCCAGCTCAGTGTAGATTTTTGCACCTGCTTCAGGCCAGGTTGTGAATATTTATATTTTTCAGTAGAGTTGTTTCTCACTAAAACATAGAATCAAGACATTGAGTTGTCAGAGGCATTATTCAGATTGGTTAGAAGTCCTGGGTAAATGGGTCACTGCTTTTAAAATTGTTTTATGCATTTGGAAAAAGTTGAAGGCTGAATTACTGTTTAACTTTGGAACTTTATTTTCAAGAAGTCCAGACATTCCAAAGTAATAATTAACAATGCTTTGCTGTGATTTCTGAGGTTATTTGAAGTATGTGTTCTGTAATTCATTACTTGTGGCTCTAACATACAGTTTTAAAATTTAAATTTAGAAATTCATGCTGAAGTCCAACTTAAGAATTATGGAAAATTTCTTGAGGAATATACATCTCAATTGAGAAGAATCGAGGACGCGCTGGATGATTCAATTGGAGATGTTTGGGATTTCAATCTTGATCCTATAGCGTTAAAGGTTTGATTTGGTTTGATTATTTTACTTATGTATATATTTTCAGGACCTAGTATATATTAAACTTCAATTTTAAAGTAGAAAATACGTTTTATTTTCAATCTTTAAGAGTAAAAAGAAATTATAGAAAATTGTTAACTTTCTTTTCTCTAAGCTAGGTAGGTGTTTTTAAAATTTGTTTTTTGAAAGAATGATTCTTGAAGATGTTAGTGTCAAAGAGTGGTACAAGCTCCAGCTTTTTGACTTGGTCATTGTTTTTCATCACTAAAAAAATAATAAGAGTGCTGGATAGACTATTTAAGCTTGGCTTGTTTGTTCTTATGGAGGTTATTTTCATACACTGAAAAGTACTGATTTTTAAGGATACTGTTCAGTGAATTTTGCCAACATGTATGCCCATAACTTGTATCCCAATCAAGATATAGAATATTTTCATCATTTTCAAAAAGTTTCTTTGTGTTATATTGGAGATATTGATGTGGGAGTGATTGTTTAATGTGTGTGTTACTCTTACTCTGTTACATTTTGAGATTACTCTCTTGTTTTGTCTTTGAAACTGGTCTGTTTCCACTTAAATAATAATTAATATTTGTTGAGCACTTATATACTGTGTCTGTCCTAAGTCACACATTGCCTTTTTGTTAATGACAGCTTTCTTGAGATGTAATTTGCATATCATAAAATTAACCCCCTTAAATTGTACAATTCAGTGATCTTTTTTTATGTTTATTTACAGAATTGTGCAACCATCACCATTGTCAGTTTTAGAACATTTTTATCACCCCTAAAATCTTGCACCTTTTAGTCACCCCTGCTCCCATATTGTGCTACACCAATATCCACTGACTCTAGGCTACCACCAATCAGTTTACTTTATCTCTCTATGGATTTGTCCCTTTTGAACATTTCATAATTGGAGACATACAATATGTAGTCCTTTGTGTCCAACTTCTTTTACTTACCGTAATGTTTTTAAGGCTCATCCAGATAAGGCTCATGAGCATGTCATGCTTTCTTTTTATTGCTGAATAATATTCCTTTGTATGAAATGCAAATACAGTGTATTTATGCATTCATCAATTGCTAAATAGTTGGGGTTTTCCTTTTTGGAATAGAGTTCTAAAATAATGCCGCTGTGAGCATTCGTGTACAAGTTTTTTGTAGACATGTTTTCATCTCTCTTGAATGTGTAAGCCTCAGTGGAATTGCTGGGTCATATGCTGTTTAATTTTCTAAGGATCTATAAGACTTTTTCCCAATGTGGCCACACCATTTTACATTCCTACCATCAATGTATGAGAGTTCCAGTTTCTCTCCATATCATTGTCAACACTTGATATTATGTTCTTAAAAAAATTATTATAGCCATACTAGTGGGTATGAAATGATATCTTATTGTGGTTTTGATTTGAATTTCATATGGCTATTTCTCCTATGGCTAATGATGTTGAGCATCTTTTCCTGTGCTCTTGGCTATTTATACAAATGGAGAAATTCTTTTTAGAGAAATGTCTGTGCAGATCCTCTGCTCTTCCTTTTTTTTTTTTCCAGGGGTGGAAGGAGGTGGCAGGGTCTTGCATTGTTGCCCATGCCGGCCTCAAACTCTTGGGCTCAGGGGATTCTCCTATCTCTGCCTCCCATCCAAGTAGCTGGACTTCAGGTGCTCGCCTCTGTACCTGGCCCTAGCCCATTTTAAAATTGGACTTTTTATTCTTGTGTTGTAGGACAGGTGTTGACTTTTAAAATCCCACAACAATGCTGTATCATCTCTGTTTGCAAATGAAAAATAAAGGAATGGAAAAGCTAAGCAACACACTCAAAAAGTGAATTTAAGTGACAAATCAATAAAAGGCAGTTTAGTTCCAGAGCACATTCCTTATCTGCTACTCTAAATTGCCTTACTAATGCTTTATGTATTTGTAAAATGAAATTACTCTAAACTTTTCTGTATTGTTGACTGGATAAGCATAGTTTTCCTTTAAAAAATCTTTAAGCTAAATTTGTTGCTGTTTTTTTTTCTTTGACACATCTATCAGAATCATTGTATATAAATTATAGGAATTTCACTAGGAAATTGCCATTGTCAACCTGTATTATCTCTGAAGGTAATGAGTTTCTGAATTTTTTTCAGTAAAACTTCTTGTTTTTTTAAGACTTATTCTTGAGCTTTAAGAGCCTCATAGTTGTGATCATAAACATTGGTGTTTCTCTCAACTCTCAGATTTTATAAAAGGGTGAAATAATCTTTTAGCTTTTATGTTCCCCCACAGAAGCATTCTAATCTCTTAAATTTTATCATTATAAAACCTTCCTGCTCCCTGTTGCTTTCTTTGGAATCTTCTTAATTCCATTATTGGGCAATTGTTTCATGTTTCTAACTCCACAAGAGTAGTAGTACTTCCGGGGAATCACAAAATCAGGCAAAATCTCTGAAAACAAATTCCAACATAATAATAAGGTTATTTACCTACATAAATACTAAATTGTTATTATTATTACCAAAAGAAAGATCTGAAACTTAAAAGTCATCACTTGTAGATGATGATTATAGGAAGGCTTTGTGAAAGAGGTAGATTGTGAGCTGGTCTTAGAAGATAAGTGAACCCAAGACTGCATTTTTAAGTGTTTTTGGGTCTTTGATTTATACAAGAAAAGATGATATTTTCTCTTTTCTTCTTTGTTCTGTTCTTTATGATAACTTACTTCTCCCTTTTAGCTATCATATTAACATCTTACTAAATTGTAAATTGTTTTTTCCCCTCTTTGGTACTGGAGATTGAACACAGGGCCTCACACATGCTAGGCAAGTGCTCTACCACTAAGCTACATCTCAGACCATATTTTACTGAATGTATGCCTGCATAATGAGTTCCAAAATGATAGTTGTCCTTTCCTATGTTCATAATTAATATAATTTATTGATTAGTATTATCTCATTACTTAGCATTTTATTGCACTGCATTTATAATCAACCACCTTATGTCCCAGAGCACAACTACAGTCTTTCAGCATAGTGGTGTTATGTTGGGTCATTTCTTCTTGAGCTTGTTTATTTTCCTTCTTGAGCTTATTATTTTTTCTTACTTCCTCTGATGAGATTGTTTTGAACAAACAAGTTGGTTGGGTTTTAGTGCTGAGTACAGGGTCTAACACAAGTTTCAACAGAGTATAGATAGTCTCAATTCATGTATTTAAAATTTCAGTGATTTTTTTTTTTTTCCAGATTAAAAAGAAATGTTCTTTTTCTTTGTTTCTATAGCTTTTGCCTTATGAACAGTCTTCCCTTTTGGAACTGATAAAGACTGAAAACAAGGTACAAAGTCCTAAACTTAAAAATGTATTTTAAAAAAATGCTTCTGTTATTTGTTAAAATTTACTTTTTCTATTTTCTTTTCTCTCATGAAACTAGGTCTTAAACAAAGTCATCACTGTTTATGCTGCACTTTGTTGTGAAATCAAGAAATTAAAATATGAGGTAATTATTTTTATATCTAAAACTTAAAACCAGATCATTTAGAGCAAAAAAGTGCTTGTATATGTGTGGTGTTCTATGAATATTGAATGTTAAATGAATTATTTGAAATAACAGTAATGCTAATAATACTAATAGTAAGATACTAATAGTTATAACACCATTGCATACTTCTTGTGTGCCAAACACCATGCTTATATGGTTAATCCTCCCTAACTCAGGGAGGTAGGTGAGGAATAGAAGAAACTGAGACTTAAAGAGGGTGTCACTTGTCTAATATCTTGCATCTTAACAGTTTGAATCCAGGTCTGGATACCTCCCAAGTTGGTGTTACCTGCCATATGTAGTGGTAGCTAGATATAACTGATTTCTTAAAAAAACCTTTGAATCCTTATTACCTATTTGGTTTTGTGTTTTCTTACCCAAGAGCCATTTACACTGTGATAAAAGTTGGTTTAAGTGTCATCTTTTTTTCCCTCTCACTCTTTGACACTGTGGTTGCTATCTATTAACTAGTGGAACAGTGTGGGACAATGAGGGTGGTCAGATGAGACAAGGCTAAAGAAATCAGGATATAGCTTTGAGTATCAGTAACATATTTGTTAATCTTAAGAAAAATTGAATTTACTTGTAAGCAGCTTTTGAAATTAAAAAAAAGTTGTAAATGGTGTTGTAGTCCTCTGTTGTTAAGTATAAATAAGAGAGCCTAGAAATTTGAAAACAATGTTTAAAATTATTTTATTATTTTTTAAACAGGCTGAAACTAAGTTTTACAATGGGCTCTTGTTTTATGGAGAAGGAGGTATGTTTTAAAGTTTCAAAATGGTATTGTGGTAATGAGATTGAAATGAACGGAAAGTTGACAGAACATGATTATGTCATGTATTAGTGTGAGAAAAAAAAACATTCCCGTTTTTTGTTGGTTTATTTGGTTGGTTAAAAAAGAGAATTCTCTAAAACTGATTTGTGGTATATTTGTAAGTTACAAAGCATGGTAATGCATGCCTGTTACTCCATCAGAGGCTGAGACAGGAGGATCACAAGTTTGGGGCCAACCTCAGCCACTTAGCAAGACCCTGCCTCAAAATTGAAAAGGCAATGGGGATGTAGCTTGTGGTGTAGCACCCTTTGGTTTAATCCCAGATACCAAACCAAATTAACCCCCCAAAAGTACCATATTTTTCTTGAATTCATTTAATAGTGAAGCAGATGGTTACTTTTAATTGTATGACTAATGTCGCATTTTTCTCTTCAGTAAAAATTCTTTAATGTTATGCAGATTAAAAAAATGAAGAAAAAGACAAGAAAAAATATAACAAATACTATGTGGATTAGAAGATGTCCTACTTAAAAAAATAAGTGTGTTTTGGTGTTGAATTCAGACGAAAAAATTGAAATGTAATTATTCATGTTGCCCTTTAAAGCTACAGATTCCAGCATGGTGGAAGGTGATTGCCAAATTCAAATGGGAAGATTTATTTCATTCTTACAGGTAAGTGATTTTTGCTTTCTAATGAGCTTTTTCTTTTAAAAGTTTGAATAAATCCCAATTTAGAAAGTTCTGAAAACTTTACATGCTAAGGATATGGGTGCTCTGTGAGACACTTAATAAGCATTGGATTGTAGTTTAAGAGATAGACTTCTGAAAAATTTCCGAGCACTCTTAGAGGAATAAGGTATCAAAATCAGTTTCTTTGCATAATTTTTTAAAGGATGATTTATCATGCTTTTTAAAGTAACTTCAACTTTGTACCTTGTGGAAGAAGATAAATTACATGTGGGAAAGTTGTAAATGGTGAAGCTTAAGCTGTTGGGTGAGCACTGATGAGATTGTTAAAAGCAGCGGTGCTTGATGCTTCTAATAGAATATTTCAATTTAGATATGCTTTGTATCTCTGAACAGAGTTTTAGTGATTCCATATCTTTTGGCTTGATTTAATCAAAAGCATGAAATAATCTCTATTCCCTTGCTGCCCCAGTGGGAGAGCATACAATAATGCACAAACTGACAAAAACAAAAATCAGGACTAGAGAAAAAATATCCATAGTTCCACCTCCCTTCTGATTGTTGGATATAAGACTTGATATGTTTTATCAAATTGTGCGTGCAAATATATGGTTCGAATCCTTATAATTTCTTTGTGGGGTGTCTACTTGACCTAATTGAGAGCACTTTGTTGATGATGATATGTGTTATTCAAGGTCTTATCTAGAAAACAAACCACAGAAGGTCCTTCAAAAGAGCTAGATCAGAGGTTACAAAATGGCAAATAGTATAGCAAGAAGTCTAGAAATCTTAATTTACCACATGGGGGCAATAAGCAATAAAATTTTATATGGAATTGTTTTAAATGAGTAGATTTTAGCTGCATTTGACAAAAAACTAATTATGTTGCATACCTTAGATATACACAATAATATTTTTAAAAGAGGGTATTTAATATAAAGAATTGGTTACACAGGAATTAGAGGACTGAAAGAACAAAATAGGTAATCCAAAGGAAGTAGATATGACCTCAACATCAAGGGAACGGAAGGAAAAAGTTGGGTTTTCCAGAATCTAGGAGCTTTAAATAACCATGTGGAATTGGTGTTCATATCCCTGAGGATGTGGCCCTTTCTGTGCTGGTACCTTGAGAGGGTGGTTTGAGGTTATATTTGAAGTGCTGAAAGAAACTGGATACTGGTGCAAACTTCCATTGTTGTGGTGAGGTGCTCTTACATAGGTATCTTGATAAAAACAGCAAAAAATTGAAAGCATGTCCTCTTCCTGCCTCCTAATCTCTTCTTGGCAGAATCTAACAGGAGGTCTTCTGGATAGGAAAGTGTCTAAAAAATATAGTTTATAGGGTTTCAGTAAATGTGTCAGTTTCTCCCCTTAGTTTTATCAAATTTGCATTTCTTAATTTGCAGATATTTTATCCTGTGTATACAAGTTTAGAATTTTTAATGATTCCTGATAAATTTAATCTTTTATTGCTATGAGGTGACTCTTAAGCTATGATAATAATTATATAATATATAATTGTGAGGGCTGGGGTTGTGGCTCAGTGGTAGAGCGCTTACCTAGCATGTGGGAGGCACTGGGTTCAATTCTCAGCACCACGTATGAATAAATAAAATAAAGATCCATTGACAACTAAAAAACTTTATATATATATATATATATATATATATATATATTTGTGTAAATATATGTTACATATACAGGTTGAGAATCTCCTATCCAAAAATACTAAAACATTCAGCTCCAAAATCTGAAACCATTTGAGCACCGATGTGACAATCACAAGTAGAAAATATCATAACCTAGATTAATAAAAATACTGTATCCAATTGCCTGCAGGCTATGTGTATAAAGGGTATATGAATCAAATGAATTTCATATTTAGACTTGGTTCCCATCCCCTGGATATCTCATTATGTATATGCAAATATTCTCAGGTATTCCAGCAAAAGCACAAATCTGGTTCCAAGCATTTCAGATAAAGGATGTTCAACCTGTGTAGTAATTAGCTATAGTAATGCTCATAAAATCTGTTTTGTTTGATAGTAATATTGCTGCCTTAACTCTGTTCTAGTTGGCATTTTCTTGATTTATCATTTTACAATTCTTTCAAATATTTTGTGTCATCATGCATTTTTTAAGAAAAAAAAGCATTTTAAAATAATTGCACATACAGTCATGTGCCATGTAACTGTTTCGGTCAACAGTGGACTGAATTTACAACAGTATTCCCATAAGATTATATTGCTTAGTGGTGTTATAGCTGTATTGATTTGTGTAAATACACTTTATGATGTCTGTACACCTACTCTTAGTGCTGAGGATACAACAGTACACCATAAAACCAACAAAAATTGCTGCCCTCATAGAGCTTAAAATTTAAAATAGTTTTAAATTTAATCAGATGTAAAATATTTTAGATATACACTGTTTCTATAGGTTTAAAAGTTGAGGTCTGAGATACAACAGATGTGAATTTATTATTTAATGACAAGCACAACCCTGGAGTAATTGATACTTCACTTATTGCGTGCCAAGCCCACTTATAGATTATAAAGGTACTTAATATTTGAAGTGATTTCTAGACCCCTTCTCTCATCTTCCTATTTTCCAAAACTGGCAGCCTTTGAGCTCTTTCATTCATGTTGAGCAATAATTCAGTGTTAGCTACCATGCTAGGCAATAGATATTCAAAGACGGAATGAATCCCACTTAGATGCTGTATGAATAGCTCGAACAATAGACTTAAAATAGAAGTATGAATGAAGTGCAGTGGGAACAGAACTAAGAATGCCCTGGGATGCAGGAAGTGAGTTAATTGATTGCTTGAGGAATGCTTAAGTTATTTGACTTGTGGGTAATTGGATATTTTACTAGAAAGTGATTATTTTTCAAAAATTCTCTACCATAAAAATTAGTTTAAAAAGATGACATTTAAAAGGCAATTTTGTAACACATACTCAACTTATCATTTCAGGAACTGTCTTGTTTTGTTACGAGATGCTATGAAGTGGTGATGAATGTAGTCCATCAGTTGGCCGCCCTCTATATCAGTAACAAGTAATGGATTTTAGATACGTTTTTGCTTTTGTATTAGAGATACAGGAAATGTCTTTTAAAAACTGAACATCTGAAATATTTTTTTGTTCACTTATTTATTCAGCATTCTTTGAATGCTTACGATGTTTTAAGTGCTACTTGATGGGTACATTACATAAATTAATAAGCACAATTTCTACCATAGTGCATGACCCCATTATTTGAGAATATCAACCAGAAAAAAAAAAAACTTAGAAGAAATTTGACCATATAGAAAAAAACTAATGTGGAATTTATTCTTGCACTATACTTTCTCTTTGCTCCTTTCTTATCTACATTAGTAGTTTCCTGATTCATGAGACTTTTTTTCTTACAATCAGGGATCCTGAGGAGTGGAGCTAAGGAATCTATCCTGAAAAAATTTTGTAGTCCTATAATCTTCCAAATCGAGGGACCACTATCCTAAATTAAGAAACGTGATCAAGTTTTCCTAGAGCGTTTGCTATTACTACCACACAATAATATCTACCATTTGATTAATTCTTTATACTTAAACATTTTCTCACATTTACTATTTAATTATATCCTTACAGTAATTTTGTTTAGATGTTTGACTAGGGCTCTTTTTAAATTTTTTTATTTTTAGTTGTAGATGGACACAATACTTTTATTTATCTATTTGTATATGGTGCTGAGGATCAAACCTAGTGCCTCACATGTGTTAGGCAAGCATTCTACCACTGAGCCACATCCCCAGCCCCTTGACTAGCACTCTTAATGATAAGAAGAGATATATGAGGCCCATAGAAGTTATTTATTAAGATTCCATGGTAACTTTGGCACTGTTACTTTGGTCATCAGTTGATTCATTGTTCTAAAGGTGTTCTAAATATACCTTAACTCTAATTCATTAATTCATTGTTCTAAATGTACCTTAACTCTTCATAAATGGGTAGAATGTTTTTACTCTCATTCTCATGCATTTCTTATCAGGTACTTTTTTGTTCTGGCTTATCAGTGAAGTTATCCCTGTATCAGGAGGGAGTGAGAGTATAGCTCCCCGTCTCTCCCGGCCCCACCTCGACCCTGAAGGATGAAATTGATTTGAATTTTCTCTTTATTTTAAAAATGTGTTCTTTGAAATATCTGTATGTATTTTAACATATAAATACTATTGTAAATTATTTATTGTTGAGTAAATTGGATGTTTAGGAAGGAAGTGAAATGAATTTTTCTGTGGCTTTTGACTTTAGTATAATCTTAGAAGTATGTTTTTCAGTAGGAATAAGAGCAAGAAATCAATCTGACCAAAGAGAGGCCTAGCTCCAAAATACCACTTCGAGTAGGATACAAAGAGCCTAGCTGATAATTGAAGAATTCTAATAGTTAGAAAGATATAAGTTTTAGTTTTGTTATTTCTGTCATTATCCAGGATATATCTTTTAGGTTTAAATTGTTAGGATTATTCATGGACCACATGTTGTCATGTCCCTTCCTGTGAGTACACAGGGATAGCAGTCTGAATGCATAGGTCAGTTCCCTTCTTAGGAGAGAGGAACATGGTAGTAATTTCTTAGATCTCTTAAATTTTAATGACTGAAGCCTTAAGATGAGTGCATATTAAAATTCTAAGAGCTTCTGCTAATGTGTATATTCTTTAAAATAAGAATGAACTGTTTCTTTAAAAAAAGCAATTTTTTTTTAACTTGGGTGTTATTTTATTATAGGATTGCCCCCAAAATTATAGAGACAACTGGAGTTCATTTTCAGGTAATTTAACTTGACCAGTAAAGCTCATTTTTACTGTGTTTTACTTTGGAGTATGTGTGATTAGGAAGTGTAACAATCATACCAAGATTCTTATAGGATTTTTTTTCATATTCTCTTTTCACTTGTGTAGTTGATGAGGCATTACTGACTATCAATGTTATTTTTAGTTTTCCTGGTTGTGGCCCAGTACAGATTCTTCATAGTCTCTTTTGATCAGTGAAATAAATCTGCAAAATGTCATAATTAAGGAAGAAATATTGGGCAAAGTGTTCTCTATTTAAGACTGATAGTCTCATTTGAGGATCAAACCTGTAGTTTAATAAACTGATGTTACTCTCCTGCTTTAACTAATTCATTAATTAGCCCAAATATTTTACTTTAAAAATCTATATGAGGCTTAATTTCTAACTAGTGACTAAATGATAATCATTAAAGGTTTTTTGACAGACTATGTATGAGCACTTGGGAGAACTGCTGGCAGTTTTGCTCACTCTGGATGAAATTATTGATAATCATATCACACTGAAAGACCACTGGACTATGTACAAAAGGTACATCAATTAAAATAACTTTATTCTCTTACATTTATGAAGATAGTACTGTTGCTTAATTTCAGATGGATTTGTCTGAGGGCATGATAAACCTATATAAAGCATATTCATTCATTTTGTTTTTGTATCAGGGATTGAACCCAGGGGCACTTAGCACTGAGTCACATCCCCAGCCCTTTTTTAAATTTTTTATTTTGAGACAGGGTCTTCTCAGTTGCTCAAGTCCTCACTAAGTTGATGAGGCTGGCTTCAAACTTGCAATTCTCCTGCCTTAGCCTCCTGAGCCAGTGGGATTTAAGGTGTGCACCACTGTGCCTAGCAAGCATCCTCATTCTTAAGAAGAGTCAAATGTTAATTTACCTGCCTTAGGACTCTGATTTATTTTTTTCCTTGGACTCTATTCAAGTGATGTTTTTTTTTCTCTGAATTGGCTTCATTTTATTACATGCTCTAAAACTTTATTTTATGTTTTATTCAGTGTATAAATATTCACTAAATATCTGGTATATACAGAGCTCCAGGCATCTGAATTTAAGATGATATAAAGAAGCAAAAGAAAATTTCATATATGAGGATTATTCTGCTCAAATTTTCAAATGTATAGCACCAAATAAGAATGAGGAAAAAGTTTGAGTTTTTAATAATTCATTAAGTAGATTTAAGATCTTTTTCCTGCTTTTCTACAAGGTTACTGAAGTCTGTACATCACAACCCTTCCAAATTTGGAATTCAGGAAGAAAAACTAAAGCCATTTGAAAAGTTCTTGTTAAAACTAGAAGGGCAGTTACTTGATGGCCTGATATTTCAGGTGAGTAGAGCTGTATCAGGCTATAACCAATGAGCTTGTTATTAGTTAACCCAGCTAAGAATTTTTTGAATACTGTTGAGTTTGTTTTTCTTTAAAAAGTGCTTTGACTTAAAATCATTGTTAGTGTATTAATTGATAACTATTTTGGTATCTAGTAGTAAACAAAAAAGTGTATTGATTGTACTAGGGGTGAGGGTTTTCTTTTAAATTATGTAAAAGGAGAAAATTAAGGACTAAGATTTAAGTGTTTGTGTTAAATATTTTTTATTGTTAAATACATGTTGTTTGTTGTTAAATACCTCTAGATTTAGGTTTGTAAAACTACCTTAAAAACATCTGATGAGGGGCTGGGGTTGTGGCTCAGTGGTAGAATGTTCACCTCGCACATGAGAGACCCTGGGTTCGATCCTCAGCACCACATAAAAATAAATAAACAAAATAAAGATATTGTGTCCATGTATAACTAAAAAACCATTAAAAAAAAAGTCTGATGAATTCATCCTAGGCTCAAGGAATATAATGTTGAGTCTGCACAGTTCGTTTAGTACCTTCTATGGATGTTTAAATTCTGATTAATTTAAGTAGCATACATTAATTACTATTTTTTTTTTTTCTGCTGCTGGGGATCAAACCAAGGCCTTCATATATGGTAGGAATCACTCTACTATGAGCTATATCATTAGCCCTAAAAATCACTTTCTTAGTCATAATAGCTACATTTAGTATTACCATTACCTAATAGTCACATGTAATTCATGGCAAACTGTTAATTAGATAGCACATAATCAGAACGTTTCCATCATCACAGGAAGTTCTGTTGGAGAGGTCTGACTTAGGTAGTGTCCCCAAGAGACTGGATTATATTCTGTTTTACATGTGCTTCAGGGTAACTTTTAATTTATATTGCTCATGATCACAATTTAAATAGAGTAATCCCAGCTTTTGTTTTTATAATTTAACTGTTCATTAGATTCAGAAGGTAACTATTTTTGATATTTATTCTTTTGCCAGGGGATATTTCCATACATACTATAATAAAGTGCTAGGAAAGCAAATGTAAACAGAAAAAAATATAGGTTCTACCCTTGAGAGTGCAAAGTAAAAATAAAAACATGTTTCCCAGTGTGTCATCAGAAATATTTTCTGTATACCTCTTAAGCATCATTTTGGATATCTGTTTATCCAGAATTAGATATTTGGGGTTTAGTTTTATTACTTTCACATAACTGTAGTCAGATGTATAAGTACATACACATTTTTCAGTCAAGAGGACTTAGGTACTAAAGTAAGAATCTGTGTTTCAGTTTTAATAATATTAAAATGATAACTATAGGTGTTTATCATATATTTTAAATGTTTGATTCTTTATGATTAAGAGTCTCAATTTCTCTTTAAATATCTCCTGTATAGGCTTGTATAGAACAACAGTTTGATTCTCTCAACGGTGGAGTATCTGTGTCAAAGAATAGCACTTTTGCTGAAGAATTTGCACATAGTATTCGCTCAATTTTTGCAAATGTAGAAGCCAAACTTGGTAATATAGATCACATTTTGGGGTTTTTGTTTGCAAAGTTTGCATTGCCTTATAAGCATAATTTAAGTGTATTTTTCTCTTGTGTTATTATTTTATAAGGAGAACCTTCTGAAATTGACCAGAGAGACAAGTATGTTGGAATTTGTGGACTCTTTGTACTGCACTTTCAAATTTTTCGAACTGTTGATAAAAAATTTTATAAGTCTTTGTTGGATATTTGTAAGAAGGTATGAATTTGGAACTTATTTTTTGAGTAGATTGAAAAGATTTTGGATATAACTAGATATTTAAATATATTTTATTCTTATTTACAAAAATAATTCGATAGTATTCAGAGTTTTTTTCTTCCACATTTTCTTATTGGTGCAATATAGATGTATGTAATTATGGGATATGTTGTTACATATTTGTACATGCACACAGTGTAACAATAAAATTTGGCCAGTATCTTGATAGTATTCAGTTTTAAAATCCAAGCGTTCCAGAAATAAGTAACATAGTAAATGAAAATATTCTGTAATTCCACTTCATAAGAGTATATATAGACAGGTGGATGTTTAGATTTTTTTTCTTATATATTTTACTGCTAATACTGCATTTTTCTTCTGTTTTTTCCTCTTCTTTTTGTCACTCAGTCTTACTGTTAACGTAGAAAAAATTTAAAAGTATTTTTTCTGCTAATGTATAAAAAAATTAATTTTTTTCTGCTTCTTTGATATTTCCCTGGGATTTCTGAATTGAAAATTTAGTTTGTTTGTAATGTCATCAAATTATACAGGACCACATGAGAACCAGCCATCAGTTTTTTTCCCCCCTCTCATTTGAAAAAAAATTTCTTTTCACTAATAATAGAGTGAAAGTAAGGACATAAGGATTCAAGTTTTTATTTGTACTTTCATTGTAAAATCTGTAAAAGAGCGGGGAATTGGGTGTGTGTATGTTCCTGCGTATGTGTTAATATTTGGGAAGAATAAAATTGACATGTTCAGCACCAGAAATAGAAATGCTTTCACTTTATGCCATAATAAAATATTTGTTTTATAATATATTAATGAGTTTTTTTAGTTCTGTTTTGATTTTTGGTACTGGGGATTGAACCCAGGAATGTTTACCACTGAGTTGTATCTCCATGCCTTTTTATTTTTAAATTTTATTTATTTATTTTTGTGTACTGGGGATTTATGTTTTTGTACCCATAAGCACTTAACCATTGAGCCACATCCCCAGCCTTTTTTTTTAAATACTTTTATGTATGTATGTATGTATATATGTATTTATTTATTTTTATGTGGTGCTGAGGATCAAACCCAGGGCCTCACACATGCAAGGGATGTGCTCTACTACTGAGCCACAACCCCAGCCCCAGCCCCAGCCTTTTTATTTTTTAAAAAATTTATTTAGAGATAGGGTCTTTCTGAGTTACTCAGGGCCTTGCTAATTGCTGAAGCTGGCTTTGAACTTGTGATCCTCCTGTCTCAGCCTCTCGAGCTGCTGGTATTACAGGCGTGCTCCACTATGCTCCTTTTTAAATTTTTGAGACAGGGTCTCACTAAGTTGTAGGGGGCCTCTCTAAATTGTGAAAGCTGTTCTCAAACATGAGATCCTATTGCCTCATTTTCCCAAGTCACTGGGATTGCAGGCATGCGCCTTAGCACCTGGCTCTATTAATGAATTTTTTTGTGTGGTTACTTTTTCATGATTTGTTTACATTGTAGAACTACTAAACAGTGTGTTGTTAAGCTTGCATTTAATATTTTTTTCTCCCTTGTCTTCACTGTTTCAGGTACCAGCCATCACATTAACTGCTAATATTATTTGGTTTCCTGATAATTTTCTGATCCAGAAAATACCAGCAGCTGCCAAACTTCTAGACAGAAAAAGTCTTCAAGCCATTAAAATACACAGGGATAGTTTCTTACAGCAGAAAGCTCAATCACTTACCAAGTAGGTTTCATAGGCAATTCTAGTGAAAATATATGTTTTATAATGTTTTATATTGAAAGCATTTGAATTATAAGATCAAGGGTACTTTTTCATTACCAGAGAAATTTGGGCAATTTCCAGATTTATTTTCTAGAAACTTTTTTAAAAAAATTGTGCAGGCTTAAAGTCAGTTTAAAGTGTAGGCTTATTGTTTATAGATACACTTTTTATTAGCCATATTTTTTTTTTTTTTCCTAAAGTGAAGTCTGATTTATTTTCAGTATGTCTTTTTTTTTTTTTTTTCGTACTGGGCATCAAACCCAGAGGTGCTTAACACTGAGCCACATCCACAGTCATTTTTATTTTTTATTTTGAAATGGGGTCTAAGTTGCTTAGGGTCTTGCTAAGTTGCTGAGGCTAGCCTCAAACTTGTAACCCTCCTGCCTCAGCCTCTTGAGTAACTGTGATTCTAAGCATGTGCTACCTCACCCAACAATGTATGTCTTTTGATGAAATCAGGAACCTTGGGTGTTCATGATATTTGGAGGAATTGACTTTAACTTGCTGCTCTTCTTTTTATTCCTCTTTTTACTTACTTATCTGAATTTCTGTTTCTTTATTTTGCAGTACTAGGGATTAAGCCCCAGGCTTTGCACAAGCTAGACAAGTGTTCTACCACTCAACTATATCCCCAACACATTTTGTTTTGAGACTGGATCTCAGTAAATTGCTGAGGTTGGCTTTGAACTTTGGAACTTTGGATCCTTCTGCCTCAATTCTATTAGTTGTAGGGATTGTAGACATGCGCCACTATGCCCATCTTATTTTTATTTTTATGAAAGTAATGTATGCATATATTTAAAAAGTCAAAAAGTGATAAAGCTTAGAGAGAAAAAGAATTGTCCTGAGCCCAATTGTCCTGTTCTTCCCTGTACCTCAGTCCTACTTCCTAAAAGAACACTTAATTCTTTGTTTCTTCAGACATTTACATCTTTATGTTTTGTTTATCTCTTATTGGGTTAATTTTCAAACATGCACATAAAAAAATAATGTAAAGAAACATGTTTTCATCACCCAGCTTCAGAAATCAATGTATAGCACATTGTTACATGAGTATACTGCTAACACTTGTTAAATTGGATGAAGATTTTAAGTAAAATGGCATGAGACTATACCATTGACTTTGTTCTGTATACGTATATTGTCTGTGTTATGATGAAAAATATAACAGGAATTCTTAACTACTTTCTGTTGATCCTGATGATCAAGGTGAAATTGGGTCTCTGCTTTACAGTGAGGGAAGGAGAAACATTACTGAAATACAGGAAATCCTTAAAGTATCTTTTAGGAGCCGCATTTATTGTGATTAGTCAGTGGAAAATGATAACACTTCAGGTAGGTCTGCTCACAGCAGAGATACCAGAGCTCTATTGTACATCCTAAAACAGTGGAAGAGGGACAAAGGTTTGGGTATAAAGAGGTGAATTTAATATCAGATGGAGAGTTAGGTTAACAGGAATTAGGTTAAAAATAGTTGCGTTATCAGTAAGTTAAAAAAAATGTGTGGGTAATTAAGTTCTTAGAAGCTCAGTATTCTTTTGTGGTGAGATGCAGTTGTTAAAAATGCCAGTGTATCCTCGGATTACATGAATAAACATAGTACCCAGGTCATGGACCTATCTGGGCCAAGGGAATTGTTAGTTTCATTAAATTCTTATTGGTTAGATCATAGTTAGTGTTTGGAAGTACTGCTTTTTACAAGGGCCAGAACTCCAGCTAAATAAAGCTGATCAGGATGGCAGAGGATCTGGTGAACCATGCCTTCTCTTTTTAAAGGCCATGGAGAGTCTTTCTGTAGTTTGTCCTTTAAAAGAGAAATCTGAAGAATGATGTGGTGAGTTTCTTTCTGAGGGTCATTCAGAGTGAAGAGAGAGCAGATTTGATCTCTGTGGCTCCAGAAGATTAAATTGAAAATGGAAGGTGGAGATAACAGATAGTAATGATAACATTTTAGAGCAATTCATTATGTAGCAGACCTTGTGCTGAAGGGTTATGCACATTGTCTCACGTAAATTCTGTAATAATTTTAGGTGAGAAATAATAAAAGTAACAGCTGGAGACTATGGAGTGCTCACTGTATGTAGTGTGTGTGTATTATGTATGTATGTATATGTGTGTGTGTGTGTATGTGTGTGTGTGTGTATATATATAAAATTTCAGGAACTACTCACGTATTATTTCCTCTATTTACCAGAAAAGCCCACGAAGTAAATAGATAACTCATGTTGTTGCCATTATATAGATTAGAAATGTTAAGTAGAGAGAGACTAAATTTTCCCACGTCTAAATAACTATTAGGTGGCAGAACCAGGAAGTTCAGGTTGGAGCCCAAACTATTAACTGCTACTCTAAAATTTTTAATCTTATTTTTAGGAGGAAAATTCGTTTTAGAGAAATGAAGTTTGTCAGGCCACACACTTCAGTACACATTAGAAAAGGAATTCAAACTGGTATCAGTCCTGTTGTAGGGCATCTCCAGTGGGTAGAGTTGTGCAGGTTGCTCTGAGATAATATACTGTGCTTCACTGGAGCTGTGTGCAGTGTAGATGAACATCAGCCCACCGGACAGTAGGAAGTGAGTCTTAGTAGGTAGAGATAGAAGTTCACATACAAATTTTGTTTCTAAATTCATTTGAATCCAAAGTTCGATCCATCTCTCTCTCTCTCTCTATATATATATATATATATAGAGAGAGAGAGAGAGAGAGAAAGAGAGAGAGATCTTTATTATTTCTCACCTAAGATTATTACAGAGTTTACATGAGACAGTGTACATGATATATATATATGTGTGTGTGTGTGTGTGTATGTGTGTGCGTGTATAAATAAAATTTTGGAGTTTCAGAGAGCTGAAGGTGGTGGTTATGTTTTTCATTCTTTTTGCAATTATGCCAGAAACCTAAAATTCACGTCGCTAAAGTGAAACTCTGGAGAAGGGAAATGCAGTCAGTGTGAGCTTTGTCCTGACATTTTAAAGCAAGTTGGGGGGTGATAGAGCTGTCTGAAGGGTGGGCTGCAGTGTTTATGTAAGTGAAGAGGGAGGACTGCAGGAGTTTCCCTGCCCCTATACTAAATGTTAGATTTGAAGTCATCAGTGTTCCAGCCACTGCCTTCACTGGGATTCAAAGTCTGTGGTCGCTACATTTTGCTTTTCATTCACAACCATTTTGACCCTCAAAAATAACTGCCTTTAGGGGATAGAGGTCTAAACCCTTGTGTCACTCTAAGGTTAACATACTGTTGTTGACATTGCTTAGTGCTTTTTATTGGGACAGGAAATTTTTTTTTGTTGTTGTTGTTAGTGTTTTTCCTGTTTGTACTTTGAAAGGAAGCTGATAATCTGATGAGACTCTGGGGCATTTTTATACTTTTTGTTAACTTGAAGCAGTTTCAAGATCTGGCTCTGAATGTGAGAGTGATGGGCAAAACTGATGTAAACCTCTACTTTGTTGACAGTGTGATCTGAGGCTGAGAATGCTTTTGTAATGCCTTATGCATAATTGATCTACTTGCTGTCAGGGAATGCTACATAGTCTAGTCTCTTTTTCTGATCCTTGCTTATGACTTTTTTTTTTTCCATATGAAATTGCCAATATCCTGCCATTTTTGACCAGCAAAATTAGTAGTTTTTTACATACTCAACATAATATAATAAAACTCCTTATATTCCTCACTCATTTTCAACGCACAGCTCTTATGAATTTCACTGGAATTATCTTACACTTTATATTCACCCTGAACATTTGTCTTTTCTAAACATGACTCTTTTCTAGAACTCCTGTTCATAGTATTCCAGTGCATCTCCTTCCGATCCTTGCCCTACCAGACAAAGCATCCTACCCAGCCTACAAGTCCACATTTATTCTCATTCTCACCTGGGACACTTCATTTATCACACTCCCTGGACCATCAGATGCATCATCCCCATCGCTCTTCCCACTGGGAGTTCTTTCATCACTTCCTTCAAGATCCCCCTGAGTTGTTGCTCATGACCCATCTAGGTGCCTCCTGAAAACTGAAAGTGCTGCTGTAAGACCTTGTTTTTTCACTGTTCCATACTTTAAAATAGATGTTTAACAATATATTTCAGCACCTTTGGAAGCAAAGCCAAAACTGTAACTATTGGTATCTTTTGTTTAATGGAATCATGGCACCGCAGAAATTGTTTTTCTCAGAGTTTTATGCTAGGGGTTGCTTTATACCCCTAAACACATTGCAGATTTTGATGTAATCCCTTTTCAGACTTAGTTTTTGAGATTGACAGTTTGCCTGGCAATGTGGCTACCCACCAACCTCATTGTGGGATTCTACCCTTAGTCAAGTGAGTATCTTTAGTCTCCTGCCCCAAAGAGCTCTCTGTTAGTGATTCTGACTGGCAATAGTCAGATATTTCTTTATGCTATCTGAAGAAGGGTTTTAAAAAAGAATTAGTATTGTTGGATCACATAAAAAGGAATTATTCATTTTTTGCACATTTTTTTTTAGAGAGGAAAATTTGAATAACTTGTAGGAGTTAAAATTTCCCATCCGAATTAGACATATTGGCCGAGTGATTTGTTTGTAATCATTCTGAATAGTAGAATTACCCTTATTGTTTGTTTTCAGGATGGGACAGCTTCCTGGATTTGGGCTTGAATATTAGTGTGGAAGCTTACTAGTTGTATGATCTTGGCATATTACTTCTGTGTGATAGTTTCCTCTTCTGTAAGGTGGAAATCTAGCATCTACCTCATAAGGTCAATGTGAAGACTGAATTAGCAAATTTTTGTAAATGCTTAAAAAAGTGGCTGGCAGACAGCATTCAATAACTGTGATCTTTTCAATTGAGATTCTGGCCACTTCCATTGTTCTTTCTGGTTCAAGCTGTCATTCTCTTTATCTTGCATTATTACAGTAGCTTGCTTGGTGCTTTTCCTAAGAAAACCATTGTCCCCTCTATAGTTTGTCAGAAAAGTGATACTGATCATCATAAAGTTAGATCAAGTCACTCTGATCAGATCATCTAGTGGCTTCCCATGTCACTGAGTTGAAGTCCATTCTTTCCACAAGGACTTCCAGTCTCTTCCCCACATCTTGAGCCACCACCCCTGTACTTCTCTGTTCTCCTTTTCTGCTCTCATTCCTGCTTAGTCTGCTCTAGTCATACTGACTAAATTTTTGTTATTAACTAAACATGCCAGACACATTTCCAAATGTCTTAGGACATTTACGCTTATTACTTACTTTCCTTAAATTCTGTTCTTATATATTTTGCCTTGATTAGTCATTCAATTTTTTTCAATCTTGGCATGAAGTCACCTACTTAATTAGCCTACTTTGATCACTCTATTTAAAACTGTACCCCTGATCCAGGCCCTGCCCCTTTCTCTGCTTTATTTTTTTCTCACAGGATGTATTCTCTAACATCTTTGAGTTATTTTAAGATTTTAATTATTGATTTCTTGATTATGTAACTCTAGAATATAAGCTTCACAGAGGAAGGGATTTGCATCTGTTTTGTTCTCAGTACTATATAGAATGCCTCACCTGTATAGGCACTCAGGAAATATTTGTTGAGTAAGTAAATTATATCTATGATATCTGTCTTTTGAATGGCTGCTGTAAGGAAAAATTTTATTCTGATCAACATGATAAAAATCGAACTCAATTTCTTTCCTGTGCTTAGTAACCCCAATATTTTCCTTTGTTAGAGATGTACAGTCTTACTACGTCTTTGTGAGCTCATGGATGATGAAAATGGAATCTATTTTATCTAAAGAGCAGAGAATGGATAAATTTGCCGAAGACCTCACCAATAGATGTAATATTTTTATACAGGTAGTTACGTCTTCCTTTTTGGAATATTTTTGGGGGTAATTTCTTTGTTAATTTAATTTATAGAAGTTACAATTGGAAAAAACTGGGAAAGGATAAGGGTATGTTTTTGTGTTAAAAAATTCTTTTGGTTATTTTTGGATAAATGTGCCTTATTAATTTGGATTTCCTAACCCAAAGCTATGCATTCCCTTTAAAGCATGACTTTTTTTAACTGCATCTCATAAATTTTAATGTTGTATTTTCATTATCAGTTTAAAATATTTTAAAATTTTAATTGTGACTTAAATCTGTGGGTTTTTAAATGTTTCTTAATTTACAAGTTAATTTCGTAGTTATCTTTTTATTACTGATTTGAAGCAATATTCAAATTATTTGTTTTGAAATTTATAAAGTCCTAGTCTTGGCTCAGCATTCGTAAACATTTTATGTGTACTTGGAAAGAATGTAAAATTTACATTTGTCAGTTGCAGTGTTATGTATACGACAAGAGGCTTACTTTTATAAATGATTTTTTCTGTGTATTCTATTTGTTATTGAGAGAGTTGGGTCAGAATCTCCTACTATTGTGCATTTGTCTATTTAGTTTTGTAGTTCTGTCAATTTTTGTTTCATATGATTTGAGATTATGTAGATTATGTATTAAGTTTAGAATTGTTATATCTTGTAGAACTGGACTTTTTATCATTATGAAATGTGTGTTTGTGGGCTGGGGATGTAGCTCAGTGGTAGGGCATGTGCTTAGCATGTGTGAGGCTCTGGGTTAGATCCCTAGCACCCCTGCCCCTTGAAAAAAATACTTGTTTATCTTTAGTAGTGCTTTTTGTCTTAGGTCTCTTTTGTGTGATATTAACATAGCTGTACCAGTTTTCTGTTAGTTAATATCTTCATGGTATATCTTTCTTGATATTTGTACTTAGAGCCTTTTGGCTCCCTATGTGTGTCTCCTGTAAGTAACATTTTTTCCCCAATCTGATAATCTTTGTTTTTCATTGAACTTTTTTAAAAAAATGTATGTAACTATTGATGTATATACATTTTTAAAAAATATTTTTTAGTTGTAGATGGAAGAGAATAACTTTATTTTTATTTGTTTATTTTTATGTGGTGCTGAGGATTGAATCCAGTGCTTTACACATGCCCCAGCCCTTGATGTATATATTTTTAAAACTATCACTTAACTAGTTGCTTTCTGTTTGTCTACTTTTGTTCTATATCCCTTTTCCTTCCTTGTGGATTATTTTTACCATTTTATTTCTCATTTTTCTAATAGCTTGTTATTCTGTATTTTACTGTTCTTTTTGAGATTACTCTAGAGATTTAAAGATGCATTGTTTTCTCACTCAGCTCTCATATAACTTAGTAGTTTTACCACTTTCCAGATAATGTAATGGTTTTAAACCACTTTAATTCTGTTTATTTCCCTCTCACCTTTTGTGTTGCTATTGGTAACTTTGATTCTTTGTATATTTTAAATATAAGCATTATTTTTGCTTATATTTTGTTATTTTTATAGTCAGTGTTCATCTGGATTCACACTGCCCTATACTTTCTGTTTCTTTTCATCCTTGTGTGGAATACCTGCTAGTAATTCATTTAATATGCATTTTTTTTTTTTTTTGATGAATTGGCATAGTTTTGGGTCTGCGTATGTCTTCATTTCAGTAGTTTTGCTGTGTTAGAATTCTGGGTTGGCTGGTTTTTTTCATCTAGGTTTAAAGATGTCATTGTTTTCTGGCTTGCTTTGTTTTTGTTTTAAGTTAGCTGCTGATTTTAAATCTTTTTTTTTTTTTTTTTAAGACATCTTTGTTTAATTACCTGTAAGATTTAGGTTTTGGATTTTGGCAGTATTACTGTGATGCTCCTAAGTGTTTGTGTACGTGCTGTTTGGAATTTGTAGTTTCTTGAATTTGTGGGAAATTCTCAGTCATGCCTCAGTACTGCTTCTGTTCTTTTCTTTTTCTATTCTTATTCTCTATATCTAATCTGCTGTTTAGGATAGATTGGGAACCCAGTCTACCACAATCAGTCTAGGACAGTTGGCAGCCTGGATCACATCAATCCAGTCATGGATTGAGATGATTTGAAGGACTTCAAACTTCTGATGGCTAGTTTTGTTCCAGTTCACCCTTAATTGGGGGAGGGGGCAGGTAATCCATCTTTTCAGGGTCCCCAGAGCCTGGATGGTTTCTCAGAACTTTTTCCCCTCCTTGATGGGCTGTGAACTCCTGTTTTTTATCCTCTTCCCTGGAGACATTGTTGAAAGATGTACTTTGCTTTTGTCTTTAACAGAATCCTCTAAGGTAGATATTCTAAGAGAAGGCAACCCCAAATACTGGCTCCCTTCTCTGGGTTTCTGTCTTCTCTTAGATCTTGGCCTCCTGTTTTCTTACTTTTTTTCTAGCTCTTTCATGCCTTCCGAAAGATTTCAGAACTGTTTTGCTCACCTTTTCTAGTTCTCAGTGGGAAAGGTGGTTCATATTATTCATTCTGTCATTAACAGTAAGGTCCCAGACTCTCCTGTCCCCATTTAGATTTTAAAGTACATCCTTCATGTGTAGCCAGTTCACAGATTAGTGATGAAGCGGGTGGAATGGGCCCAGGTGTTCTGTACTTCAAGCCCCCAATTGGGGGAAAAAAAGGAATCCTTTTTTCTGCCTGCCATAGTGTGGCAGCAGAATGGAGTCTGTCTCTTCCCTGGCAGGTAAGATAATGATGAGTAGATACCTTCCCGGTTCTTCTGTTTCTGCTTTGTAACTTTTTCCGGCATGGCATTAGGGCAGGGTTGATGTGATGGTCTGTAGCTGACAAGGTAAGACTTGCAGCTCCTTCTTGAAGTATATCCCATGCTTTGGTCTTACTGCCACTTTTCTTTCTCTTTCATTTCCTCATTCTCATACTTAAGCATGTTTCTTCACCACAGGTGAGTAGTGGTTCAGAGAAACTCCCACTTCTACTCTGTGTTGAGTATCATTCCTTTAGCAGAGCCATGGTTACTTCTGTGAGAGAACTTTCTCATGTGTGGTGGGGCAGGAGAAAAAGGTTGACAAACACTGGTGTAGATCCTGTCTCACCTTCTTGCCTGTATCCACAATTACATAGTTGGTTCATCTTTGAAATATAAATGTATATTTTGGGGACCTGTAGAAGCCCAGAGAATTGCTATCATTATCTTTGCATTTCTGTGTGTCTCTTTTGGGTTTAAAGGAAAATATATTTGAGCTGGGTGTGGAAGCGCATACTATAATCCCAGCTACTTGGGAGGCTGAGGCAGGAAGATTGCAAGTTCAAGGTCAGCCTCAGCAATTTAGTGAGACCCTGTCTCAAAAGTAAAAAATAAAAAGGGCTGGGGATGTGGCTTATAGAATCTCTGGTACAAAGAAAAGAAAAAAATTGAGAGTTAACGTCCCTTTTTCCTGTTTTCTTATTCATTCTTTCCCTGAATTTAATAGTGTTAAAAATGTTTTTAAACCTGTGCTTCCTTCATGAATTGAAGGGGAGGAGGCAATCTGTTCTCAGTGAGCTAAAAGGAGAAAAGGCCTGATTATCAGAGACAGGATAGCAGATGGACTGTGTGGACTGGTCTAGGAAAAGAGGAAAGGTGGAAGCGACTTGGAACTCCTTGTGTGTCTGCTTTGATCAGAAAGCAGCTCTCTTCTTTTCCAATTCCTAGCTCTTTAGAGTCCTCAGTTCTTGCCCTAAGTGGCAACAGATAGGAGTCTGTTCTCTTCCCTGGCAGGTAAGATGAGGAAGAGTAGAAACCTCCCTGACATCCAAACCATTTCTCTGAATTTTTTTTTAATGGAAATATTTAAAAACTGATTATATTCTATAATTTTAATGGTACTAATCTTCTGGTTTTTGTGGTAGTCTAAACTTTAAGGGCTGCTTTAAACTTAAATTGTCCCTGAAAGCAAGATTATTTCAAAATTTTAAGACTGGCTTTAAAAGGAACTTGAAAACACTAATTATTGGCAAGTTGGGGACTAACTACTATTAACATAGAGAATTAAGTCTTGAAGAAAGGAAATCTTTTCTTATGATTATACTCAGTGTTTTATTTTCTTTTACAGGGCTTCTTATATGCATATAGTATTAGTACTATTATTAAAACCACGATGAATCTCTACATGTCCATGCAAAAGCCAATGACCAAAACCTCAGTTAAGGCATTATGCAGGCTTGTTGAACTTCTGAAGGTAGGTCTTGGGTTATGTTACCTTGCCATCATGTTTCTCAAATGACCCAGTCTTAAATTAGAATGATCTTGTAACATTTGACTTTTTGTTTACATGAGAACAAAAACTTGTGAAAAAGTGTACTTGCCTCTCAAACGAAATTTCTAAATATTGCGAATGTTCATTACAGATGCTTCTTGACTTATGATGGAGTTATGTACTGTTAACCTCATAACTTAGTGTAGTCCTCCTTAATATACCCAGGATGCAGATGGGCAAAATCATCTAATTCAAAGCCTATTTTTATAATAAAGTGCTGAATTCATCTTATGTGATTTATTGAATAGAAAGGGAAAAACAGAACATAGGCTTTATACCATTATAAAGTAGAAACATATAACATACCATTATAAAGTAGAAAAATTGAAGGTTGAAGACTGCTTATATAGTTAAACTTTATTGAAGGTTAAGGTAGTGAGAAAGGAAATAGTAAGGTTTTAGTATTATTAGTTCAGTTTTATTTATGGAAATTTTAAAAGTGATTTTTAAAAATTTAAAAGCATGTTAAATGATGTTAAAAAACCACAACATCCGGTATGTTATTTTTTATTTTTATATCCATTATTTTATAATGTTCACATGCATATGAGATTAGTTAATAGGAAAATTTTTTGATATTTAGAAAAAGTGCTTATAATCTTGTGATTTGAACAGTAGGCTACTTACAGAGGTGGTCATATGAATTCAAAATTATAGTACTTGTGGAAATATAAAATGTTTCTTAGCATATAGTGTAAATAAAAAATAAAACTTTCAAGCAGGAGAGCCCAATTTATCTTATATAAAAATTTAAGATTTACTGGTAAACATCTGCTAACAATGGACATTAGATTTGTTTAGGAAATATTTTTTTTTTTTTTTTAATATTGTGCCTTTGGATTTTCAGGGTTTTTTTTTTAAGAAATATTTTTTTTTAAATGAAATATAAATATGGATGTGAGTATATATAATATTTCAGTATAGTTTTAAAAAGAACAAATAGTATCCCACTGAAGAAATAGAGTGTTACCAGTGATTTCAAAGCCTCCTGTGTGTCCCTTTTGGATTGGATCTCAACCAGGCTCCTCAGAGGAAATCAGTGTTCTGAAATTTTAGGCTTATTCCCTTATTTATCTTTTTAGCTGAATCCATGAACCACTCATAGTTACATTTGGCTGTAGAGTTTATGTTGATGGAGTAATACTTTATATATATTCCTTTTGTCTTTTTTACTCATCATTTTGTATTGGAATATGTTGGGATTAGTAGCTGTATTATGTTGCTTTCCATTGCTGGTGGCTTGCTTGAGGATGGAATTGAGAGTGGTTTCCAGTTATTGCTATTATAAACAGTGCTGCCATTCATGTGTTTCTTGGTGTATCCGTGGAAGAGTTTTTCTAATGTAATATATACCTATGAGTTCATTGCTGGATTGTAAGCTATGTGTGTATTCAAGTTTTAGGATGAAGACAAATTGTTTTCCCAAATAATTATGTCATTTTATAGACCTCCCATATATATTAGACTTCCTCTTATTCTCTAGCTGGCCAGCCCTTGTGTAGGTTGAATAGCATCTGAAATGTTTGGGACCAGACATGTTTAGGATCTCAGTTTTTTTTTTGTTTTTAGAATATTTGCATATGTGCAGTGAGGTATCTTAGGAATGAGATCCAAATCTAAACATAAAATTCACTAAGAGTTTCATATATACCTCATACAAATATCCAGGAGATAACTTCATACGATGTTTTTTTTTTTTTTTCATGCCCTTGCTTTGACCATGACTCCTTCACATGAGATCAGGTGTGGAATTTTCCATTTGCCGTGTTATGTTAGTGCCCAAAAAGTTTTGATATTGGAGCATTTCAAATTTCTGATTTTTAATTTAGGGATACTTAACCTGTATTATCAGGCTTCGGGTATTTTTGTTTCTTTTATAAATTAGTGGGTATAATTGGCTTTGGTCATGACTTTTTTATGTTCAACCCCTGTTTGTTAGTGATGCTGAATATTTATTCAATGATTTATTAACTGTGTTTCTTTTGAGAAAGATGTGTTCTTGTGTTTTGTTCAGTTTTCAATTGGATTGTATGCCTTTAAAACAAATCATTCTTTTGGAGTCTGTACATACACTGAATACTAATTTCTTGTACTTGGCAGATTCTCTTTTCATACTTTGGCTTATTTTTTTTTTTATTTCTTTAATAATAGCTTTTTTTTTTTTTTGGTGATGGGGTGTTCCGAGATTGAACTCAGGGGCCCTCAACCACTGAGCCACTTCCCCAGCCCTATTTTGTATTTTATTTAGAGACAGGGACTCACCGAGTTGCTTAGCATTTTGCTGTTGCTGGTTTTGAACTGTGATCGTCCTGCCTTAATCTCCCGAGCTGCTTGGTAATGATGGCTTTTGACAAAGAGAGTTCTTAATTTTAATACAGAAGAATTTTCCAGTCTTTCATGGTGTTATTTTTGTATCTCATTTACAGATTCCTTCTCTTGCCTGAGGTCATAAAGATAGTCTTTAATTTTGCTTAAAAGTTTTAAGATGATCTTAACAAAATTAATTTTTGATTTTTAAGGCAATAGAGCATATGTTCTACAGAAGAAGCATGGTTGTGGCTGATTCAGTTGCACATATAACACAGCACCTTCAACACCAGGCTCTTAATTCTATTTCTGTAGCCAAGGTATGCAAATTATTATATATTCAGCATAATTGTGTTACTTTTTTTTTGTCCTGCTGTTTTATATGTTTTCTAGCTTAGCCTATTTATTCCATTCCTTTGAACATAACATCTTGGTCATTTATATCCATGGTGTTTTATGATTTTTATTTAGGATCATTGTTATCTACTCTGAAATTGCAGCATGTAATACTACTGTAATATACTTCTACTAAAACTGATATTGTATGTACTTTTGAAATTGATGTATCATTTTTTTAAAGAAGTGATTTCTTATTAGTATGGAAATTCAAGGGTTTTTAGAAGTGATTTCTTGTTAAATTTATATGGAAAATTCAAAGTATGCCCAATACATTTGCTATTCCCATCAGTGCTAAGACAAAGTTACAGAAGGAAAGTACAAAACATTATATGAGAAGCTCAGGGGGAAAGGTGTTATTTATGTTTTCTTAAACTGAATTGTGGAAGAGATAAAGAGAAGTTTTTCTTCTGAAGCTTTGGTCATTATCACAGGAGCAAAATTAATAGTTTTCTGTTTTGTCTTAAAGAAAAGAGTAATTTCTGACAAAAAATACAGCGAACAGCGTCTTGATGTGCTCTCTGCTCTAGTTTTGGCTGAAAATACTCTAAATGGACCAAGCACAAAGCAACGGCGACTTATCGTTTCTTTGGCACTAAGTGTTGGCACACAAATGGTAAATGTATTGCTATTATTTATGGAATAAATATAAGGTCTGAAATGTCACAGTTTCTTTGTTATTGATCCAAGAAACCTGCCTTTACTTTGACTGTAACTTCTCTGTCTTTTCCCTACTTCCTGATAGAAAACATTCAAAGATGAAGAACTCTTTCCACTTCAAGTAGTCATGAAAAAACTGGATCTTATCAGTGAACTTAGAGAACGGTAAGCAGGACTGGTGAATATAATAATACTCAAAAAATAGGGCTATTTGGAGCATCAGTTTTCTTTTTTAGCATAAAGAGGAGTAAAATTCAGATTGAGCATTAGTCCTCTTTAATTTCTTTGGCATGACCAAAGTGAGACTGTGACTAGGGATCATATTCATTTAGCTTTTCTTCTCCATTAAGCATGTGGCTTCTAGAAAAGCAGTGCACTCATAGCCTTAGGCAGATTCTTGTGCATGTTGTGATTATTATGCTGATTATCACTTACTGGGCTTTCAAAATTGCTGCTTTATTGTAAGGCTTCATCAATTTGTGAGAAACTTAGAGATCTTTGACTCATAGTGTCCTATGATTTTATTTTGAGGTAGAAATTTTAATTACAATGTCAGTAGCCAGTCACATTTTTGCAGCTACTTGTGACTTTATTGTTTACTTTTTGTTGAGTAAACAGTAAGCTTCCTGAAGGGAAAATGAGCCTTACAAATTTTGACTTCCAGCTGAATTATGTTACAGCACAATAATATCTTTAATGCTCATAATATATATTTTTTTAAATTCTGAGCTGAACATATATTTGTAGTTGCATTTAGTTTTCCATCTTTGGAAGAAATATTAAACCTTCATTATAAGATATTTAATGATCATTTTGTTACTTTATAAGGTATGAAATAGTTATTTGGTTACAGAGACTATGAATAGGTTATGTGTGACTGGACTTTTTGCATTACAGTTTTTTAAGTTTTACTTTCCAACTTGGAAACAGGTAAAATGGTACATGTTATGCAATAGTCATATTAAATAATATTGAAAATAAATTTATTTTAAACTCTTCTTTAAAAGTCACCTATTATAGTTTGATAATTTTTTTCTTCTATTTTTTTTGAGAATCTAATTCTGCATATATGCAAAATTCTGTCAGTGTCAGGTATTGGAGAATTTTATTAAAATCTTACCTCAATTTGAAAAATAATTTTTTTGTGATTTTTCTGAACTAACGTTGGGTGAAGTGATGTAGGGAATGTAAAATGAATGACAGGTCTCTTGCCCTAATAGTATATAAAGTCATTCTTTTATGTTGTTTTGGGAAACTTTAGTTTTGATACCACTAATTACTATAATACTTATATTGTAGGGTTCAGATACAGTGTGACTGTTGTTTTTTATACTGGCATCGAGCAGTCTTCCCAATTTATTTAGATGATGTATATGAAAATGCCGTTGATGCAGCTAGATTACATGTAAGTAAAGAATAATAAAGAATTAACTCATCATATTTTATTCACTTTAAGTTTTAAAATAGGATATCTGATTTAATAAACTATTTTAAGATTGACCTCTAATACTGTTTTGAACAATATTATGAATATCCAATAAATGTTTCTGTGGTTTAATTTTATGTTAATATGAATGAAGTTAATTTTAACATTTAACTTCTGCTCACTTATTCCTGATCATTCTCATTTCACTTGATTTTAATTGGTATTAGTAGTCTGACATTACTCATCAGCAAACCACATGTTATTCATCATTTTTGTTTATGGAAATAAAGCAGTTTCAGAGTACAAGATAGGAAAGGATGTCAATATAAAATTTTATGTATTTAGTTAAATTACATACTTTATTTAGGAAAGTAAGATAGTTGTAGAAAAATCATATTTTCTTCAGATCAAGGTTTTATCTTTCTTGATGTCAGATAAATAGCCTTTGTAATATTGTTTATAGCTCATGTCTTTTTCTAAATTCATACTTTAAAATTTGTTTCCGTTAGTACATGTTCAGTGCTTTACGAGACTGTGTGCCGGCTATGATGCATGCAAGGCATTTAGAGTCCCATGAGATTCTCCTGGATTGCTATGACAAGGAAATTATGGAAATTTTAAATGAGGTAAGACCATATTTGAGATTGAAAAGGATTAAATAATGTTTTGGAATGCAGTGTTTGAAAAAATGTTTTGAATTGAAGCAGACTTCCATTGAGTCAAAGATTACTCTTTATAAATCATTGTGTAGAGCAAAGGAACTGTTTTTAGTTATAATATCACTATTATGCCAAATAGTCTGTAATTCATAATCATTTTAGAAATCAGACTAGGAATTTGGAAATTTTAAATTTAGCAAACAGTGTGTTCGAATTTAAATTTGTATTAATTAGAAGAATGTATACATAAAATGTGTTTGAATGTTGAATGCTGCTGATAGTACAGTTAAGGCAATTTTACTATTAATACTTTATTGAATTTCATATGAAGAGTATCTTAGAGGAGAGAATTATTTAAAAGACTTGCATAACAATTTGACTGCAATATATAGTGTTTCCTGTCTTAGTGTTTATAATAAACACTGATACCTTTAAAATCAAATTTCCATCTAGTGATGTTTTATTTGGAGGGAAGAACTAAAAATGAGTCAACTTTACAGTGTAAACCTATGTGGGTTTGATGAAATTAGGAAAATTTTATGTAATTTTTTGTATTAAAAAATATTCTTTCTTTTTCCCTCCCTCCCTTTTTCCCTTCCTTCCTCTCCATGTCTTCCTTCCTCATCTTTTTCTCCCTCCCTCCCTCCTTTCCTACTTTCCTTTCTTTTTTTCTTCCTTCAAACCCAGGGCCTTGCATATACTAGGCAGGCAGGTGTCTCCTACTGATCTATATCCCCAACCCACAAATATTTTTATTTAGAAAATGAAATACATGTCCAGTATTTAGAACTCTGTGGTAGATCAGAAAGATTTCTTTCCTCACTTGCATATTTGTGGGGTTTTTCCTCCTTTGTTGCTGTTCCCATAAATTTTATGCTTATATTACATTTCATGTTCCTTATTGTGAAGCTATTGCTTTTTTGGTTTTCTTTTTAGCTAAATTTAAAATATTAATGAAAATAAAGGTTTGACAATTAGATAATTTCTCCCTGGCTCTCTCCCTCTAAAATTATTGGTATAAAATGAGCAAAATAATTTTCCATTTTCCAATTTAAAAAAATTATCATGATGTATTTAGAATCCTAAACAAAACTAGTTTGATAATTTTTTTCTTCAATGCACTGATTATAAACTCTCAAAGCATAGTCATATAGAGAAACAATACAATTGGGATATCATTTTGAAAAATTAAACTGTCAATTCATCTCTGAACAGCATTTGTTGGACAAGTTGTGCAAAGAAATAGAGAAGGATCTGAGACTTTCTGTGCATACTCATTTAAAGCTGGATGACCGGAACCCTTTCAAAGTTGGCATGAAAGACCTGGCTCTTTTTTTCTCTCTAAATCCAATTAGGTTTTTCAATCGCTTCATTGACATTCGAGGTGAGTTTTTTTTTCCTTCCTAATTCATATCCTATATCTCTTTAATAAAGTATGAAAGAAGAAATAAAACCTTGAGGGTATTATTTTTGGTATGTGCTAATTGATTCTGTAACTCCTTTGTGTTTATTTCCTAGCACCTTATCTTAAAGGAAGAAATATAATATTCAAAGACAAGTATTTTTTTTTTCCTTTCTAGTTCCTTTTCTGCTGTTTTTATGATTCAAAAATTGTTTGGAATTTGTTTTTTCTGGTAGCTTATGTAACTCACTACCTAGACAAGACTTTCTACAATCTCACAACAGTAGCCCTTCATGATTGGGCCACGTACAGTGAAATGAGAAATTTAGCTACTCAACGTTATGGATTGGTTATGACAGAGGCACATCTTCCTAGTCAGACTTTGGAACAGGTGTGTATAATGTACTCCTAACATAATCTGACTGTAATATAACAATATTTCTTTAGGAAGTCTTTTCTTTTTACTTTTTACTATGTGTGTGTGTGTGTTTTGTTTTGTTTTGTTAAGAAAATATTTTCTATATAAAACCTCATACGTGAGAAGAGTGAGAAATTAGATGCCACTAATTGACTTTATGAAAGAATTTACTAGCGGCTTCCTGGGTGCACCCAGATTTCTGTTGAGTGTTGGTGATGTATATAGATTTCACAAACATACTAGGTGACTTCTGCAGAATTGCAAGTTCAGCAGAATTGTAAATAGTTTACTCAGGGTCATATTTAAGGATTTTAAACTTAGGCATTAGTATCTTAGGAAAGTGGTTAATTTTATAGAATTTTGAATGTATTTGCTCTTAAAATGAGTGCAAAGCAGCATTTGGTGTAGAGTAAAAAGGTGTGAACAAATTTTTAGATTAGAACACAATAAAAAACTATAACTGAAACTAGAGGTATTGTAATGCTACTTTAAGCCACAATTAGAAAAGCATAGAAAAATGTAGATGGTATACCATTGGGTGTATAGAGTAATACTGTGTCTGAGAATGAAGGAATCTCAGTAGAGAACTTGTGCATTACAAGGTGTCTATTGTACATAAAAATTTGGAGTTAGGCTTTCTTAAATCCCAGGGTTCTGGCTCTTCGTGACTTGTAACCCTAGAGAACTTCCTTAGCTTCATTTTCTTCACCTGTGGAATTTAGAATAATCCTTTGTAAAAGAACCTTGCATAGTAGCTGAAACATAGTATGCATTTTACAAACATAGTATATCCTGTGAATACCATTTGGAATCTGTTCATTAGTTTATATAAAAAATATCCTTGGAAAGATAAATAGGTATTTTCAAGGATGGTGGGGAAATGATGGTGGGTCATCATCTTTGATTATTTGAACTTCTGTTCACATAGAAGAGGTAAAATCATAATCAACAAGGCTTTCTCAAAGAGGTAGTTCTGATTATATATGTCAGAAGGCTCTTATACCTTTGGTCATACTTTTTATGTAGTTTCTTAAAATAGTTTCAAAATATTGGGAAGCTTAATATAATCAGTGTCACTATATTGATATAATTTTGATTATTTAAATTTATAATTATAGAACTTATGTGGATTATGTTGTAGGGCCTTGATGTTTTGGAAATCATGAGAAACATTCATATATTTGTGTCTCGATACCTCTATAATCTCAACAATCAGGTAAGTAGGTTTAAGAATTTTTTTTTTAAATGTGATTGGTTATTTAAGTGGCACAAGGCACAAGGAATTGATTCTCAAGGCCCAAAATTAGTAAAATATTCAAAACAAAATGAATGTTTAGAGATCTTGTTTATTGCTTTGATGCTACTTGGTTGTACTATCTTCTTGAATGGCTTCCCAGTTAAATTAACGAAACCAATTCTAAAATTTTCTCTGGATAACTGATTAAATTTGTTTCATTGTAGATTTTTATTGAACGAACAAGCAATAACAAACATTTGAATACTATTAATATTCGGCATATTGCTAATTCAATTCGAACACATGGCACAGGAATCATGAATACCACAGTAAGTGCACTTTTGGTGGGGGACAGAGGTGGGTGGGTAGGTACTTAGACCCCTGCTTAATTTAATAGGTTGGAAGATAATTTTCTTATAGAATATTCTGGCAAATATGCATTACTACTTGTTGATATTCTAGCTGAATTTCCATTTTTTTTTTCTGGTAGTATAATTAAAAATATTTGGCACTAAAATTGTATTCGATGTGATGGGAGTTTTGCTTATAAAAGGCTCCTTAACAGACATCGCAGCATCATCATTATAAATAGCATTGTAGTTTTGAGGACGTCCATATGTATGTTGATTCTGATATTCTCTGGAAGTTAATTAAAAAATTAATCACTGATAGTAGTTTAAGGTCATTTATAGCCTTTAGGGGGAGGGGCTACTAATTATTTAATATCCATATAATTGTGAATTTACTAAAAATATTTTACTCTTAGAAATAGACATTCATTCACTTGAGGAAATCTTTTAAATGTGCGTGCTGTTTTTCCCTTTCTGAAGAAAGAGATCTTTGAATTTATCTCACTTTTAGCATAATTTCTCCTGAAGAGGAAAAAATTGTGAATGCTTAAGTAGTAAAATATTAAATATCTTTGGAGTGAGGGAATAGGAAGAAGATTGGAGAGTTAAGTTGGGATCATTTTAGTATATAGTAGGGAATGCTTTGAAGTTTTAGAGCCAATGAGTGTGATTAAGGCTCTATTTTAATGGTTACCAGTATAGAAATGAGATCTGTATAGTCAGAGTTTTAAATTTAAAATAAGGAATCATCCATGTAGAAATTATGTCTGAAACCTTTCATGATAAATGAACTTTTGAGGATAAACTCTTCCTTACCTTCTATCATCTGCCACAGACTCATTCATGTAACAAGTATATTTTATGTGCCTCTGGCACTAGGGTGAGAAAAACAGACATTTCCTAGTAGAGGAATATTGAAAATCAGTTAATCTTACTAATGAATATAAGTTACTGATGTGTGATGATAAAGTGAGCAGAGGAAAGTGAGAATCAGAGTGGCAGAGTTACTATGAAGAGTAGAAGGACAAAGAAAAGACCACAAAGGAGATAAAAAGCAAAGAAACAGACACAGAGCAGGGAGAGTACAAAGTTTAAGCCACAATGTAAGTTTAGAGGAAGGACCCATTTCTATAACTGGGTAAATGAAGATTCAGTAAAAAGGGTTAAATTTGTCCAAACCATTTGTTGTATCTGAGAGTCATGGGAATGGAAATGAGTATGGGGCTTCCATTTGTAGGTTAGAATTAATGTTATGTTATTTTAGTTCAATCCCAGCTCAACTTTCACTTTGTCAGAAGATTCTGAATCTACTTCAGGCCTTTTGTTATTCATTCTCAAAGCACTCATACTTCTCATTTTTAGAAATTATTGCAGTTGAAATATAACAACTTATTGAACAGTACTTGTTTAAAACATCTGTCACTCCTGCTAGAATATAACCTCATGAAGACAAGGACTGCGTCTAGCATGAGAATAGCATATTGCTTTGTGTATAAAAGGCATTAAAAAATGGTTACAGATAATTAAATGTTTAATATCGTCCTTGAGGAATGTTCAAGGAGCATCATGTTTCTTACTTCAGTTTCATTCTAGCTGTGCATATTAGTAATAGGTAATCTTAATGATGGATCAATATAGGAACTTCTTACTGGTGTATGACTTAAAAGCTAGGGGCTTCAGTCTGGTTTTGTGTTTCCCATTACTGCTTTTAATCCTGTCATGAGAATATTGTACACTTTTTTCTCCTTTTTTAGTAAAAATATGAGAAGCCTGTAGAAAGTTCTATAAACATAGGCAATAAAAAGCTTCATTATTTAAATATTTCAGGTCCAAAATAAGTTGAATTTTAAAATAGTACTTTTATGTTGACCTGAAATTAATTTTTTAATTTAACTTTTTTTTAATTTTAATTTTATAGGTTAATTTCACTTACCAATTTTTGAAAAAGAAGTTCTATATATTTAGCCAGTTTATGTATGATGAACATATCAAGTCCAGATTGATTAAAGATATTCGGTTTTTCAGGGAAATCAAGGACCAAAATGATCATAAGGTATGCTACATATTTGCTATTAGGTACTTTGATTCAGCTGTGTGCCATATATGGTTAATGTTTATGCTACAATACATTATTTAGGTCTCTGTGGGGTTTTTCTTTCTTTATTAATTTTTCACATGTTATCTATATCTGACCTCCAAGTTCCTTTGTCTTTTCCCTTATAATTTCCTAATCTTTGCATTCTCTGTGTGCTTAAGCATAAGGAAAAATATAATCAATGTAGCCAGGTTTACTTTTGTAAAATTTTAAAATAATATAAAAACATAATTTTGAAACATTTAAGCCATGTAAAGTGTATATACTATCCTCCCTCATTTTCTTCTTCTCAATTCCATTTTCTGGAGACAGTGGCTGTTAGCAGTGCTGTGTTATACCCTTCACAATATCTTCACAGTAGACACATATAATTACACACATTTATACATCTTTCTTTTTTATAGCAAAAATGGAGTGATGTTATACACATTCTTCTGCAGTATACTCATAAAATATCAGTACCTATAGATCTAATTATTTTTAATAGTTGGTAGTATAGTGATAATAACTTACTTAATTTTATATTGATGAATCTTTTCCCCCTCATTTTTCATTTTTATAAATGGTGCTAAGGGTAGCTTCCTAACACATATGTCTCTAACTTTAAAAAGTTGTTTTATTATTGATGGCACCTAGAAATTTTAAGCCACCTGATGTGTTTTCATTGGAAAAGAATGTTCATAAATATCAGATACCTATTTATCCCACAGAAACTTGACACATCTAGAAACAAATGTTTCTAGGATGAATAAGGTTCTTTGTCAATCTGATAAGAGTTTTGGGGTGTTAGGACACTAGTAATTTGTGATGTAAAACTTATTTAGTGGCATACCTTTAATACCAAAAAGAAAAAAAAAACCTGAATGTTAGTAGTTCTGTTTTTTTTTTTTTTTTCTTTTCACACAACTTTTATGTCGTTAGACTTGAGTGGTATCTTTTTGAAGGCATGATGAGATATAAAATTAGACAGGAAAGTTTATTGCCGTGATTGATTTAGTAGGCATTTTATGGTTTAGGGGTCTAAAGGTAGTCTTAAAATTATCTCTCTAGTATCCTTTTGATAGAGCAGAAAAATTCAATCGAGGCATCAGAAAACTTGGAATAACACCAGAGGGACAGAGCTATCTTGATCAGTTCAGGCAACTCATCAGCCAAATTGGTAAGTTACTATAAAAGTGTTGGAAAACAAAGTACAAAGCCCAATAATATCATATATTAAATAGGTCATGCTAATAAACAGCTTATTATGGGAATGTCTCAACTTAGTTTTATTTCACTGGGGTAGTTTTCTTAACACAATTACTGTTGCTACAGAAGAAATTGATAGACTGATCACAGATTTAAAATATACTTAATAAATTTCACAAAGATTATCTTCATAATTGATAGTCTACTGGTTAGTAATTACTGGGTACCTACTCTGTTCAAAGCACTGTTTTGGGCTTCTAAGAGATTTTCTCACATTAAATGTGAGAGTATAACAAATTTACGTGAAAAGTTAGTAATTTAATAAGCTGTATAAAAATTTAAAGATAAAATACTGAATACTATAATTTTTGATGCTGCACCCTTTTATACATGTGCATATGATTTGAACTAACAAGTGGAATTTGTCTTCTGAAATACAGTATATGACATTTAAAAGCAGTTAAAAATAATCATAGCTTAATAAAATCTTATACTTATTTAGGCTTTTCACATATTATCTTTGTTAATGTCCTTAAAATAATTCTGAAAGAGAGACTGTAATCACTGTTTTTAAAATGCAGAAAGAGGCCAGGCATGGTGGTGTACACCTGTAATCCCAGCTACTTGGGAGGCAGAGGCAGGGGGATTGCAAATTTAAAGCCAGCCTCAGCAACTTAGTGAGACTGTGTCTCAAAATAAAAAAAAAGGGCTGGGGATATAGCTTAGTGGTTAAGCATCCCTGGGTTAAATCTCTAGAACTAAAAATAAATAAATAGAAAAGGAGAGAGAAGGAGGGGATGAAAGAAAAAGACAGAGACTTAGAGAAAAAAAAAATGGTGTTGCTGAGGCTTAAATCAAGGTTTTTAAGGTATAAGTCCAGAGGTGTTTTTAAATTCTTCACATTTTATGTTAAATGACACCAATCACTTAATAAAATCTTCTTAGCTATATTTTAGGAAATTTTTGCCTTCTGAGATTCATTTATTCATTTATCAAACATTTACTAAGCATCAATTGTGATGAATGTTCTTTCAGGTGCTGGGGATGCAGACAATCTTTGCTCCCAAGGGGCTTTAAATTTACTAGTAGGAAATATGTTACAAGTATTTAGTGCTAGAGTAACGTCACTGAATTGTAGCTTAAGTTTTATAGATTGCTTGGTTTGGATATTAGATGTTTCTATGATAGTACAAAAATATTAGCTTTGTAAATTTTTTATCTTAAACCATTTAATATAAGGTGTTGAGTATTGTTTTCTTCAGGGAGACATTTGATATCATATTAGGTGGCCACTTCTGGAGCAGCAATTCTTAGTTTTTGAGAATCTGGTGAAAATTCTGGATTGCTTTCTCCTAGAACTAATGCCTGTATGTACTTATACTTTTGTATATAAGGTACAAGAGTCCAGGTGCTTTAAGTGTGGGTCTGGGGACCTCAGATTTAGAGCTGTCCTTGGAGCAGTATTGCTTAAATTTCATTTTTCACATACTAATATCAGAATTTTGACAGTAGAAAAGATCTCTGCCCTTCTAGAGTTTAACAGATGAGACTGACATAAAAAGAAGTTCCATAATTTGACCTAGATCTTCCAGCTAATGAGTGGCAGAGTCTGAATGTGAACCCAAGTAGTCTGGTTTCAGAGCTTTGCTTTTAACCATTGCTCTGTATCTACCTCTCACATTTCAATTAGCCAGACATATGTCTGACAGTTTGGAGGAAAATAGTAAAACTAGATAATTGATTTTTCTAATATGTGCTTTAAAAAAAAAAAACCTTAAAAACCCCACTGGGACAGGCCTTAAGATAGATTTAGTGATACCTGCCTTGTAGGGTTGTTAATATCAACACATATGTTACCATAATGGTTAAAAAATGTTAACTGCTTCTTACCTTTTTATCTGTTCTCTCCTAAATAATTTCAATTCACTTCAATTTTGTATCGAATTCCTACCCTGTGCTAGGACTTGCTGACTCTAGGGATGAAGCAATGAAGAAGTCAAAGGCTGTACTCATGGATCTTGCATTGTAGTGAGGGGAGATATAAACAAAAAGATAATATGTCACTGATAAGTGCTGGGTGAGGTTATGTAATGGGATTGGGCATTATGCAATGATATTCAGGGAAAGCTTTTGAAGGTGACATATGAACAGGGACTTAATAAAATGAGGGCATAAACCTTGTTCATATCTAGGGAAAAAGTATACCTGACAGTTGACAGTCAATTGCAAAACTCCCGAGTCTGCTTGGCATTGTGAGGACTTGGCTGGGGGCTGGAATGGAGTTAGTGAAGACCTGATCGGCAAGGTGTGATAGCAGAACAGCAGCCAGGGGCAGGAAAATGCAGGGCTATACTGAAGTTGAACATACAGAGTTTGGGTTTTATTGAGATGGAAAGCATTGTAGAGTTTTCAGAAAAGGCTGATGTGCTCCAACTTAGTTTTTATAAAGTAACTAGCTGTAGCTGGATGTATTGGTGCGCACCTGTAATCCCAGCAACACAGAAGGTTGATGCAGGAGGATTCCAAGTTCATGGTCAGCTTTAGCAGCTTAGCAAGGCCCTAAACAATTAGTGAGGCCCTGTCTCAGAATAAAAAAGAAAAAGGGCTTGGAATGTGGCTCAGTGGTTAAGCACTTTTGAGTTCAATCCCCAGTACTGCACCTGCCTCCAACAGTAACTAGCTGCTAGTTAAATGAAAGATTGAAGGATACGGCAGGGTACTAATGATGAAGGTAGGGAAATCAGGAAACCATTGCATATTGTAGTGTTCTAGGCAAGATGTGGCAATTAGGAATAGGATGATAACTGCAAACGTTGTTGAAGAGGGAGGGAGAAAAAGAGGAAACTGGATTTTGGTGTGAAAGCAAATAAACTATTGATATTAAAATTTAAAACTGTTAGATCATTTTAACATAGCATTTAATGAATTTAGTTTGTTGAAAGTTAGGTTTATTTTAAATATTTAATGTAGATGTATATAACTTAAGTACAGAAGTATGTTAACAGTTTTGCTTTTAATGGAACACTGAACAGAAGTAAAATATAGCAGATTATTTTGGTACTTCGGAGTGGAAACCTTGTAATTGACTACTGTATGTAATTATATTCCTGATTATAGATTTTAGAGTTATTTATATAAATATCTGATTTTTTTATGTGGTTTTTAAGGTAATGCTATGGGCTATGTACGAATGATAAGATCTGGTGGTCTTCATTGTAGCAGCAATGCCATTAGGTATGGATGCAAATATCATTTTTGCCTTGTTTATGCTATTTGAAAATTGTTACTTAAATCTGTTTATTGATTATAGAGAAGGTGTTTATTTGTGTTAATATATTTTGAGATAAAATGTAGACAAAATCCATTAATTCTAATGTGAAAGAAAACCATTACTTCTACTAGATTTCTTTGCTTTATACTTTTGAAATCTTTATTTCTCTTAAGGTTGTAGTTATGTTTATTTGTCAGTATGGAAAACAAGAGGATCTAAAGAGTATGTGATTTTAAGGATTAAAATGTGATCATGTCCATTTGATTTGGAACTTAAGTGGTGATATTAACAATGTTAATGAAATGTAGAGTTCTTCCTAAATGCATAATTGAAAAATTTTGAGTCCTATGGTACCACTTTTATGTCTGTGTCAGTTGCTCTAATAAATTCCTTCCCAAATTCTTATATAGATTTGTGCCTGATCTTGAAGATATTGTAAACTTTGAGGAACTAGTGAAAGAAGAAGGTCTTTCAGAGGAAACATTAAAAGCAGCAAGGTAGTCTAATTTTGGAATAATTAAATTTGGAAGTTTAAAATAGTGTGTTTATATAAAACATTAATGAGAAGACTAGAGGGTAATATGTAATTTATATGCCAGGGTCTTTATTATGCAAATTATGTATGGTCTCAGTTTATGAAATAACATTGTTTTTTAGAGACTTATAGCATTCCAGGATCTTTCCAACTTCACTAAAAAGGGATCTTTTGGAACATGCTGTCCAGTATGGAACTCACTAGCCACATATGACTCTAGGCACCTGAAATGTGTTTGGGTCAAACAACTTATCTCAAAGATTTATTATAAGAAAAGGATTGTCAGATATCTCATTTGTAAAATTCATTTACTTATTTCTTCTTACTTTAAAAATATTTCTATTCATTAGCAGTGTTCTTGAATGCCAGTCCTTCCTTTCATGTCCTCTAAAGCAGCATAGTAGAGTCCTCTAGGAGAGCAGCCACTACCATACATTGCTGTTGAGCACTTGAAATATGGCAGATTAGACTGGGGAACTGATTTTCTTTTCATTTTACTACTGATAGGGATCTTATTGGGTAGTGCAGATCTACAGGCTTGAGTCATTAGTGATTTTGTAACATAAAACTTGAGAGAAAAATTAAGAATTTGTTTAGAAAATTGTAGATATTATTTTAAATATTTATAGCATTTTATTGAATCAGATATGAAGGGGCACTCTGAACAAAGTGGAGACAGTTTGAATGTCAAAAAGAGTAATGGGGAGCTGGGGTTGCGGCTCATTGGTAGAGCGCTTACCTCGCCATGCGTAAGGCACTGGGTTCCATCCCTGGCACCACATAAAAATAAACAAAATAAAGGTATTGTGTCCATCTACAACTTAAAAAAAAAAAAAAAGAGAGTAATGATAGAAATAGGTCATAAAACATTGAATAAAAAAAATCTATGAATTATAGTGATAATAAGAAAGGTTAAAACAGAGTTGTTTTTTTCTTTTAACAAAAGAATGGCTGCTAACATAAAGCAGATGAGAAAATTAAGGGGAAAAATATCACATTTTGCGATTATAACACTTAAATGTTGGGTGAAAAGTTTTTGGAAACCAGAGAATTCATTTTCAAAAATCATCCCACAAAATTGCTTATTAATCACACAGGGAAAAGCTATCTGCAATGTAGAAGAGATGTCTACCACGTTAATCAAGTGATAAAACAGCACATTGGTAATGGGACAGACTGATATTATATGGCCTCATGATGTAATGTAATGACAAGCACCTAGTTTATATTCTTCCTAGGAGTGTTTCCTCTGAATTTATTAGGAAGAAGCAATGTGAGAAATCCAGAATGTGGGGCGTTCTGTGAAATACCTGGCCTAGACTCTTAAAAAATGTCAGATGTCATGAAAGACCAAAAATGCAAAGAGGCTGTCTAGATTAGGAGAATAAAGAGACCTGATAATCAAATGTAATGGGGTTGTCCTTAATCATAATCCAGGTAAAGAAAACATTTATCTATAAAGGACATTTGGGGAATGATTGGGGAGATTTGAAAAATGGGTTGTGTATTAGATAATGTTGTATTTTATTCTTGGGTGTACTGATGTGGCTTTTTAGGGAAATGTCTTTGTTCTAATAAAGTAATGCTGAAGTATTTATGTGCTAAGTGACATGAGGTCTGCAATTTTGAAATGTTTCTGAAAAATAGAGAAAACTAGCAAATTGTGAAGAAGTGTGAATCTAATTAAGGGCATTCAGGGTTCATTATACTATATTTTAATTTTTTTATATGCTTGATATTTTTAAAAATAAAAATATTAAAATATACCAGAAAATATATGTGTACATTTTAATGAAAACATGACCCGAACACAGAAACTTTGTTCTGCAGTATCCTACTGGATAGCATAGTGCTTTACTAGATTACAGAAGACAGGTATTAAAGTCATTTGAAGTCATGAAAATGATTAAAATGGTTGTGGCTTGCATACCAAAGAAAGAAAATTGGACCCTTTATCTCCTGTTAAATGTCATCATTTTCTTCAAAATTGGGGACTGCTTAAAAAATACTTTGAAGAAGCCAAAGGAAGTTACAGTAGGATATTGGTTTTTAAGATATCTAGGGTAAAGCTGATTGATAACTGAAAGATCCACATTTGTGCAAGGGAGAGGATGGTTAATAGTAAGTGAAGAAATGTCATGGCAGATGAAATCCAAGAGTTGTGGGGTCATGGTAATGAGTAAATTATCCACATAAACAGTAGAGAACTGGGGAAGGCATCCTAGTCCTAGATTCTAAGTTAGGGTAGTGGCTAAAAATTGGTAGATGCTTGCTTTCCAAAAGAGTAGATGAATATACAGATGACCACTGATTTATAATGGCTCAATTTACCATTTTATTTTACTTTCAACTTTACTCTTTTTTCAATTTTAGGATGGTGTGACAATGATAAAGCATTCAGTAGAAATTATACTTTGATTATTTTGATTTATATTTTTGTGGTGCTGAGATCAAGCTTAGGGCCTGGCGCTTGCTAGTACCTGGTGCTTGCGAGGCAAGTACTTTACCACTAAACTGCATCCCTAGCTCCTGTATGTCTTGTATTTGGATCTCTTTTTGGGCTAGCAATTTGTATTATGAACCTCTTGTGTGATACAGAGCAGAACAGTGAGTTGTAGCTCCCTGTCAGCCTCACAGAAAGCGAAACAACTGATATACTCCAGTATACTGCATTGCTAGGCTATCATGTTCAGTTGGCTACGTGTATACACACATTTTTTTTTTTTTTACTTTATTTTCAATTTACTGTGGATTTATCAGGATGCAAACCAATTGTAGGTTGAGGAGCATCTGTAGTTGGATCATGTAGTTGGATTAAAGGAGAGATTTCTGCCTTCCTCTGGTGGAGGAATAACATGTAAAAGTAGTATACGTGAGGATTTCAGGAGGAAAAGCAGCTAATATTTCTGAAGATTGAAAGAAAAGCTTCTTGAAAGAAGGCCAGGTTTAAGTTGAGGTAAGGAGATGTAGAGGAAGGATTAGTGAAGAGACTTAAAATGAAGACTTTACTTACAATGAGATGTTGTACAGGGCTCATTGTGGGGAAAAGAAATACAAAACCTTATCATTTTAAGTCCCCGGATGCTCTATTCTGTTTTAATAATTAAGTTAACTAGATGATTCTAATCAGTTTCTGCCCATAAGAAAATTATTTCATTGTGAACTCCAAGGAAACTTATATAGAAACTGTATAATGTTTCCTGCTTATGAGTGCTTTTATCTAAAAGCACACACTGTTTTTTAAAGGCCACACCTTGTTTAAAAGAGGAAACACATTTTTGTTTGTTTGGTTTTTAGGCATTTGGACTCGGTCCTCAGTGATCATACACGAAATTCTGCTGAAGGCACAGAATATTTCAAAATGCTTGTAGATGTTTTTGCTCCAGAATTTCGAAGGCCAAAGAATATACATCTCCGAAATTTCTATATCATTGTTCCTCCTCTAGTGAGTATATTCAGAACCTAAAATGAATTTGAAAAAAGAGTATTAATAAATCTGGTTTTCTTGTAAGCATGAAATGCACACAGACTGTATTACTGACTTTCTGGTTGTAGGTAAAACTAAGTGTGAGCTCAGTGAATGTGACCAACTTTTTTTTTATTCATTAGCTATGTTGAACTTATTTAATAGTTAAGAGATTATTATTTGTTGTATACTGCCAGAGAAATCAGAGTGTTTTAAATTACTTGAGTATATGCCATCACATATCCCATAGACTCTTTGGCCAGAATAATACCATTTAATCATTTTAATTGCTTAGCATAGACTGACTTCAGCTGTTTTAATATAAAGTTTTTTCTAACATCTCTCTTAAAAGCCTGTTATTTGAGGATTACTTCTGTCTATTCAGTAGTAAATACCAATACCTAAATATTTAGTGCTTTCTCCTTATTAAAATATGTAATATGTTCTGTATTTCTGTAGTCACTATCAAAAAGTAGCTTATTAACAAAAATGACATTATAAAGACAGTTTTTCCAGTGGGGGAAATGGAGTCAAAAGTTTAGAGAGGTTAATCTTCCCTGAAGCTTTCTATAAAAGTTTTTCAATTTGTAAATAGATAGCTCTAAAATCTAAACATCACTTTGCAGTTTTAGCTTTTTATTATATCCACTTTTGACCAAGAATAACAACTTTTCATATTTTTGCCTGAATTGTTGACACCCATCTTCATACATTTTACATAACCATTATTACCTATCAGAAATAGCTATTGACTTATTGATAGCTTTTGTTTTTCATAAATTTTATTTTATATACTTATTGTTAGTTATCATTACAATTTAGTAGCTATGATAGAGCAAAGATGTCCACATTCATCTAATAAGCATCTTTCCATTTTAGGCTAGGTCCAAACTAGTATGTGGCAACACTGTAGTTAACTTAGGGTGAGTTCTCACCGTATTTCTTTAAGATGGAGGACAAATGTTTAGGCCCTAGTAGCAGTAATGAAAACCATTGGTGAGCTTAGGGGGGAGCCTGGAGATTTACAGAATTCAGTTCCAAATGGAGTAAGAGCCCTACCAAGAAGTATAGAACACTACCTTTGTGCTCAAGTTTACAGTTTTAAAATGTAAATAAGCTATCTTAAAAAAGATTTAAATAACAGTTGATAAATATTTTGCAAATACGTGATTGTGAAATGAATTTCACAGGCAATAAAAGTGAAACTTGATGTTTTGTTTTCAATGTTGGCTGTAACTGTATTCATCACTGTATCATAATTATTTTTTAAACAATGTTTTCTGTACCCCTCTATAGCTCTGCTGTCCTTATATTATCACATGTGGCCACTAAAAGTTTTTTTTTTAATTTTATGAAATTAAAAATTCATTGATTTTTTTATACTAGCCTCAGTGGCCACATATGACTAATGGCTTAGTATGTTGGACAGGGAAAAAAAATCTACTGTACCAGTAGTGCTGCTTGGTGTAAACTCTAGATGGTAATCAGTTTTTTTTTTTCCTAATCAAAAGTTCTTTTATGCCTGTTACATAGTAGCTTCAGTAAATCTTTGTTGAACAAATTGATTAGATAAGGTATTTTGGAAAAGCTGAATTTTCAAGAGAAGTACCACTTTTGAGGAATTCACCCTTTACCCAAAGGACTTTTAATCCCTTTTAACCAAAAACATGATAAGTAGTATTTTAGAATGAATCAAGCAGGCAGAAGTAAAAGCTTCCTGCATAGGCTTAAGAGTATTTTGTTATAAAGCAGGACCATTTCTGACTCCTACATTCTTTTTGTATCATTTTGGGTAAGATGCTAAATCTCCCAGTGCTCAGTGTTTTCATCTCTAAAATGTGTATCATACTTCATAATGAATCATATACACTGTGCTTGGGTTAAGTAGTGATTGAAGGAGGACCCATGTTTTAAGGGCTTGGAAAGAAAGCCATCAAGAGACATTTGAACGGATTTGTGTCCTCAATAAGAGATTGTCTTAGGCAAATGTTTCAGAACGAAAGAGAGGAACCTAGAGGTTCATTTTGCAGTTTTTGAAATGTCTGTTCTGAAGATTCTAAAGACTTTCTTTTTTTTTCAGATTTTTTTTTTTAATTTTTTATTGTTGGTTGTTCTAAAGACTTTCTTAACACAGTTGTTTCTTTAATATCTTATCTCTTTTTAGACTCTCAACTTTGTAGAGCATTCCATTAGTTGCAAGGAAAAATTGAATAAAAAAAATAAAATTGGAGCAGCCTTTACTGATGATGGTTTTGCCATGGGTAAGCTTAAATGGAACTATTTTCCCACTGATTTTATATTCACCTTAAAATATGTTTTTATATTGACTTAAAAATAGGTTTTTGTGCTCTTTACAGATTGATTTTTTTCATGGGATAGTGCTTACTGTTTTGTTTCATTTTGTTTCATTTTAGTATCTGACAATACTTTTTTTTCCTCATCATCTTAACTGTATTTCAATAGTCTGTTAGTATTGCTAATCACTTTTCTAACTTGACTGAACACTTAGGCTTTGTTTTTGTTGGGTTTTCATAGTTTTAAGCATCTTGTATTTAGTTTCCCTGGTTTGCCTGTAACTTCCTCTTCACTTGCTCTTTATCAGTGGAACTTTTTTTTTAAATATTTTTTTTTTAGTTGTAGATGAACACAATACTATTATTATTATTTTTATGTGGTGCTGAGAATTGAACCCAGTGTGTCACACATTCTGTGTGAAGCAAGTGCTCTACCACTGAGACCCAGCCCCAGCCCTATCAGTGAAACTTTTTATTCACTACCCTCAATAGCCGAATATTTTTGCAGGCCATATTATTTATTTTCTTCTTAATTGATTTTTCTTTAGTTTTTTACATTCTTACATATTTTCTTAGGAAAATTAAGCCATCTTGGTAGCTTCACTCATTTATGCAGTAAAATGTGATTTGAAAGAGTATTGATTCAAAATGGTTAGCTTATTGCTAAGAGTTATTGGTGAAGGCATAGAATACACCTCTACACTCACTGTAATTTTGCTTATGACTGTAGGTGTGGCTTACATCCTAAAGCTTTTGGATCAGTACCAGGAGTTTGATTCACTTCACTGGTTCCAGTCTGTTAGAGAGAAATACCTGAAGGAGATAAGAGCAGTTGCTAAGCAACAGAACATACAATCAGCTAGTCAAGATGAAAAACTATTGCAAACCATGAACCTCACTCAGAAGCGACTGGATGTCTATCTACAGGTAGAGGAATGTAAAAGTCAAATCTGCTTTGACTTGCTTTTTGATATCTGAAAACCATAATCCATATGGAAAACCCCATTTTAAACAAGTGAGAGGAATATAGGGTATATTTTAGGATTAATGATATTTGAAAGTTGTTTGATTCAGATCTTAATAATGGATGGGCTACTTAGTTAAGTTTATTTATGATTTATGCCAGAGGGTTTTAATATAAGACACATTAAAGTACAAATATTTTCTTTTTAGTTTTGTTTCTTTTATTCTTGATATTTTGTGATAATAAGCATTTTTCCTTTTTATTTCAAATTTGTTTATTTAGGAATTTGAATTGCTCTATTTCTCACTGAGCAGTGCAAGAATTTTCTTCAGAGCAGACAAGACTGCAGCTGAAGAGAACCAAGAAAAGAAAGAAAAGGAAGGTCAGTGAGTGACTTGAATTTGGAAAAAACCAATAAATCTCTTTTTAACTGTAGACATGAATGCACCATTTTTGGGTCAGATTTCTAGCTTCCTTTTTTCTTTTGGAAAATAATATAGACCTAGAAATAAGTCTTTAAAAAAAAAACCTAATGCCTATATTTAAGTTGAAAAGAAATTTACTTAATTCATGAATTAGAATTAAACATGCTTAAAATTATTTTAGACTATTATCTGGAAGATATTTAGTATTTATTAAATTAATTCCATTTAGGTTCATTTTCAAGGCAAAAGATTTGGAAGAATTTGAGTTAATATAATCTAAACTGTGCAGAAACTTGAGTGCTTAGGTTCTGCTTAGGCATTTTGTGATGCCGGAACCTTGTTTTCAGTGCAGGTGACTGGAAAAAACTGCAGATGGATTAGACCATTTGCTTTAAATCCTGAATCATTAAAACAAAACCACCAAACCCTGTAGTCTCAACGCAGTGGGATTCCTTGCTTTGATTTTTTCTTGAAGAACTCTCTAGGGTTCTGGTTTGATGTATTATCACTTACATGCTCAAGTTACACTTCTTAACTATATTTTAGCTAAAGATTGCTCAGGGATGTTAGTTGCTGAGTAAGTACATTTGTCAAATAATTTTCATTTGTTAAATAGTATATGCACATGACATTTGCACAAAATGCCAGGATTTTGTTCTGATCCCAGACAGTAAAAAGCTGTTTATAAAAAGTAAGTTACAAGTACAAATGGAAAGTTATTCATTCTGGACAATTTTAATATGTGAGTTTGCTGCCACATCTCTGTCAGTATTGGCAGTGCACCATAGTGGTGATTTCTTGGTTCAGCTGGAGGAAGTGGTGTGTGGTGGGGAGCATAACCTATTTAGATGAGAGATACCAAGATTCCACAGGAAAAAGATGCTCAATTTGAAGTCCCTCCCCAGTTGCGATTCCTCTCTCTCAACTCTGCATTTCCATTAACAACCAGTCAGAACTTGCTTAGTATTTGGTCTATGTAAAACAAAACAAAAACTAGTTATAATTTGTTATATTAAAGAAAAGTTTGATGGATACAACCTTTTAATTTGATATGTAACAATATTGCTCTTTTTAAATTTTATTTACGTTTTAATTCACTTTTTAAAATTGAACATAAATATGACCATTGTTGTTTTCACTCATACTTCTAGAAGAAACTAAAACAAGCAATGGAGACCTGTCTGACTGCACTGTGTCTACTGATCCTGTTGTGAAGTGATATTGATGGTATGAAATCATCAGAATTGTGTTAATATTTTTGCCAGTGAAATGGATGTTGTAAGCTATCATCAAATTGTTTCCTGGGTCACATCTCTGGAAAATATTTTAGTTGTGACAACTCTTAAGGCAGTACTCTGAAGTTCAGCCATTCTGTTTACAAAGGCTCTGCTTTTCAAAGGTTGAGAATAAGATTTTAAAATTTGACTTTTGCCTAGACTTTAGGCTAGAAGATGTTTCTAGGAAAAATTATTTGTTGGCAAATCCAGATTCCTAAAATGTCACCTCAGATCTCTTGCAGTCTACAAGTGTTTGTAATTTATATTTGCATAGGTCTTTATCTCAAGTCATTGGAAATTCAATGCATATACTATATAGCCAGTAAATACATGTCTTAAAAAAAAAGGAATTGAACCTGAAATTTATGAAGCATACATATCAATATTCTTACAAAAAGAGTATGTGAAGACGACTTTGATACTGGAGGTGAGGTACAAATGTGTTATGTACCCTTTGTGTACAGTATAACTGATGATCCTTCGTTGTTAATTTCATGTGACTCACAAGAGCTGCTGCTGATGTCTTTTGATGAGACATTGTAATTAGTTTACATTGCTTTGGGAACATTTAACCTCCAACAACTGCTTTAAGATTTACTTAATACTCAAAAGTCAGATAAAGCCATAGAATCCTGCTTGTTCACTTCTGGTTGATATCAGAATAAGTTGAATGAATTGTTTCTACATCTAAACTCAGGTTTCTTCTATGTTAGGTTAAATTGAAATCCTGATGGTTTGGGCAGGCTTTTTCTTCATATCAAGTATAATCTAAAATACAAGATTGAATAATTGCACTGTGCAGGCTTTTAAAAAATTACCACTGTGAGAATAAAACTCTAATAAATCACTTCCTGATTTTAAAAATATAGAAAGATTTTGAATAAATTTTAGTTCCCGGCAAGCTACTGGCTTTATTTTTGTAAAGATGTTAGTTAATAATTACATGGTTTAATTTTGGCCTTTTTAAATATAATAAAATAATACCTTTATGATGAAAAGGAAAATTTAAAACTTTAAATGTAATACAAATATCCTTTGGGAAAATGCTTGATTTTTCTGTTGCATTTGCCTGCTAAACATTTCTCTGGATAAATCCTGCAAGGAAGGAATTCTAACATTTTTGGAATGGGTATTCAGTGCTCTGTCTGTGCTCATTGGTTTAGGGTCAGGAAAACTTTCCCAGCCCAAGATAAATACCTTCTCTATTAAAGTCAGAAGAAACAGAATTTGTAGAAACTGTTTTATGTTTATTATGTAAACATGGCTTAAAAATTATGGACAATGGATAGATTAAAGACATTTGATATTTTTAATTCATACTAACTGTAGAAATGGCCCTAAAGCATGCTGCATAATTGATAATTTATATTTTCATTATTATAAATGTTTATATTAATGATATTGCATTTAATTGTATCAAATTAGTCACCATTTCATAGCAACAGTATTGTTTTCTGTTTTTCTTCTCTAACTTTCTAAAATTATATCCTTCAATGGGGATAGAAATTGTGATTAAAAGAATCACATTTCTTGATTATCCCCATATGTAAATTAATCATTTTATCAATACTAGAGGCCACATGCTGACTCCCTGGATACCTACAATTGGGAAGAAAGTGACAGATTATTATTTCACCTTTAGTTCAAAATAACATCACTGCAGTCTGGAGAAATTATAATTTCACATACTTGAAATAAAATCTCTGAAAAGTATTTAAATGGTATCAAACTGCAGAGCAACAGGGCTTCAGTGTATTCCCACCTGAGTTAATATATACACTTGGATGTTTTTTCTCACTAACATATTAATGTTAATATTTTTTCAGACATACTGTAATTTAAAAATTAATGTGAACATTTGTTATAAGTTCACAGAAAACTTAATGATGTTCAAATTCTCAGGAATTAAGGACTAACCATACATTGTCAGTTCAAATTAAATTTTGTAAAGGATGGCAAGTTTGTTACCTCACTTGAGTGGGGGTTCCCTCTCCCAATTCTAAGAAAATACAATATGTATAATAAAACATTAATAAATATAATTTTAAATTTTTCCTTCCCCTGGATGTTTATGTTCAAAATTGAATGTCTTGAACCAGTAGTTCTTAACATTTACCTTTTTGGGTCCCCTTAAATCAAATAAAATATACGGAATCCCTCAAAGAAAAAATGCTTGCAAGCTGTCCAGAGGCAGAAAATTTCAAGTATATAATGGGATTGGATTTTGTCTATCCCAGGAAAAGAACCTTTGTTTTCTTTCCTTTATCCATTCTTGATCTTTCCAATAGCTCGATATTTTCAAATAAAACGAATAACATGAATTTATTTTAAATCTAATCCTGGAAAGGGATCCTAAGTATGAAGTGCTTAATATGTTAGAAATATCTATAATCCTATTTACAAACATGGGTTGAAGTGAAACAGTAATAAACAAGAGCCTTTTAAATCTACATTGGAGGGCAAGAGATAACAATCCTGTTAAACATTATGCTGGAGAAATGTCTGATTACCACCTTTTTTATTCTGAGGTATTAAATTTGTAAAATTGTGGGAAAGATAATACTACCACGTACATCATGTTACTTTTTGATGCTAGTTTTTTTTTTTTTTTTTTTTTTTTTTAATTTTTTATTGTTGGCTGTTCAAAACATTACATAGTTCTTGATATATCATATTTCACAATTTGATTCAAGTGGGTTATGAGCTCCCATTTTTACCCCATAGTTTTGCTGAATGTATGAATGGTAGACTTTCATAATTTGAGGGGATGGGTACTGGGGATTGAACTCCGGGGCTCTCCAACACTGAGCCATATCCCCAGCCCTATTTTGTATCTTTACTTAGACACAGGGTTTCACAGTGTTGCGTAGTGCCTCGCTTTTGCTGAGGCTGGCTTTGAACTTGTGATCCTCCTGCCTCAGCCTCCTGAGCCACTGGGATTACAGGTATGTGCCACCATGCCTAGCAACTTTAAAAATCTTGGTACTATTCTCTTTTCCAGCTTCAGGTTGCAGAAGTTTCAGATGTCTATCACCCCGCTACTCCTTGGTATTGATGCACCATTTTATTAAACTATTTTCCTGTCAGTGGAGATTAACATTATTTATTTGGTTTGCCACTAAAGTCAATGCAAACCACAATTTACATATGCTCTTGGTATAAGGATCTTGGATGTGATATTACCCTACTTGCAGGCTACCACATTTGATTGCCATGATGTCATGGATGCTGACCAAAGGGACAATAATGCAGGCAATATGAGCACCAGCGTATTTTCATCAGTCCCCCTTTCCCTTAAATTCCATAGGGAAATGTTTCGTGGATCCTGACAGATGCTTTAATGCCTAGGGGCTTTGTTACTCCTGAAGACCACCGAGTTTAGGAAATCCATGACTTATATAGCAAATAGTAAAAAAAAGCCTGCTCTGTGTACTGGAGGAAGATACTTCATCCTTCGGGGTTGTTCATTGCAGTTTTCCCATCCAGTATCAGCTCTTCTCTGGCTTAGGGAGAGCTGACAGGTACCTAGAAGTATCTGTCTGTATAAAAATAATTTTTAAATAAAGCTTTTAGGTGTTAGGAACAATTACATAGGTTTTTAAGATTTCAGATAAAAAAGAGGAATCTAGAATAAGTGGAAATCTATAGAAATTAGATTGTACAAGGAACTCTTGAGATGGTGATGGCAAAGTTATAGTTTATATAAAAGTAAATTTTTACATATAGTACAGTATATAAAAAGTTTGGCCAGTAAGTAGTTTCGCTATTTTGATAGCTTACCTCTTCATTACCACTTAAAACTAAGTGATCTCTCGAGTTCCCATTAGTGGAGATAAATTTCGCAGGAATATAGATGAAATTTATCTTTCCATTGATTCATGTCTGATGCCATAATTCTGGGATCATCTTTAAGAACTAAAACATTGTATAATGTATGTAAGATATATGTAAACTGAAGCATTCTGTAGTAGTGCCCTCATTAAGGAGGGGGGAAACTTTTATACCTAGAAGTGTCTGTTGATATAAAATCAATTTTAAAGTATTTAAACAATTTTTGTAGAAATAAAGATACTTTGATATAGTTTCAATCAGAATAATCTTCACAGCTTAGTACTAAGAAATATTTGGTAATTGCTTATCTCTGAGGTCATATACATAACCCATAGTGGTTAGAAGCATACACTCCAAGGACAGACTGATGTGAATCTTGATTTGCTGCCTGTGAGGTTATATAGGCACAAGATGGGATAAGGAGTTCGTGGGATTTTGAGGATTAATTTATATAAAACACTTTATATTTTACCTTTTATATGGCATATTGATTTGTACTCTTAGGTAGAAATGCATTTGGTATATAAATGTTAGCTGCTATTATCACTCTTTTAGGTGGAGTTTGAAAAGCAGTCTGTATTTGACTGTGGCGAGTCTAGGTTCTTAGCTCAGTGACTAGGCTAGTTGTAAATGTGAAGAAGGCCTTGCTCTTCTCTAAAAGCAGTCATAAGAGGGCAGACTTATGGGTATGTGATGGAGAAATCCACATGGAAATCGAAACTGGTGAGGATAGCTGGTTTTCTAAAAAGGTTCCATTTCCTATACTTCCACCATTCATTTGGCACTGATTAATTTTCCACAGGGCTTCTATATGCATTAATACACAATTCAGTAAGTTGAGAAAAAGGGCAGATCACCTGGTTTCTAAATTAAAATTTTTATTTAAAAATATGTATGTCCTATTTAAAGAATACTACTTGGGAAGTGACGGTGTTGGTTGAACATTTGTTCCCACTTCCTCAGAGGCTCCCTCCCAGCATTCCCCCAACTACTGTTCAGGGTTTGGTGGAAATAGGTCTGTTGCTTTTGTTTAGTTTTATCACCTTTCTGTATTTTCCTAAATTATGTAGTGTTTTGCATGTTTATCCTTACCATAAATAGCATCTTACATTGTATGTTTTTATGACTCTAGTATGATTTTTGAAATGCATGTTGGTGCATAGCTATATCTTATTTTTACTTCTCTAATATTGTTAGTGATTGTAGATGTTTAACCTACTGTACCATTGATGACACTGGGATACTATTGAACATTCTTGCTGTAATCACTGTTGTACATGTCCTAGAGCATGTGTTGAAACTGGTAAGTGGTGGGACAGGCACACTTTCAAATTTACTATAGACTGTCACACTGTTCTCTCATTTCAGCGGTGGGTTAGACTCCCCATTGCTCCTTTCCCTTCCAACAGCTAAATATTTGCAGTCTGTGGTTTTAATTTGCACTTTCTATTATGAGAGAATGAGCACAATTCTGTTTGAGTCCTTTGTAGTTTTTAATCTATGAAATGCTTTCATGACTTTGCATGTTTTTAAAATACTTGGGAGTATTTTATATATTCTGAATATTTGGTCTTGTATCTTTGCTTAGTTAATATTTTCATTCTTTTTTTTTTTTTTTTTTAATGATGATGGGTATCAATTAAATCCAGAGCCTCACACAAGCTAGGAAAGTGCTGTCACTGAATTTCTTCCCCAGCCCTTGTATTTTGTGATGAAGTTTTTTTTAAGGTGCTGAATTTCAGACTTTTTATCTTTTCCTTATTTTCTGCATGGTCTATATCTTATTTAAGCCACAGTATTAACAATGCTTTAGTTTCCAACCTAGTAACTAACTGTTCAAGACTTGAGATTCTCTACTTCATACCTCCCTCCATTGAAAAAGTCTATTGGGGGTGGGGGAGGACTGTGGCTTTTGCAGCTGAGAATTTACTGATCTACTACAGTTAGAATGAATCTAGAAGTCACTTAATGGTCTCATATTGGCTTAGATCAGCTATCCATGTCTCTGATGGTGTACACATTACAGGATGATTCTTCTAATAGACCCTATGAAGTTAACTTAGTTTTGGGTTGCAAAGGTTGTTTTATTAATTCCCCATTTAAAAAAAAATACTCATGTTGAATAGTTACTTTTTGATGAGCTGTCCCCTCTACAGTGATTTCATTAAACCTTAGTGGTGTGTGGTTTTTTGTTTTTGTTAAATTGTTATATCCAGAGAACTGACTCTAGTTTCCTTCCAGGAAATATTCTACAAAATAACAGCAAGCAAAAGAAAGAAACAGAATGGTAATATTTATTGCTGGTTAATTACAAAAATGATAGTCTGTTGAACTTGGTTACAATTAAACACACTGTACCAATTCATGATCTTATATTTATTTCATAGCTAAGAGGGATCTGGGAGTCTAGGAACCAGAAATATTGGGGTAGAAATAGGAACTTAAGACCAAGCCCCACGACCAGCTGTGCTTCAAGTGAGTTTTAAAAATTAATTGACCCCTTCCTTGAGGAGGGTCTGGCTCAGAAGAAACAGGAACTGATAGAGCTGCATCCTGAATAGCCATTAAAAGGTCATATCTAAGAGGACCTTAAACTTCTGAATGCTGGTTCAGTGAGGTTGTGTTATAAAACTTTCTTTGTAGTATTCATCTACTAGTCCTTCTATTGCATGATGTCTAACATAGTTGCCAAAACTAGACCTGCATCTCTACTGGTGCTTGGGCTTCAAAGCAGTGCTTGTCACCTCACTGCACACAGTAATGCTGCTAGGTCCAATTATGAGATAAGCTGAATTATAAATATACAACCTTCAGGATGACAGGCACTTGATAAGCTTTAAGTAAAATATAAAAATAGATTATATTAATAGGAAATACTTAGTATTTATCAACTTGTAAAGCTACTTTTTTTCCACCTTTAAAATAGACACTAGAAACTCAAGAGATGACATTCAAATAAAGTGAACAATGCATTTTTCATAGCTTTCATTGTGGACACTGCAATGCAATCTAAGGAAAAAAGACTTACCACAAGGCACCTAAAATAACATTTGTAGATGGGTAGGAAGGCTGTCACCCTTTTCTTAACTGTTTCCCTCCCAAGTCTCAGTATCAAGGCATCAAGGGGCACATTCCACAAACGATTGTCAGCATTCTGAAGCCAGGTCAGTGTGCCTATACATCAGAGAAGTTGAAAACCCTTAAGGAGGTAGCTTTCCTTCCTGTGCGTGCTTCCCCCACAGGCCCCAGTGAGTCACGCTTCAGATTCTGCGCTTCTATTTTCACTTGGATTTCCATCATTGTCATCTGATTGATCATTTAACAGTACATATTTTCCATCATTGGTTAGTGGTATAGACAGCATTAATTGAGCCAGTGCTTCTGGATCCTGAAGTTAGGAGAGTTTAAAAGAAGGAAAAAAGAAAATGCTTAAGATGCACTTAAACCCCTTCAGTTTGGCTTTCAATGTGCTCTGTTACCTAACCTCATTCCTCCTGACTCTTGTCAATGTGGGCTTTCAGCTGGGTCTCCTCACTTTGCTGAAAAAAAACTCAAAGGCATTACTTATTCTAGAGTCCAGGCTAATTTTCCTCTTGGTCATAATATGGTACATAACACTTATGTACCCATAATTAGCTTCCCAAAAGAGAGTCCATACAGGAACTTCCCTCATAAAATCTCTTGTCTTTGTCTTTAAACCCCATTCTTTTCTGTCTTTAGTCTACATCAGGAGTTGACAAACCATGGCCATTTATTTAGCTCACTATTTATGTAGTTACTAAGTTTTATGAGAGCACAGCTGTGCATTTACATACTGCTTATGGCTGCTTTTGTTACAATAGCAGAGAAAAGAGGCTGTGAAGATAATAAGCCTAAAAGATAAAGACCTTTTATAGAAAAAGTGTGCCAACTTCTCACCTATACCATTAAATACTAACTTTGTAGTGTGTGACATTATTTCAAGTTTATAGGTCTTCCACCCTCCTCAAGCACTGAATACACTAAAAAGGTATCTTCATTTTACTCTTTAAAGTAAAATATTTTAAGTCTAAAAATCCAGTTCCTCACTGGCCACATTCAGTATGCATATTAAATAATGCAGATCTAGAACATTTCTATTATGTAATACAATTCTTCTAGACACTGCTGGACTTAAAGATACCCCTGGATGAAGGACCATATTTTCCTTTCACTACTATAATTCCAGGATTTTTTATATAAAATAGGTTCTCAAAAATTTGTTGGATGAGACTGTAAGCTGCTTAATGTGAGAGACAGTGTTCATTTCTAATAAGTTCCCAGGTGATAACTATCAATGCTGCTAGGCCTATGATCGTCCTCTAAGGAGCTAGGCCGTAAAGCATGGTGGGTACCCACCTCATGGGAAACCTAACCAACTAATATGCAAGCAAGAAAATTAATAAAGCAGGAGCTGCAGCAATGATACTTATTAATTAAAAAGTATAGATATGCTACCAGTGAACATGGAAACAGATGATTAAAGATGTCTGGTGGTTAGAATGCTTAAAGAAAATCCCAAATTTGGTTTCACTGACTAATGAGTATCACTTTTCTCTCTTGAGAAAAATGTACAAATGTCTATAGAATAGTTGTTAAACCAGCACTAAAATCCACCTTACCTTTTGAACCTCAATAATTTCTTTTCCCAAATTAATAGCATAACATATCTGCAAAAGACAAGAAAAGTAGTGTTTGGTAAAGGTAGAAAAGGATAAAAATTTTAGGAAAAAATGTGATATGGAAGTATAGTGAGGGCACTGTTTATGTCCACATGGAAAGACAGGATTGGCTGTTGGAGATTTGTCCCAGCATACAAATGTCCTAACCTCCTATTGCTGATTTATACCATACAAAAAACATTACAGGAAAGTTAAGTTATTCCAGCATTTAAAATTCCTGATAGGATTTTTTTTTCTCTGAAGTAAGTATATTTAGCTAATACATGTTCAGATACATAATAGTAAACAGATACTTAATAAAAAGGAAGATTAACTTTGATAATTCTAAGTACCAGATGTAGTCAGTATTTTTCATACTAAACAAAAGAACAGCTTAGATGTGTTTTCCTGGTATCTTCCTTGATTTGCTCTCTGAGACTATTCTCTACTGTAACTTTCCGCTTTATTATTTCTTTTAAGGAACAAATTTGGGGGGAACTGCTTTTAACATTTCATGATATCCTTACAATAATAAACTATCTTGCTAATATAGTTCTTCCCCATTCACCCTATTTTAGCTGACATATAATTTGTTCCATGGGAAAACTTTAATCAAGTCAGTTTTCTTAATTTAGTAGGGCCTTCCTAGGAACTATCACTGTCTGAACTCCTGGATGGAGGCACAGGAATAACCAACTAGATACAGGGGGCTAGTGCAGAAAGAAAATCATTAAAAATGGACTTGTCTGGATTGAGATTTTACAGAATCTTAATATTAAAAAACAAACAAACAAAAAAAAAACAAGACCTTTTCGCCTTCTGAGTTGCTTTCAAAAATGTACGTGCTGAGAGACTCTTCTCCTGTGGACTCTGGAATTCGGGTGACAAAGCCAACCAGTCTTTTATTTTCTTGATGAGCAGCAAACTGTGTGACACTGGTAAGTTCAAACTGGAGGGATGGGAAAAGGTTAGATGTGTAATCACAACAACTGGGATTTTAAAAATAAGGTTATTCTCTATGGAAAAGTCATGAAAAAGAGTGTACTAGTAGTGACAGTCATTTAATTTAACAAATTATTAAGTGCCTAGGTGTGTTTAAAGTAGAAGGTGAGGTAAAAGGCATTGAATCACTAACATTAACATGGATGAGGTACTTACGTTGGCCCTTGACACCTGAGTCTGAGGATCTATCAACCTGCAATTTTAAGAGATTTATAATATCACAAATGTTGAAAAAACTTATAAGAACTGGTGAGAGAGGGGTTATAAAGTAGGTAAAAGTTCAGAATGAAGTCATCAAAAACCTCAGAGATGAAAAATAAGGTCTGGCTGAGGGCAGGGCAAAACAGTTTCATGAGACCATGTGCTGTGGTTTCTGCCTTTTTTGAACCTCTGTAGGTAATACTCAGGCTGTCTATAGTGGAAGATTATAAGCAAGTAGAAGAACTGATTTTCAATGTTTTGGTGCTTACCCCCCAAAAAAGCAGCAGCATAATTTTTGAGAGTTCTAGTGTATAATAGAATGGATCATATTCTGAACAAGCTTCCTTCTGAACATTCATTGGCTACTTTAGTTCCCCTGAAGTGCTGGATCGATTTATTCTAAATTTAACTTAAAAAAAGGTGGTGGGGGGGGTAGGTGTGAAAAGAGAATGAAGGGGTTTTGACAAAACTATACTTTTCAGGATGGATGTAAGAGGGGTTATGTTTAATTTCAAGAAGGCATTTCAGACTGTATTCTTTCAACATTTTAAGCTTCATTTAATAATAAGGTTGATGTATCTTGGACCTGCATTAGAGAATTTAATGTTGTCTTAAATATAAAGAGGTAAATTTCCCCTATATACTTATATTGTGTTAGTTTGATTAACATGGTGTATAAATTATTACGGAATTGGTATAGTTTTTTTTAGGTGAAAGCAAAAACTCTGTTTTTAAAACAATGGTTATAATTTCCATATATTTGAAATGTCTAGAGTAGGCAAGATATGTGTAGAGTAGTCAAGATATGTCCTGGATCTATAAAAGATCCAGGACATATCTTGAGAAAAGCTTTTAAAAAAACAAGATTTTATTCATAATAATCTAATCCTCAGGGTAAGGTTCATCAGAAATATTTGAAAATGTTTAAAATAAATGAAAAGGGCAGATTTAATGAACAGCAGAAACTAAATCCTCATTTTTGCCAAAGTTTTAGTTACCTTTCTTGAAGCTAACATTGAGCATTTTCCATGTCCCAGTCAGTTGTAAATGCTTTAAATATATTAACTCAATTATTTCTTATTTCAACACTATGAGGTGTGGATACAGTTTTCATTTTACAGTTAAAGGAATTGAGATACAGAGGTTAAGGAAGTTTGCCTGAAGTTGTGCAGCTAAGAAATGCCATAGCCAGATATAAAACCCTCTTATAGTCTGGCCTCCCATAGAAATCACAGGCAGATGGGCTGTCCAGCTGGTAAGAAGCATTCCAGACTTTGTAACAGTAATGTATACCACTGTATGTTAAAACACTGGCATCCATTCCACCTTTAGGTCTCTTAAGTTTGGTTAGAGTGAATCAATCTCTGTGTAACAACTCCAGGTATATCTGAAAAACAGATTTGTAGAGCTCTGTGTATGTAATGGAAATTCGATCTTGTGATTGAGATCTCCTATGTTCTTGGGTAGGCAGAATTAATATTGTCAAAATGGCCATTCTACCAAAACTGTTATACAGATTTAATGCAATTCCTATTAAAATCCCAATGACATTCTTCATAGAAACATAAAAAGCAATCATGAAATTTATTGGAAAAATAAGAGACCCAGAACAGTTAAAGCAATCCTTAGCAAGAAGAGTGAAGCAGAAGGCATCAAAATACCAGACCTTTAACTATACTACAGAGCAATACTAACAAAAACTGCACGGTATTGGCACCAAAACAGACATGTAGACCAATGGTACATAATAGAAGACACAGAGACCAACCCGTATAAATACAATTATCTCATACTAAACAAAGGCACCAAAAACATATATTGGAGAAAAGATAACCTGTTCACCAAACGGTGTTGGGAAAACTGGAAACATATGTAGGAAAATGAAATTAGACCTCTATCTCTCACCCTGCACAAAAATCAACTCAAAGACTTAGGCACTGGAACAGAGACCCTGCACCTAATAGAAGAAAAAGCAGGACTCAATCTCCACCAGGTTGGCTTAGGAACTGACTTCCTTAGCCAGAGATTTGGTTGTTTGCTTATTGGAAAATCCACAAAGGTCCACGTTTAGTTGTTTAAAATGCCAGAGGGTGGTTTTTCAATGTATCAATTTAAGTTTATTTAACTTTCTCACTTTTTAAAAAAATTTTTGTTTTCTTGTATACTTGACACAATTATTCTTATAGTATTTCTCTTTTTTCAGTAGTGGGGATTGAACTCGGGTCTTTTCACGCTGAGGTACATCTCCAGCTCTCAGAACGGGATCTTACTGAGAGGCTCAGGCTGGCCTGAAACTTTCAATTATTTTGCCTCAGCCTATTTCTGTAAACCATTGCAAATTCTATTCAACAAGACAGACTAGAAGTAAATACAAATGAGCAGTATTGATTGATGATAGGAATTAAGCTGAAGTCGGAGGAATGGAGTGGGAAAGAAAGGAAAAGTATTTAAGTAGAGTTGATCAGTCTCAGTGATTAACTAGATTAGGAATTTGGAGAGAAAGGTATTTAGGATACTTTTAGTTGAGTGATCAGATAGATGAAGTTGACTTAATTTTTTGTCTGAGTCAAGGGAAGATATAGGGCTGCTGTACTTTGTAACAGATCACATGATAAAAGCTTATATTTTGTTCCCAAAGGCCCGCACGAGACTTATTCAAACCAAGACCAAGACAAGTAGGCCAAGGCTTGATAACTGGCCATAGTAAGGAGACTTGACATTGTGAAATTCTCGGAATGAATTATTATTCCCAGTTTACTATCTCCAATCAAAATCTCTAACCAGTAACAAATGTTATTGACATTTTTGGCTCTGACAGAGTGCTGTCTCATAGAAGTACAGTATGAAGTCTTACACATCATTTAAGTCTTCCCAACAGCCACAGTAAGAAACATGAAAAGAAACAAATGAAATTAATCTAAAATACTGTCAGACATGTACCAAATCTAAAAATTATTAGATGTTTTACATTCTCTTTTGGGGGAGGGATGATAAAAATTTGGTATGAACACTGAAAAACTAACTCAATTCCAACTAGTTAAGTGGTCTAGTTTAGGCAGATTCATGTTTTTTTTTCATTGTTAATTTTTATAAACAGTACTCTCAAATGAGTCTGATTTTCAAGCTGAGATATGACATGGAGAATAGCATAACAGCATGTTTAGAAACATAGTACACGCTGAGCATACCTAATCTGAACATTCAAAATCCAGAATGCCCAAAATCTGAAATGTGCTGACATGATGCCTCAAGTGGAAAATTCCACACCATGAAATTTTATTTCATGAACAAAATTATTAAAAATATTATATTATTAAAAATAATATTATATTATTAAAAATATAACATTACCTTTGTGTATATGAAACAAAAGAATTTCATATTTAGACTTGGGTTCCATCCCCCAACACCTCAAATATTCCAAATCTGAAAAAATTCCAACACAGTTCTGGTCCCAAGCATTTCAGATAAGGGAATTCCAGTCATCGCTGAATTCTTGTCCTTAAAGGAGCACCTTTTATATTATATCTTATAAAATGGAAATGTAAAAAGGAAAGGGGTGAAACAAGAGTAGCATCTTCATCTAATTCAATTGAACATACTCCAGCACTAACGTTTCAGATGGTTGATGTGTCCTAACAGAGGAATCAAATGCAGCCATGAGAGTCTGAAAATGAAACCAAATGTACCTCAGAGTTTGACTGGTGACCATCAGATGAGACTCTGTCATACGGAAGATGTTATGAATAGCCCGAGCTGCTAACACTTGTCTCATTGCTTCATAGATCACTTCAGTAGTGCTGTCTGTTTTAACTGCCATTGACCCCAAAAAACGAACTATAAACATCTGTTGCAAAAGAGAATCTGCAAGAGAGCATATTCTGCTCAGAAACACATTTATTTTGCCTGCTGTTAATCTGCTTACCAATGCCAGATACCCCTGTCTGAACAGGCCAAAGACCTCAGGCTTGCTTTCTATGATGAACTTTCTACTCAACTTTCTCAATAAGACTTTTCAAAGCCTGGTATTGCTAAAAGCTCTGAATCTTTTCTCTACATCTGTCAGTTTGAAACTACTTTAAACAGACTAGAAAAGCTCTTCTTTTTCTCCATTTATGAGATGGAAGTGCCAGGTGAATGTCCTTCTAGAACTAAATCTCAAGAGCATTTCCACTAGATCCTAGAAAACTCATTAATTATTTGGGCTTCTTATAGAGGCAGCTTTATTTGTGGTAAGAGAGACCTGATGTTGGGTCTCACTCAGCTCATACATCATATTTATAACTGAGACAATGATTATAAACCAAAATAACTTATTAATCCTAAAGAATTTCCAACATTAGCTTCTAGATATTGGCATATAATCTGACAAAACTGGATAATGGCAACCACAACTGAAAGATAATGAATGTTTTTTTAAAGTTCACTTTTTCTGTAGGAACAATAATTCATGCACCCATTATTTTAAACTGAAGGGCCTCTTTTTTTTCCTCTGTCCCTAAAAATAACTTAAGGGTTTAAAAATTAATAGGAAACTATAAATGGTTACTCTAATAGTAACTTTTGTGGGGGTACCAGGGGTACTTAATCACTGAGTCACATCCCCAGCTCCTCTTTATATTTTATTTAGAGACAGGTTCTCACTAAGTTGCTTAGGTCTTTGCTAATTTGCTAAGACTGGCTTTGAACTCATGCTTCTCCTGCCTCAGCCTCCCAAGCCACTGGGATTACAGGTGTGTGCAACCATTCCTGGCTCCTAATTTCTTTTTTTGTATAGACAAATTTGAAAGATTTTTTAAATTATTTATTTAATTAGGTTTATATGCATTTTGATTCATTGTAGACAGTTGCAGCACAACTTTTCATTTCTCTAGGTGTAATGATGTAGTGTCGTACCACATGTGCAGTCATACATGTACCTAGGGTAATAATGTCCATCTCATTCCACCATTGAAAGATTTTTTTCCTTGGATTGTTGACACACAGTGTACAAAGACAGCCAGATACAAGTAGCACCAGACTTTAGGCACAACGTATTTCTCTGGAGGAGCCCCAAAGACAGTATGGGGTGGCGCATAATTTCAGTTCATATTCGAAATCAGAGTTCTCTTAGGACATTTCACATCTTGTTTCAATGACCCTGATCATTTTCTGCAGGGGAAAGAGTAAGCACACCAAACTTGCCACTTACCTTCTGCTTCCGGAAATGACTCATCTTCAGTTTCACCAAAAGGGTTGATCCGCCTAGGGGAATAGCCAAGGTCAACAATCATGACAGCTGCTGCTGAAAGGACACTGAATACACTGAATTCTAAGTCAGAATGAGCAGTGACCTTTGGTGGTGATGGTGGAAGGAACACAAGATATCAAATCTACTTTCTCCCAGAGATATCTTCCCTTAGCCCATACCTGCTCCCTCTGTTCTGATCGAGGAATTCTGTGGCAGGAAGTACAATATCAAACTGAATAGGCGTCCCAGGTGCGATCAGTTCTTCTGCTTCAGGAATACTGACTGTTGCTTTGGGAACAATCTTGTCATTTTCTGTTTCTGAATTTTTCAAGTTCTGGCTGAAGTATAAAATGGGGGACAGGGAATCAAATGACTTTTAAAAATAAAAATACAAGGGAGATTTCAGTCCCTCACTCCAATCACATCTGGCTAAAAACCTTCAGATCGCCCCACAACATTCTGAGCTGTGTCCCCTACAACCTGTTATATCACGTATCTCTTCCTTTGGACAGGTTTTTGAGGGTGGGCTGTAGCAAAGTCATATTATTATTTAAAAGTAGGGACTGTTAGTAGGAACTCAAAAAGTGTTAGCTACAAGAACCAGTGTCTTGGCATTTGATCAGTCTGGTTCTGATTACCTGGAACCCTCTCCCCTTCCTGTGATGACTTCCTCTAGAGCCACACCTCCACGTGCTGCACCTTGCAGCTGCCTCCAGCTGGGGATGTGGGGTGCCTGATGTTGAAAACCCTGTGCTCCCCCTATTTTTGTCCCAAGGCCTGCCCTCACTGCATGTGTCCTACCAAGTGTTCAGGGAACAACCAATTAGCCAGCTCTCCCCCACACACCAGCCTGTAAGTCTTTAGCTCCTGAGTCTTCAAAGTCACAGAGCCAGTCTGGTACCCCTGAGCTTAACACTGTGATATTCCCGCCCCGCTGCCACAAACCCCACCACTGCTTCTGAGGGGACCCTATAAAAACAGCGTGTCATTTGCATAGTAATTAATCACGTACCAACATATTTCTTCTAGTGTCAGAATACAACAATTTAATTTCACCATTGAAAAATCTTTTCTCCTTAGCTAGAGTGTAAACTCCTTTGAGGGGCACAGAATATCAATATTTTTATTTAATTGTCAGGATCATACAAAGCCCTCAATTATCTTTCTGTTCATTTGATGTTTTTATAACAACTTTTTGTTATAAAAACATCAAATGAACAGAAATGTCTGTGTGAAACTACAAGAATCATTTGACAGATGGTCAATGACTGAATGGAATGTGTTGGACTACATAGGCTTGGAGATGGCCACTGCAAGAGAACCTTGGAGACCTTTTAAACTCCATTGGTAACAGAAAAAGAAATTGAGGCTCCTAGACAACCTGTGAGTTAGGTTACGAGTGGTGGAGCTCCCCTTGCTGCCTCAGTAATCTCAGTGGTAGAATCACAGCTGCTCTTTGATCCTGTTGTTATGAAGGACCTATGATTTAATAAGTAGTAAGCCTAAGAGAGTGGTGTGAGTAGAAGTTTAAAGGGAGAAAGTCCAAGATTTTGGCTCCCCAGAGGGTCAAGTGGGCGGTAGCCCAATCAAGTGAGGGTGGGACCAGGTTACTGAAGACCTTAATGCTAACGTTTTTTGGGGCTGGATCAGAACTTGACTCTCCAGTACAGGAAGCCACTGAGGACTCTGAACAGAGTAACACGTCAAGTTTCACCTGGGATCTCCAGTTCTGATGGACACTTTGTAGTCTCATCCTAATTGACCTCTAATGGACATGGCTTCTCCTCTCTGAAGCCATTCTCATCCAGGTTCTGCTGTGCCACATTTATGGGTTTTCTCCAGATGTTGGAGTTCTTCAGGATTCTCTCAGAGCCTCCACTCCTCCCTCTACCTGCTCGCCTCACACAATCTCTTCCACTACCGTCTCATGCTTTGGCTCATACCTGCTCAGACTTGCATTCTAGCCAGAATCCTTGGTCAAATGCTTGACTGGGAAGACTTGAAAGCCTCTTCAACCTAACTTGACCCAAACAGAACTCCTCTTTGTGTCTGCTGCCACTAGACACAAAGGTTGTCCTTTGCCTGTCCTTTTCCTTCTACTCCATATCTCATCCATCACATGTCCCAAATGACTTACCTACAAAATAAATCAAATCCATGTCCTTTTCATGTCTGCCATGGTCCTGGTCTAGCCACCACTCCCAAGGACTGCCTGGTTCTGCCTCACCATCTTTGTCTGCCCTCCTCCCTCCATGAGTTCCCAAGATCCTGAGTGTGGCTTTCTTCTGGTCAGCCTCATCTTGCTCCATGATCTCCTTTGCCTAACCATTTCTCAGATTTGCTAAGCTTTTTCCTGCTTCATCACACCTGTTGTCAGGAATGCATCACCTCTGGCTGGCTGCAAGAACAGTGACTTCTCATCTTGTATTTGTCAATTTGAACACCTCCACAGACAGGCCCTGCACAGGCCATCTCTACACTGTCCATGACAGCACCTTGGTCATTAATATCACAGTTCTTTCCCCCATTTTAACAGTGTAGGTTTGCCTTTTGTCTGTCTTTTCCAAGTATTCTGTAAGTTTACCTAGTTCAGGCCTGGGCACACAATATTTGTTGAAGCAGGTATGTAATAACTGCAGAGTGAGGGAATTTCATGCAGATTTGTTTAGAAGTAAACGGCAGTTTATTCCCAAGAAAACATTTTCTTTGCTGCTTTCCTCTGTTGTCATCAAAACATTTCTTTATTCTTAATGAGCTATTCTAAGAGAGGCTCCCTCCCCTCACAGCTCTGGAGCCATCTGGTAGCCACATTTGTCACCCCTTTAATGTTTGGGTTAAGTCAACTGGCTGGCTTACCTACAAAATAAATCCAAATTCATGTCCTTTTCATCTCTGCCATGGTCCTGGTCTAAGCCACCATTCCCAAGGACTGCCTTGTTCTGCCTCTCTATCTTTGCCCTCCCAGCCCTCCATGACTCCCCAAGTCGTCCACTTTCCCCCAAGGGACTCTTCTGTGTCCCTTCTGTAGAGTCTAAGAATGTGACTTACTTATTCTAGGAGAAAAATCAGTTACTGAATAATTAAAATGAGCTGCAAGTTTCTTTCCAGAAAAAAAATCACACCTTCTAATACTGACACTGAATTACCCATCAGCACTCTAGGAAGATGGCACCTTAGAGCTGGAGGGGCTGTGGAGGTCATGTGGTTTCTCAGGTCACCAAATGAAGTAGAGAAGGTCCAGCAGCTGACTGGCTCACTCAGGGACATCAGGCTGTGCAGGCACCTCTCTTCTTCGGCCACTGATGTCGTGGCTTTAGGAACAGAAGGCTGAAGGGCTCACCTGCACCTCCTAGATCTTTACTCACTCACTTCCACATGGCGCTTTCCCTAGAGCTGCACCTCGTGAGCACACTACACTGCTGCTGGAATCCACTAAGGCCTGCCTTAAAGCACCCAAGTCTTCCTCAGACTTGTCGCCTCTTTATCATTCCTGTCACTGCTGTGAAGGGTCCATGTTTTGCTTGATGCCAGTACTACCACCAGCTGGGTCTCACTTTCCTTACCACCTCCTGCCCAGTTTATCCTACGTAATGCTGCAGAACGGTCTTTCTAAACCTGGTTCTGATTGTCACCCCTTTTCTTAAAACATTCAGTTTTGCTCCACTGCCTGTCACTTCTGAGCAGGACATATCTTTTACTGTCAAGCTCAAACCTATTTTTTGGCCTTACCTGGTACCGCTCTTCACATACCCAATGCCAGGAGTGTGAACTTAGGAAGGTACGTAACCACTGGGCTTCTGCTGCTTTAGAGAGTGTCTAAAAGACACTGTGCAGTCAGGATTTTAATTGCCCTTTGATGCCATGCTTTCACCAGCATGCTAAATAATCCAGCCCTCTACTACCTAGTTTGCCATGTAGAGATTCTCATGAAGACAAAAGGTTGGATTTCCTAAAGTCAATCCTAAAATGGTATTCAAGAGAAAAGCTGTTATGTAAGAAAATGTTCACCTTGATAACAGCAGCAAACAATGGAAGGAGAGAACCTAAATATTCAATGGCTAATGGCAATAATAAATGATGTAATGGTATTAAACCATCACAAAAAATCTAGAAATGTTTAAAAATGTACCTGTGAAATATCACTACACATAAAGAAAACGTCTGGGGAGTAACCCAGACACAACAAGATGATTTTCTTATTTAAAAAACAAAACTAGTTCTGGTTATGGTACTGTTGATGCTAATAGAAAATGTGGGCAAACTGACAGGACCTTGACACAAATATTTACTCAAACTGCAGCAGTGTGGTCCAGTGGAAATGGACAGGGGTGTTGAAATCAGATAGGTTTGAATCCTGGCTCCACCTGTGAACATGGGCAGGATACCTAACCTTTCCCAGCCAGTCACTGGTTCCACTGAACAGGGCTAACTGCACCCCTGGGGTGGTGGTGGGGGTTGGAGGGGGCTGAGGATTAGCTAACATCTCGTGTCAAATTCCTTGTACATGGTTTGGCTCCACAACAGCTAGTTTTCTTTTGTCCTTTAGTTACCTGAGGCAGGAGCTTTCTTGTTTTTTCCCAAAACTTGTAAATGGAGTCACAGCCTGGAGAGCCTTCTGATTCAACTTGATGGCGACTGCCTAAAGCCACAGGAGACATGCTCAGTCCAGGAGGGGGGCGCCTACCTTTCAGCTGAGCTGCAGGCAGATGCTAATTACCTCTGGGTTGTCGGTCAGGTAGATCTGTCTGGAGATGTTGTTTATTGCACATATCCACTGCAGAAGACAGTAAAAAGAATGTCAATCCAAAAGCCACCCACCACGCTAGGAAAAAGGCCAAGAGTCAAAGCTTTACCTCTTCATTTTCTTTTCTGCTCTCTGCCTGGAGGATGATTCCCCTGAAAGAAAATGCATCTACATCAGTGCTTCCCTATCTCAGGCTACCTGAGGAGGACGCTAAGCCAACTGAACTCCGCACCGGGGTGGGGGAAGCATGACCAGGTGGAAGGGGGGAGTGCTAGGTCTGCCTCTGGTGACAATTCACCTGGTCTTGGATAAAACCTGCTTTCTCTGGGCCTAGGCTTCCTCATCTATAAAGTGAGGGGGACTCGGATCTTTCCACCTAAGTCTGGGCTCCCACAGCAAGGACCATCTCTGTTGACCCTTCTCTATATGCCTGGCCACTCCTCCACCTATGCCCAAAGGACCTGGCACTAAGAACTGAAAGGCCAGGGAGTACAATGACAGTACTGCCCTACCTTCACGAGGGCTTCAACTCTTTAAAAAAGGGCCTCTGCCTCTGCTTGTTTCTTTGTTCCTCATGTCTGTGGCAGATGGGGGAATGGGTCTTATCCTTACTTCACACTTGAGAGGACAGAGGCCCAGAGCAGGCAAGTAACTCAGGGGACTATGACTAGAATGCAGGATCATCTAGCTCACTGCCAGAAAGAAGATCATGTCTAAAACTGCTTGGCTAATCTGGGAGGAGAGCCATCCACGCCACCCCCCTTCTGCTTCCATGCCCGCAGGAGCACACATGTGGCTGTGAGCTCCTCAGCGCAGTGAAAACCACTATAGAAGTGAGAGAGGATCTGCTGGAATGGGCTCTACTGTGAGTGACCACAGGCTGCCGGTGATTTTTTTTTTTTTTTAGTTGTAGTTGATACAATACCTTTGCTTTATTTATTTTTATGTGGTGCTGAGGATGAAACCCAGGGCCTCGCCCGCACTAGGTGAGCACTCTACCACTGAGCCACAACCCCAGCCCAGGCTGCCGATGTTTAAAGCATGACCTCTGCTGGGCCCAAGGTCCCCAGGGTATGTGGGGACAGCATGCTAACAAATGATCCTGCTATGGCTGAACACACTGCTCACATCTCCCATTTCGGCTGGGAACATGGACTCCTAGGCAGCCTTCCCACCTCCCCTCTGCCTGCACCACCACTGCACAGGCACAGATACCTGTTCAGGGATAGGCCAGGAGTGGCCACCGCCTTCTCTCAGAACCTACGCTGACAAGAATTACCTCTGTTGCTCTTACACAAGTAGGTCATCTCTATGAATTCACACATAGGTCCTCTCTGGTCTCCCTAAAAGAAGCAGTTTGGATCCCATATATATAGGTCACGTGTGCTTATTTAAAGAACATAAACCATTCTCCCAAAAGTCAGCATGACCTAGACGGGGACTCGCAAGGAGCATGGCCCACAGGACTGAGCTCGGCAGCCTTCAGCAGGGGCGGAGTCACTACACTTGTCCTCCCAGATAGCACCCGCTGGCCTACGGTTTTCCGCTGGGAGTGGTGATCTGGAAGCAGTATCGTCGGTCTTCGCAATCCACCGCCATCACCGAGCAGTTGTCCAGGTCCTGGATCAGACCTCCAGCCACAGCTCCCCTGGGCTGACACATGAGATTCCCGCCTTGGGTGAAGAAGTAAAGTCTCTCCCAGGTGGTGGTGACCAGCCCCGTCTTGCTGTATGGGTGGTATTGAAAAAGCCATTAGCACTGGGAAGCCCGAGTAGCATCTCCAGCGGTGCTGCCTGTCTAAAGGTACTGGTGACACTGTGGAAACTGTTTCCCTATAGTAAAGCAAGACCTCTTTGAAAAAGAGTGACAGGAGAGATCAGTTTGGCCTGAGTGACCTAGGAGACTGGGCTCCAGTGCCAACTCCAGATCCTCGGCAGGGCGTGTACCCGCTCCCCCAGCACGGCCACAGCTTCCAAAGCTGCTGCCTACAACTAGAAGCAGTCTCCTAATTAAGAACCTGAAATCCCGGGGATCTTTCCTCTAGGACATGGAGCTCTGAACCTAGTTAGAGTCACTAGGGTCTCAGCCCACAGCCCACGATGGGGGCGGGGCTCTTCCCAGCTTGGGTTCTGCTCTAACTAGAGGTTATTTTGTGAGATGCTTACAACAGGAAAATGCTTTCTTGGCAAATAACATCACGACTTTCATCCCTACAGATTGAATGGGGACACATAGCTTGTGATCTTCATAGAGGGGCTGTACCTGAAGAGGTGGCATTTCCTCTGTAGATACCCCCACTTGCAGAATGCTGAGTAATTTGCTGGATTTACTGAGCTGCCACTATGTGCAAGACACAGCTAATAACTGAGGGCTCCTACCTGCTAAGAATGACCTCGCTCAATCCTTGCAACAACTGTGTAAAGTAGGTGCCATCGTCAGGGAGGGATCATGGCTCCTTCTGGCCAGGGTGTCTGATGCCAGTGTCCGATCCTCACATACGCTGACATCATCCTCTCTCTGCTCTTGGGAGCAGCTAACCTTGATCATCCCTTTCATTCAGAATGGTAAATTTAAGGACCTAAGTGTCAAATGTATGACTTAATCTGAATGAATGTGATTTACCCAAAGCTTCACCTCCACATGGGTCTCTAACACAATGCTCACCTGCTGGGTGGCAGAGGGCCAGGGGACACTAACTCTCAATGATCCAGAATGATGAGTATACAGCAGTTACAAATGGCCACGGTGGCCAGAGACGAGGGTGGCCTCCTCTTCCCGAGTCCATGGCACTGAGATCTCACTCATACAGGCTGTTTCCAGCCCTATTTCTGCATGCAGTTTGGGACCTGGGCCCCAGAGTGTCCTGCGCTCCAGTAGGAGCAGGGCTGTGTGCGAGCTCTTCCCGTGCACCCACCCCACCCTCAGGCCTCAGTGGGCACCACAGACTGCTTTACAGCCACTTCCTAGGGAGAAGAGTTCAGAAAGAGGCAACCACTGGCATTCTCACTTTCTAAGGTTAAGGTAACCGGCCTTCTGGATGAGGTTCCTGTTGACCTGGGGTGCAGCCACATCGAAGTCTGGCGTGTAGACAGATTCATCGACAGAAAGCAATTCTTGCTGAGATATCCGCGTCTTTTCTGCTTCAGCTTCCAGTTCCACCTCAATGCTTAAGACAGAAGGTGGCAGGTCGGTCAGAAGCTGCCGGCCAACTCAGCAGTATAAGAAGCAGGTAGCAGGGCCCTCACCCACCCAAAAGCTTCCTATCTATACATGAAGTCACCAGCCTGCCTTGAAGCCACAGCACTCCACCCTCCAACTTAGGCCCCTGAGCTACAGATCACAGTGTTCAGACACCATCTCAGAACCGCACGAGAAGGGACGGGGAGGTTTCAGTGGTAGAGCACCTGCCTAGCATGAGTGAGGCCCTGATTCTATCCCCAGCACCATGGAAAAAAAAACAAAAAAAAAATCCCCCCAAACACACAACACCCTCTACCAAAACACCACCCCACCACAAGGAACACCACTAAACTATGCTTGAACCCAGATCAACAGTTTTATTGCTGGAGAAGAGCACCATTCTCAGAATGGTGGTCAGATTCTGGGGGAGCTTTGGCAAGCCTATCCTCCTGGGCTGCACATGCAGGCAGCCTGTGAAAGTCCCACGGAGGAAAGAATGGGAGCAGTCACCCTCCCCTGGGCTTGGTGTGAGGCAGGGGTGGTGAAGATAGGTCACAAGAAAATGACCAGGGAGTGTCCCAGGGACAACAAAGCCCAGAACAACACTTTTCCTTTTATGACATCCACCAACTGCCCTGAGATTGCACGGTGAGCTAGCCAAGGGCTGCCCAGAGAGGAATAAGCAGGACCATGCCTGGGCTCTGATGTAGCAGCCCCAGCTTCCGTATGTGGGAGGGGCTGGTGTGGAAAACCTAGAAGCTTTGGCTTGAAACAGCAGCTGCCCTTCCACCCACAAAGGATGACTGGACACCATCTGCCCAACATGGTCTTATTTGGGAAAGCAAATGCCAAAGGAGGTGTTCCACCATTCCACCAGAGTGAAGAAAGGACAGAATTATAACTGTTAAAATCAGAAGGAACAAGGGACCTAGGGAATCCAGTGTTTCTCAAAATGAGCACCTCAAGATTTTCTCTCTTCCATAGGTAACTCTAGGCTTCTACACTCCATCTTCTGTTTAACACAGCTTGATGCAAACAATCCATCTAGGTTAATTTCTGACATTTGAATGGGATGACTAGGAACTCCACCAGTGGAGACCTTAGGTCACTGGAGAACAAACCTCGCTGGCTTAAATTGCCAGTCACTGCCAAGGCTGAGAAAAATGGAATGATACAGAAAAATGGAGCAGGACAGGACACAGAAGGAGGCATCCAAGAGTAGACCTGCTGACGTTCTTCAGCTTTATTATTGTTATTTTGTATTACTGGGGATTGAACCCAGGGCCCACACACGGTAGGCAAGCATTCTACCACTGAGCCACATCTCCAACACTTAAATTTTTGAAATAGGCTCTTGCAAAGTTCCCAAGGTTGGCCTCAAACTTCACTCCTCCTGCCTCAGCCTCCAAGTACCTGGGCCTATAGGTGTGCACCACAGCACCTGGCTTGTTCTTTAGCTTTAGTAGATGAGAAATCTCTTGAGGGATCTGATGAAAGATAAGGTTCATCTCCCCGAAATATACTCACTAATGTGCACTAAAATGTGATCTTTTTTAAAAAAATATTTTTAGTTGTAGCTGGACACAATACCTTTTTGTTTATTTATTTTTATGTGGTGCTGAGGATTGAACCCAGTACCTCATGTGTGCTAGGCAAGCGCTCTACCACTGAGCCACAACCCCAGCCTCCTAATGTGATATCTTGCATACAGTTGTAGGAAATTCTTAGTAACTGTCCTTCCCTATCTTCCCCTACTCAGACAGACTTAGGCTCAAAAACGCTGATCAAATCCAAGCCTTCGTGATCCAAAGGAACAGAGTGGAAAAGTAACTGCTTTTGTCCTCTTCAAAGATTTTTTTTTAGAAAAGTATGTTTCTACACACACATGAAGGATCCAAGAAAAAAGGTAATAAAATATCACTGTGGGATTCAGGGCTTCAAAAAGCCCAGGACTGTTGGGTGGCTGGAAACTATGCTGCCCTCTTTGGGTTCCAGTTAGGCTCTAAGAACAGGAGAACACCAGGGGAAGCCATCTCTCCTGAAGACGGTAAATTGTTAGTGGCACCACTAGACACCGCCCTGAGGCCCCTCAGCTGGGCTGGCTGCTCATCATGGTGACACGATGGCAAGGCCACCGCTTCCTCGTGATCTGGAGAGAAGTGGATGCACTGTCTCTAAACTGAGAGGACAATTAGAATTCTCTGGACCAAAGGCTTTAGCTAGTTGAACCAGGAGGATCCAATGTGTGGGCTGCCTTTAGCCTGTAGTGAAGCACACCTTATCAGGCAGCAGAGGGATGGCATGCAGGGACCAGGCCATGTAGTCAGCGGTGCTCTGTGCTAATGCCCAGTTCACAGTCCAACTGGGAAGGAGGCCCACACATTAGTGCTCTCATAAAGGTTCATGGAAAGGCAGACAAGAGGGGAAGACAGGCTCTGGGATCTGCAGAGAGGACACCATGGCGTCTCGATGACATGGGCATAAACAGCCTGCCATCCGTCAGCAAAAATGACTCAGGGCCTAAGCAGTGTTTGAAATGTGGGTGGTTCTCCAGAGACATAGAAAGCCACAGGACTATGAGAGTTAAAGCCGGGGTGAGACCGAGGCTAAGGGGGCGGTCTGTGGGACGCGACGTTCAGCAGGCTCCCTCTCCCCCCTCATGTTCCCAGGCTAACCATCAAATTCAAGGGTAAGAGACTGAAATCAGAGCTCACAGATTGCTTTCTCACATAATTATAAATACAGTCTCTTTGCTCACTGTGACCAGCTCTCGGGCACCCAGCACAGGGACCTGAGGAGGAGCAGAGGCACACCACCTCCCCCAGCTCCAGGGCTTGGCCCTGGCCCTTCTGGTGCATGCTTTATTCTTAGAGCCTTTGAAGTAGACTTCTGCCTAAAAACGTTCCACTGCTTGGCCTTCACGAGCTATTTTGAAATGTAATATCTTCAGAAAATGAGCAACTTTATCCTTTTCCACATAAAATAAAATTCCATATTATTTCTATTTTATGTATTTTTCAACCACACACGCACGTGCACGTGTGAGCCCACAGATGTATTTCTAGACCTCAGAAGTCATGACAGGTCCTTGCTGCTCAGGGTGAAACAAGCCTGATGTGCCAGGGCCCGTGGGCTGCCCCAGAGCTCCAGGATGTCAAGAGGCTGAGGGAGGGGCAGGAGGGATAGCAGCTGGGCCATCATGAAGTGTGGGCTGACCTCCTGAATAGAGTAATTAGAAAAAAATAATAAGTGTTTGCATGGCTGAGCTACCTTTTCTTTAAAGTAACTCAAAAGAAGCTTAGCAGCTTGCCTATCATAAATTAATGTAATGGTCAGAGATTCCCCCAAAATTCCAGCACTTCTGTCTGCTAATCCCATTAGCTCAGAGGGGGAAAAAAAACAATTTAAACTAGATTTGGGTTTATAACAGATGAAACTTGGTATTAACACAGGGACCCTAACAGGAGGCAGCAGGGTCTGTAAGGTCACACAAGGCCACAAGGGCAGAAACCAGCTCCGTCCTATTCTGCCACGCGTGTCGCCTGCACAGGCGCTCATGGTCAGAGCTCACCCCCAGACTCCTATTCAGCGGAGACAGCGAAACACACCAAGATCCAAACCAGTGAGCGGCATTACCTCTGAACCATGTCTGCAACAGAGGATAGAAAGCTGTCCATGCTTCTGGAAAACATCTCTGCTCCCTTCTTAAAAAAGTTAATCTGAAAGATACAATTATGACATGTTGAGAATCTCCTACCGAAGGGGATGGGTGAGTGCCCTTAATGTAATGACCAGCGGCATGGGGACAGAAGACCTGGGCCGCGCCCTCCCTCACTGCAGTTCTTACAGCATCTCAACGGAGCCTCAGCCTGACGTGACTCCCAAAGTCCCAAGGGCTTTGTAAAATGGGGGAAAAGTGGAACCTAGTCATCTTTGCTGAAAGGCTGTTAAACATCAGGAATGACATAAGATAATGCCTGGTATGTACCACGTATCTCAATAATCATGACTGATAAGTTTTAAATCACCACCAGTGGTTTTTTAATATGAATCCTAAGTAGTGAGTTTCCTGAGGTCTCATTCACCATCTCTAGCCCCAAATGGGTGACATGTGACAGATGCTATCAGCCCAGCAAGAACCTGAAAAGCACTTCTTGCTCTTGTACAGCATGAGATGTTCGCCTGGCCTTGAAGGCCACGGTGTGACAGAGCCTGGTCACTGAGCCCTGTGCAGCTGTGAACATAGGCCAGATAGAGGGGCAGATGGATGACAGCTTGGTTGAGACGCTGCAGAGGGAAAACTGGGTGGAAGGCTTTAAAGGCCTCTTCCAACCGTGACAGGAAGTTAGAGGGGATTATACACATAAAGGATGTTGGGGGTCCTGGCATAGTACAGCTGCTCAGCAGAAGTCCTTTGGGCTCTGTAGTGAATGCTTTCCCTGCCCAGGGGACAGTGGCCTCTAGGAGACCTGCAGTCAGTGCAGGATGTGAAACTGCAGTTGTAGCTTTTGGAACCAATGGAGGAGTTCTTCCTTCCTGTGAAGTTTCCTGCGACTCTTGTAAAATACTGCCTTCCCAGGAGGTCTGGGTGCCCTGAGACACCTGCAGGGCAGGATACAGGAAGAGAGGGAGAAGAACACCCCTGGGTGTTACAGACATCTGCAACCCCCCACCCTGAAAGGCTCAACTTTTCATTCTTATGACCATGGCTTTAAAAACTCAGGACTTTATGGATAAGCTGCTCCACTCTACGTGCTGGGATGTAACGGCTGCAAGCCTGTGTCACAAAAAAAAAAGAAGAAACATGCAGCCTGGACACACTCTTGTGTGTCTCCCTGCTTATCTATCTGATCTGGAATCCCACCTTGCCCTGGGTGATGGGCACAGAAATCGACCTCTCACCCCGAGCAGGCCAACAGGTGCTATCAGCAGGGTTTTGACATTCTCTCCTGTTCTGGGAAAGCTCATACCCATTTCTTAGTTACCACAGGGTAAAATCAGATGATGACCACAATTACCCTAATGCCAAATGATACCTACAGGGGATGTTCTGGCACCGTGATCTTTGAATCATACAGAGATCAACACTGTAATGCTGCTTCAATCACTGTAATGTCAAATACCGAAACGATACTCGTCAGTTAATATCATGCATCTGTCAAATGAGCATTCGGCATCCCTAAAGGGCACAACATCTTGGGAGCTCCTCCCCCCTCCCCTGCCTGACCTACCTCTGGAGTTTTTACTGAGTCCAAGGCTCAGCTCTTCTGCTCTGTAGGCACCCCAGGGCAGGGGCTCACATAAGCCCTACAAAAATCAGACAAATGGAAGGAAAGACACTGCCTTCTCCAGCGGCATTACCCAGCATTTTCCCTGGCGATTCTACACTAGCCTGCATCTTTATGTGCTCAAAAACCTGTTCACACACTACAAAGCCTCAGTTTGCACCAGGGCTGAATCATGAATATTAAACAAGCCTGTTTAACAAGGACTAGAGAAGGCAGAAATGGAGTCAAGGCACCTACACAAAAGTAAGTGGTGCCAAGAAGGCTGATTTGGATCTCCCCCAGATGGGCCAGCAATGGTCACAGCCACCAGCCATGACCAACAAGGGTGGGGCTCCATAAACAGGCTTCTGAAGGCTGATAGGGCAGAAGGAGAAGTGCTTCTGAGTCATCAGACTCACGTGCTGGGCAACAAACAAAGGGAGGGACTAGAGTTTGCATTAGGATTTTAAAAGTCTGTAGCGGAGGGGACTGACTTGGTCTAGTGTCTTGAAATCTAGATACTCCTCACATGAAAAACTAGACGCACTATCCTCAGTCCTCAAAATGATGCTCCTGCCACCCAGCAGTGATGGGGAGCTCTAGCCAGAGCTCTGTCCTTGGGCCTCGGGCTGCATCTGTGTGAAGGTGCTCTGGTCTCCTCTCCCTGTGGGCAGCAGCACTTGCTTAAAAGGCCCAGCTTGGAGAATGGTGCAGCCCCTGCCAGCCGAGTCCACTCATGGGGTGCAACACCTAATCAAAGGAGGAAGGAGGGCAGCAGAGTGACCATCTCAAATGCCATGGAAGCTGCCAAGCTCCCAAGGGGTTGCCAGGGGCTGGAGCCCCCGGCTGGACAGTGCTTATTTGGGGGTTTATTCAGCTTTATGCAGATGACACAGAAAGGTTACACTGATCTACTTAAACATCACCTCTGATGACAGAAGCTGACCTCAGGGCACTCCAACTCATAACCAGCACAGTGAGCCTGGCAGCTGGGCTCCGATGCTTAGGTTCTCCCCTCTTTCCCTTTTTCCTGAATGAAGCTAATTCTGTTTCTTTTGAAATTCGTGAATTTTTCAAATGTGCTTCATAACAGTAAAAGATGCTCGTGTGTTCACTTTTTCTTCAAGTCAGTGACTTTATTTGAAGCAATTCCTGGCTTCCTCACACCCGTCCTGCTCCTAGACCGATGAGAGAAGATTCCTGGGTGCTTGTCTCACGTGCCAAAGGGAAATTTCAGAGTCAACACTATGGGGTTAAATAGGGCGGGGAGGACACCAGCCTGACACACTCCTGTTGGTCCCTGCCACTCCTGTTTATGCCATAACAATTAGGGCTCCCTCCTTAAGTGGAGCCTCCCTTAAGACAAATAATATTCAGTAGATCAGTCAATAAGAGGGAAGAAGCCAAATAAATTCTCTACAGAATACTCCATAAAGCCCTGGCAACTCTTGCCTACGCCCCAGAAGGTGAAGGCCTCAGCAGCAACCTTGGGGATGAGTCAGTTGAGCATTGCCCAGCCAGGGGGCACCCGACTGCACACAGCAGTAAGGGAACGTCACAATTTTGGATTCTAAGCCAAACATCTGGACCGACTGTGAGCTGCTTCTAGGAACACTGGACCAGGCCTGGCTTTTGGGTGGATCAGAGACAAAGGGCCATGCAGGATCCTCCCCCAGGGAAGCTCAGGATCCAGGCCATCATTTCCTGAACATATGGCCTCACAAGTCCAGCTGAGGATGGCCTGCCCAGCTGGAAGGACTCCACAGTGTGAATCCAGGAAGTTTCCAGGGAGGCTGTGCATCTGTTTCCTGCTCTGACGAGGTTTGGTTTCTTCTAAATGTTCTCAGGTTTCTGCCCCAGGTGAGAGGGCTCCCCTACCTGTCCATGGGCGAAGCCTATCATGGGCTCCATCATGGCCATCCGCTTCCGGTACTGCAGCGCATTGAGGGCGGAGTAGTACTGGAGGGACGCCAGGTGCTGCTTCCGCCGTGCAGCTGCCACCTCCTTCACAACTTCAGTCTTTACCTGGTTGAAAGGTGAAGGGAAAACTTCCAGGTGTGACCGTTCTGTAAGAGCATGCAACTTAAGAACGTTTGCTTATCCATTTTTGTGCCAAATATAGTAACACTTAGGTAAACTTCACCTCAATTTAAAATTCCCAATTAAAAATACCCAGGTAAGGGCTGGGGCGGGGGCTCAGTGGCAGAGCACTTGCCTTGCTTGGGTGAGGCATTGGGTTTGATCCTCAGCACCACATAAAAATAAATAAATAAATAAACAACAAACAAACAAACAAACAAAGATATTGTGTTCATCTACAATAAAAAAGAAAAAAATACACAGGTAAGAGCATCTCAGTGCTCGTGGGGCTGCAGGAGGCAAAGCCGGCACCCTGCAGGTAGCAGCACCCACACTGCAACCCTGCAGGAAAGCCACTGGCGATAGGCATCAGAAGCCACAGACGTTTTGGTTCACTCATAAGATCCTGTTCCAAAGAAATAATTTAGCCCAAGGAAATCATCTAGCAGAAGTAAAAAGCAAAACACCTCAAAAGCAGGGGCCACAGGGAGCTCAACCCACTCGCCTAGCACAGGAGTCAGCCAGTCCCAAGAAGGACCAAGTGGGAGATAAAGCTACTGTGTGATTGTAATCTACAGTGGTTCTAAGCTGGTGTTTAATATCAGGCTGAAAAGTCAGTCTAGAGAAGCAGAAGCCCACTTATGAGATTCAGAATAATTTCAAAAGTCCACGTACAGGAAAAAGAAAGTAACGTCTCTAGACACCCGACTGCCACAAACTCAGAATATGAGGTACAGAAGCAGCTTAAGTAAATGAAGGGAAAAATAACAGGTAAGGTAAGCTTACCTTTTCATTCTCCTTTTTTTTAGGGAGCCTGCTGTATTTTGCCATTGAGAGATCATGCTCTAAAAATAAAAAGACATCTGAGCATCCAGAAAGGTCCAAAGGCAAAAGCATTCATTCAGCATCTTCTCCCACCCACACACACTAAACCCACACACACTACCAAACCCACCAACCAGGAATGGAAGATGCCTACCACTGCTGGCGAGTCCGAAAAGTTCCTTTAAAGTGCTTACTTCTGTACAAGAGGAAAAAAAAAAAAAGTCTTAGAGCAAGAAAAATAAAGCATGCCAACCCAGGGCTCTGCTTTCCTGAGAAGGCAGAATATGTGCTCGGCCTGCCCCCAGGTCCTCTGCTCCCCTGGCCTAGGCCAATGGCTGCATCCTGGTCTCCCTGGAGCCTGTGCATGCAGCCTACACTCCACATCTGGGGGTCTTGCCTGCCTCGGGAAGAACACAGCTCTCTGGGAACACAGAGACAGTGAACGGCCAGGACCTGTCACGCAGACCTGAAGTATAAACTTAAGTACTGATTCTCAGCCCCTAAGTGAAGTGTCCAATGCATCTTTTCTCAGAATGTTGCAGGATAACACCCAGAAGTTCCTTCTTGTTGCCATTTTAACTTCTGACTTATTAGTGTCACCACTGAACAAAGAAATACTGCAGTGCCTGTGTTAATGAAAACTACGATGCCATCTGGTACCTGCAGCAAGCCAGCACCAATCCCCACCACCCACTGGGCTACCTGCCACTCCTGGGACAGCTGAACAGGTCCAAGACAAAGCCACAGAGGACTCTGAGCAGTGAAGGTCCAAGGTTAAACAAAATCAGGTCCCTAAAGGAAGCAAACCATTCTACAATTCTAACTGCGTCTGACTTTGTCAAACGCGGCTGGGATTTCCCGGGCTGTGCTCTTTCTCGTCTCCCCAGCGCTTCCTTCTCTGGACACTGTTCTCACTCCACAGCGCAGGGCTGCCGCCGCCCTCTCCCACTTGCATTTTTCTCTTCTTTCTCTCCCACCTTTACTTCCTGATGGAGCAGAGTTTTAGTGAAGATATTTTTCTTAACTTATCAATTTTAAATAGCTTCATTAACCCTCCTGTGTTCTCTTCATTCTGATCACATACTTGTGTGGGGGACACAGGAAGCAAAGGCAATAAAACAGCACCGCGGCTCACGGACAGGGTGCCAGATGCCCATGTGGGTCCAGTGTGGACTCAGGAAAACTGGGCCAAACGCTTCAATTCTATTTTTGTGTCACCAAAAAAAGGAGACTTTAACTCTCTTCAGAGAATTAAGAAACTTCTCTTCTGACTACTACCGACCAGTGAAAATCTACTTTTCAAAAGAAACACCATTCTGTGCAAAAGCTACCAAGTCCACATGCTGGGTCACACTCAATCAAGCAGGGCCACCGTTCCCCTCAAGCCAAGGTTCCTCCCACAAGCAAACCTGAAAAAGAGCAATCTGACAACTCGGGGTGAGGGGTCATTATTTTCTAACAACTTGGGGTCTGCTTTTAAAATGACATTGCCTGGTGATTTTATTTAGGGTAAATCTGTTTTAAAAGCATCCAACGAGGCTTTCAGTTGGGACTAGAAACCAGCACCACTGGATTTAGCCGTCTGGCTTCATGTTTGACTAGAGATGAGCCAATAAAAAGCCCGAGATTCCTGCTCAGTGAGGGTTCCTCTTGACACGTGGTGTATTACTATTTTTTACCTACAAAATTTTAAGGCCTGCCAAACTGGCCTTGAGAGTGTGTGCCAGTTCATGTACCATCATCCCCAGCCCCAGGTGATACGACAACAGGGGACCAATCTCAAAGTGAGGGGAAACCTTCATCTCCAGTATCTGCCCTCAGATTCCCCGCATCTTTTATGCTCGTTAAATAAATAAATAAATAAATAAATAAATGGCTCTGTATTTCTGAGGAGCAGGACACTGAGACCTGCCAGCATCAGGTTTGGGCTTCTTCGATCAGAATTTTTCTTTTATAGGCATGTTCTTCAAACACAATGAAATAAGAAGGAACAATGGGACTAGAAGATTTGCATTCCTTTTTTTTTTAAACATCACATGGGATTTTTCAGTACTATTCTTTTCTTTCTTTTTTGGTACCAAGGATTGAATCCAGTGGTGCTTAACCACTGGGCCACATCCCCAGGCCTTTTCTAGATTTTATTACAGACAGGGTCTCCCTCAGTTGCTAAGTGCCTCGCTAAGCTGCTGAGGCTGGCTTTGAACTCTCGATCTTCCTACCTCAGGCTCCCAAGCCACTGGGATTACAGGTGTGTGCTACTGCGCCCAGGTAAGACTATTCATTTTTATTCATTTTTGACTGCTTTAATTTCTAAGAGAGATAAAATTATTCTTTTTTCTATATATTTTTTAGTTGTAGATGGACACAATATCTTTATTTTTATTTATTTTTTTTATGTGGTGCTGGGGTCCAAACCCAGGGCCTCACGCATGCAAGGCAGTGCTCTACCACTGAGCTACAACCCCAGCCTGATAAAATTATTCTTAAGTCCAAAAAGCCACATAGGCTCTCTGAACCAGTCACAGATGTCGTCACTCAAAACTAGGCACTCCACGAGAGAGCAGGGACCCGCCCACCCATCCACAGCTATGCCCTGGAGTCCTGCAGAGAGAAAGCATGAGTTCCCACCCGTCTTCCCCTCCACAGGCTCCCATGTCACACTCTAGAGCATTCAGCTTCCCCAGGAACATGCCTTTGCAGAGTCCCTAACCTATGACACTCACCTCAGTCACATTGTGTGCTTGCTAAATATTATACACCATTCGACACCCAGGTCAGAGAAGGCCTCCTCCAGGAGCCTTCCCTAGCACCCATTCCGGAAGCAGACCTGCCCCTGCACTCCTTTCCCATAGGGCTCTGCCTCCTCACCTCCTGACCTTACAGCAGTCTGTTTCTCCACCCTTGTCTTATTTGCCTGTGGCCTCTTTAAGGTGAGCCAGGAACATGGGGTGGGGGTGTATGCGGGGGGGGGATAGGGTGGTTGATGAAGGTTTGCTAAACTGACCTACTCAAAAAGAAAGGCATTTCTCAATGATCCACACATTTTTAAAGACACTAATGCAGTAAGAATTATTGTTTTGAGTTAAATAGTATTTTGAAGGTAAATGCAGTGAACTGAGTTACAATACCTGTGAGATCCTTTTCTCGAAATTGTACAATAGGTAGGACCATGGCGTCTGCCAGCTGTTTGGCCAGCTCTGTATGGAGGACATTAAGCTGAAAGAAAAGGAACTCCTCAGAAAACTATATCCATTATTACTGGGTCTCAACTCACAGGGGACTCTGCTGAACACTTCTAGGTGGTTAAACAGCTCGGCTGGACTTCTTTAGAAAATAAATACCCCCCCATAAAGCTGTAAAGAAGAGGCCCAGAGGCACTAAAAAGGTAACACAGGGTTTCAACTAACTGGGCCATCAGTGAAGCTTGCTAAAGGCGGGCCCAGTTATTCTTGGTTCACTGTGCCAACTCCGGTTCTGTGTTCCTGGGTCACACCCCCGGAGAATGGGAATGCTGTATTTGCTGGCAGTAGCATGGCTTGCAGCCAGAAGTCAGCACAGTTAGCCACCTCCCAAGGCCACAGCTCTCACTCTCAGAGAAAGCTCCAGTTACACCAGAAAAACAGTCTGGCTGGGAACAACCAGCCCCGAGCCCAGGGCCAGCAGCTGTGGGCCCCATGGATTGAGCGGGAGAAAGCTCGGTCCCTGATCCCTGCTGAAGCCGGCAGCAGGCTGCAGGCCTCAGCTCCCTACAGGACCACCAGCTAGGAGCAAGCCAGCTGCGTTCCAGGGTGACCCTCCTCACCAAACACTTTCAACAGCTCTAGGTGTCCTCTCCCCTCTGCCTTGAGGGCTTATTAAAATCCTGTCTTCGTAAACAGCCTAGGGGAAATAAACACTCTCCGCAGGGCCAGCACTGGGGGCACTTTTTGTGTGCCCACTTTACAGACTCTATCCGGTTCAGTTCTTGCCCACTCTGTGCATTAGGAATTTATTATTCCTATTTTACAGGCAGGCAAACAACCCTGTAAGTCCGGAAAGCAAATAAATGGCACGGCCAGGGCTGTAACCACAGGCTGCTGGGATCTAGAATGCATGCTCGTCCCACTACACAGCCTGGGACGTGGAGCTTGGTCCTTTACGCTCACAGTGCTGCCAAAGCTTCATAGGTCTGGGGGGTCTGGGGGGGTCTGGGAGGGCCTGGAGCAACAAACAATGGGAGACTGTCCCTCAGGTGCAGACTTGTGGGCATGCTGAAGGATGTTCCAGGACTCCTGCTGGTGGCTAAGGGCACATCACCCATGGTCATTTCTAAGGACCCAGAGTTTTGAGCCATCAAACTTCTGCTGTGTGGCTTTTGAGATGTAAGGGGTTGTCGCCTCTAGCCACTGTGCATTTGCTGGGAAGAGTGGAAGAGGTGGCCCACATCTCATCTTGGTGCTTAAGGATCGTCACAGAAAATGAAAACGGCAAGACCTGCTTCTATGTGTGGATGCTGTGAGGATGGGACAGTACACAGAGGGACCGCCCGGAGCCCGACACACACATCCTGGCACTTGCTTGACCAGTGGAAGCTGTGATGACAATCACCTCCTGTCTTGGGCGCCACCCCAGGAAGTGATCAGAAGCCTTGCTTTAGGGGAGACCACCGAGCCCGGGATCCCCATGGGACTAACAGGGAAGAGCGCATCCTACACATTTGACTACGCAGACCTTTCACGTCACTGGCTTGTTTTTTTAATTTCATGGTCAAATTACTTGTCTTAAAGACTTTTCCACCTGGTTGAGACCCAGGTTGAAGAAACACCCCAAACCCACCCTCCTCTTCCCAGGTCTGGGCCCGCTGGTAACCAAGCCTCCTTCTGGGTCTCCGGAGAAAAAGCAGCTTGTGTGGAGCCTCTGACGGTACCAACCTCCAGCTGCCGTGCTACTGCCCAGAGAATCCACCCACCCTGGGGAGGTTCTAGTCCACTGATAGAATCAGCACTACCCAGAAGAAGATGGCCACGAGCGAGCATTTTAAGCTGGAAATCTTAGTGGGGGTTCAGGCCACCAGCCACACCTCCACGGCAACGCGCCTCTATGCAGAAAACAGACAACTTCAGGGTTCAGTCTACGGCTTCCCCCAGATACCTGTTCACTGTTAATGAAGAAAAAGGCTCCTCCCCACCTCCCCAAATCACATTTTACTTCTCTGTAACCACACTTTCTACTTACCTTTCACCCATCTCAATACACATTTTAAAGAGCCTTGACATGAGTATATCATTGTGATATAATGAAAAGTACAAATTTAGTCTCTGTTCCTAGCTCCTAGCACAGAATTCCTAAAACCCTTATAACTTCCTGAGCAGTGGGGACACAGGGGGCATCTTTTGTTCTAATACTGGTCTTATGACTATCCGCGGCATCACACCTTAGGACCGCTGGGTGACAGGACTGCCTTTTATTCTAATAAGGCAGTGCCTGGGAATATTGGGAAACAGTGTCTTTGCAGAGGTAATGGAGGATCTTGAAGTGATCATCCCTAATTTTCTAGGTGGCCCCAAATCTAGGGGCAACCACAGGGGCAGTGAGGCCATGCAGAGTCAGAGAGCCACGGCCAAGGCCCACCAAGAGCTATAAAAGTTGAAGAGGCAGGGGGGAAGCCCAAGGACTGTGGGGGACTGTGGCCTGCAGATGCCGTGGTCTAGCTGTCTGGCCTCCGGGGCTGCGGGAGAAAACGTGTTGCTGTGAACTGATGCACTCTCCAGAGGAAACGGAACTCAGAAAGCCTTCTTTCTCCTCAAACTACTAACAGACGTAATAGTGCACAACCTCTTTTGTGGAATGAAGCTTGGAAGATCAGCAAGTTGAGTTACCTTCTCAGATATTTAAGTAGACATTTTAAAATGAAGATCAGGACAAAATAAGGAAAAAGAAAATTCAAGAAGAATCACATAAAAACATCTCATGTTGCTATCTTACCTTATCCACTACTTCAGAAAAATAATGGAGCGTAGAAATTACTTCTTCATCACCTTTGCCAAGAGCGAAATTCTAAGACCAAAGAATGAGAGCGCCAGGTGTCAGCTAAATGAGCATCACCCTCCAAACGCCACCCCACGCCCCTCCTCCTGAGAGCACCCTGCAGAAGTGTCCAAATGAACACAGCTGGAGCTCCCTGCTCCTCCTGGCCCCTGGGGTTCGCACAACAGCCCTCTCTGGCCAACCCCTCTTCGGTCACCTCTTTCTGAACGTAAAGGTATCTCAGGGAGCTTACTTCCTGGGGTTGTTAGCTTGAGTTCCCTGTAGCCCCCAGAAGCTGTGAGCTCTCAAGGGCAGCTATCTGACTTCTTCTGTAGGCCCCTTAGAGCGCCTCAGAAGGACTTTGGGATGATCACTAGTTAGTATTTATCAATGGGAAAAAAAAAGAAAGGCCCCCGCAAAAAAACACTGGGGGAAAATAAGGGAAGGGAGAAGGAAGAGAGAAAAGGGAAGATAGAGGGAAGAAAAGGAGAGGAGAGGAAGGAAAAGCAGCACAGATCTTTAAGGACGCCTTTGGAGAATTGCTCTAAAGCGGTGATGAGCAGAGGCCTGCACAGGCGGCGCGGAGCCTCAGGTTACCTGCTTTTCATACGCCAGCAGCTGCTTGGAAAGCTGTTGGGTGGCCAAGCACATTTCATTCTGTGGAGAGAAGAGAAGGCAATGAGATCTGCCCACGCATTAGGGTCCATAAAAAAGGCCTCTCAGAGCATCCTTTAAAAAGCGCTGTGTGTGTGCCTGTGGAATGACAAATATTTTTTTCAGGCATTATTTAGAAAACAAAACCAAGACAAATCCAAAGGTTAATGCTTACCTTTTCCCCCACTACATCCTCTGCAAATTACTGTTCCTTCTGGTTTTTCCGTCAGTAAACAACTGGAGCAAAAAATTACAATCCAGCCAGGCACAGTGGTGCACGCCCGTGATTCCAGCAACTCGGGAGGCTGAGGCAGGAGGATCGCGAGTTCAAAGCCAGCCTCAGCAACTTAGAGAGGTGCTAAGCAAATCATTGAGACCCTGTCTCTAAATGAAATAGAAAAGAGGGATGGGGATGTGGCTCAGTGGTTAAGCGCCCATGAGTTCAATCCCTGGTACCAAAATAAATTTACAATCTGCCAAGCATTCAGCAAAGATGTGGTCCCTGTCCTGTGGACTGATTGGGGAAGCAGACACCAAAAATATGGCCCCTTGCATAATGAGAAGAGCAAAGGAAAGAGGCTGGCGCATGGGAGGCAGGGACAGGAGGACCCAGATGGTCTCTGGGAAGACATGTCTTAAGCAGAGCCTTGCCCAAGAGTGAGCTTCCAGAAGAAATGGACATGGAGACGCCCAGCAGAACAGGGCTGGGACGGGGGCGGGCAGGGGGCGGGCGAGCTGCAACACGGCCAAGTGGGCCTGCAGGGCCCAGGCCAGGTGGGCCTTCCTGGAACTGTGACGGGAACGAAGCAGCACTGGGGCAGTCACCACGGGTGTGACAGAAACACTGCTAAACCCAAGAGTCCCAGAAAACCTGGGGAAGGCACTGGGAGGCCGTGGTGGCCCCTGCCCCGCCCTTACCGTCCATTTCCCTCTGCTCAGGTTCCTTCCTCCACTCTCGGCCACAACGCGGTTTCCTGCCACCTGCGAGCTGCTGCCAGCCACGAGCTGCGGGCTCCCGCTAATGCTGCTCCTAACTCGGGGCTCACTCCTGCAGGCCAGCGCCCTCGGTCTGACCTGGCGTGGAGAAGGGAGGCAGTGGCCGGCCTTCCTGGCCTTGGCCTCGTTACTCTCTTTCTCCGGGTGTTGCTGTTCTTCTAAGGGTCAAGTCCTGAGTCTGTAGGAGCCTGTTTTATTTTTTGTGGGCCCATCACAGCCAATCCCACTTTTGGGGGTACCCTCGCTGCAGACAACTGGCCCAACTCCGCTCTGCCGTTCTCCATACCCTAAGGGTAGGCATGGACATGCCAGGAAAAGTGGCTCTCCCCATCCCACAGAACGAGGTCGAATGGAGCCCCGGCTTTGGCACCCTACTGGCACGCTGCCCCTCAAAACTGACCGGAACTGGCGGCAAGTGAACGAGCCTAGGTGCCCCGTCCTTCACTTAGACAGGAACACACAACACTTCTTAGCGCACAGCGGGTGCAGACAGATATTTGACAACGGAAAATTCATCTAAATTCCAAGTTTAAAGCACTACCTGGACTCCTGGTGTCTAACCTAAGCTGTCCACCAGGGCAGGGAAACCCAAGCCGGGGCACGGCACAATGAGGCCTCGCCAGCAGAGCACATGGACAGGGGACCACGCGACTCGCTGGGCTCATGCTCGTCCAGCAGAAGCCCCTTCCTCTGCCTCCTCACTAGAGAACAGCGAGGAGGACTGCTAAGGGGAATTGCTCTAGCTACCCTGGCACGTGGTGGAGGACAGCACCCTGTGGGATTCGAGTCCTCCCAACAGCAGCTGACACCGCAGAGCACTTGATTTACACCAGGTGTTTCCTCAGTTAATTCTGACAATCCTGTAGAGCAGGATCTAATTATTAACCTAATCTTACAGATGAAGAAACCAAGGCACAGAAAGGTCAGGCCACCTGCACAAGGTCACACAGCTAGCAGTGGCCGGGCTAGGATGTGAACCCAGTCTGATTCTAAACTCCCCACTCCCGGACATGACTCTCTAAGATTCTGAGCCTGACTAAGATGTAAGAAAGGAGAAAGCCCGAGCTCTACACAGCCTTGGTCTGTGAAGGGCCAGAGGGGAGGGCATGCATGTGTCACTGACACAACTTGCCATGGCTGGGGGAAGAAGGGGCACAACACACAAGTGGTGGCTGTGGCGACTGGTCTCTGCCATGTCCCTCCTAATACCCTGGGAAGACGCTGTGCTCCCACAGAGCTGCTGTTTCAGGCCACGGAGACGCTGGGCTTCCAGAGTGACTTCACTGGAACCAAGCACACTTACAGTGGCCCGTCACCTGCTCAGAGCAAGACTCAGCATGTGAAGTCTCCTGACCCGGATCCTCTTGAGCCTCACTCATACCTGACCCAAGGTGCATGAGGCTTCAGGAGACGCCCCACCAACACCAGCCCACGAGCCCACGCCCCAGGAGGATGGCCCCTCCCGGCACAGGCATCCAACTCTGCTCGCAAAACTGGGGAGCAGGCGGAGTGGGGATGTGCACGACGGCGCCAGGGATGGCTGGGGGCACTCGGGGTGTTTTCTGAGCACCCGACATTGCCACTAAGAGTTTTTCACACATGAGCACTTTTACTCCTCAAGTGCACCCTTGAGTAGGTGTTTTTCTTATTTCCATTTTACAAAGGAGGATGCTAGGGCTTAAAGAGGGTAAATCTACAAGTTAGTTAAATAAAGAAACCACCACATGATTAATAACTGGCAAGGTAAAATACTCAGCCCGGGTCTGTAGGCCTCTGAACCTCAAGTCCAAGTGCTTCACACAGTGCTGTTCCCCTCCGGAGCTCAACCTCTACCTAGTGAGCATGCGGGTGGGAGGCCTGGAGGGTCTGCAGACAGGAACACAGCGCTCACGTTCTTCTAACTGAAGCCCAGCAGAAGAGGTGGCCGAACACATTCTACATGAGAGTCCCATGAATAATATGCTCGGTTTTGTTTGGCAGTATTGGGGTTGAACACAGGGCCTCCCCCATGCTAGGCAAGGGCTCTTCCACTGAGCCACGTTCTCTGCCCTGGAGCAGCTCCCTGGCCACCCTTGACACTCTTTACTGCTACATAAGAATCCAAAAAGACAAGCTGGGTCTGGGGCTCCGAACCCACTCGGCACACACAGAGCCCTGGGTTCCACCCCCAGCACCACACACACACACAAAAGGCAAGCTGGCACAGGGCTGTGGACAGTGCCTCCCGCGTTGGCGAGCACGCCCGCAGCTGTGGCCGAGGCAGAAAGACAAGTGGCTAACAAGCCCGACAGGAAATCTGAGCTCCTGGCAAGGGAATGTTTATCTTCCGCAACTGTCACCTAAAACCATCCAGAGGCCTCTGTGGGCACCATCGTCCTTGGCAGCCATGGAGAGGCTGGGTGTGGGGTGGACACAGACACATACTCAGGTCTGAACCTAACACATGTCCAGGGGCTGAGAGCCACATTCATTCTATGTTTGCCACAGGCTGGGACACACGGGTGCCCCTCCAGGTGCGCTGCACGGGGATCAGAGGGCAGTGTGGCAAGAGCGAAGGCTGAGGGGTGCCTGCTGAGGACCTCGATTCTGCCCTGGTGGAGAATGGGAAGCCCTGAGGACCGCGGGCTGCAGGGTGACCAGATCGGAGACTGGTGGAAGAAAACTGTCGAGTGGCTGTAGCGGGAAGAAGCACTGGAGGGGGAGGGCACAGACAAGGGTGACCCATCAGGAGACCATTCTGAGAAGCTGAATGGGACATAAATACAAAGAGGCCGAGTCAGGAAGCCCCGGAGAGGAACCCAGGCACTCAAACAGGATGCAGGAGTCAAGCGCAGCTGGGTTTCCAGGAAGGGTCCACACAACGACAGAGCCCAGCCAAGGAACTGAGAGGGCACGGGGCTGGGAAGGACAGTACTGTGTCCATCAGGATGTGCAGACCGCCAGGAGGAGAGGCCCCACAGCCAGTCCTCAAACACAGAAGGCTGGGCACGGGGACAAGGCTACCTGCTCCCTGAGAGCTGAGTCCACAAGGGCTCGGGAGGCCCCACTCAGTGCACCATCAGTGGTCCAGCTATCAAGGGCACAGGGCAAATGGGCACACAGGTGAAGGGCACTTTGGCCAGGAAGTGTAGGGGCAAGGAGGGGTCAGATGCTTTCTCAGGCCTGAGGTCAGTCTCCAAGGCCAGGAAGGACACGTGCCAGGGCAGGGGTGGCTAGGGCCTCCTGGCGTAGATGGTGGAAGGGGCATGGAGGCCTGGCCCACTCTGACATAGCCAGAGACAAGGCTAGCAGAGCAGGCAGACCCCCAGGTCCCGAGAGCTAGTGGGCCTTCCTAGGGTTCACTTTTCTGCCTCTGGGCCACAGAGGCAGCCAAGTTGGGCGGAAGCAAGGAGTTCTGATGTGGTTCACCGAGCTGCAGGGTACGGGGAACTGAAGGGGGAAGGCGCTTTCTTGAGGGCAAGCACTGCAACATCCCAGGGAAACCTAAACATCTACACAGTGACAACAGGTAACAGTTGTTTGGAATAAAGAGCCAGAGTTCAGTGCTGGGCGTGGTGATGCACACCTGTAATCCCAGGGGCTCGGGAGGCTGAGGCAGGAGGATCGCGAGTTCAAAGCCGGCCTCAGGAAAGGCGAGGCACTAAGCAACTCAGTGAGACCCTGGCCCTAAATAAAATACAAAATAGGGCTGGGAGCACTGAGCACCAGGCATTAGGCAGGTGGGGCGGGGACCAGCTGCCACTGCCATTTGACTTAGAAGGTGGTGCTATTAACACCAAGGGCACGCTTTGTGCCAGGGACTGATCTTAGCACTTTGCAGATATTGATTATAGAATTAACCCTCACATCAACCCTGTGAGGTGGGGAGGGTGTGGCCTATGCCGAGCTGACAAGGACGCCTGCCAATGGAGTGGCTTGCCATACCTAAGGTCATGCCCAAGTGGCCAAATCAAGACCAGAATTCAGATCTGTTGAGCCTAAGGTTATACCGAGCCTCCATACCTAAG